GTGCTGCCGACGAATTTGCCTTGGAGCGGGGAGATATGCTCAAGGTTGTCGGCATATGGGACGATGGCTGGGCTACCGGTATCCTCGTCGATGAACGAGCCGAAGAATGGGAAGCGCGACGCCAAGCACAGAGAGACAGCGGAGTATCAAACACATCTGGTCGGGGCCGCGATACATCACCGCCCGTCAGCGGAGAAATCAAGGCCTTCCCTCTGGTTTGTGTCTGTCTCCCGGAACACTGGAGGAAGACCATTGAAGGGGACGGCTCGACGGAGACGGGTTCCAGTGCCCACCAAGGCACTCATGGATCCCGGACCTCTTGACGCTCTTGATGACTAGACTCGCTGTTTTGAATAATGTCTCTACGAAGGCAATGCTCTTTGGATTCGGCATTTGCTCTGGCGTTAGGCGATTTCTCTCTGATCTATCATCCGCGACAGACCGGTCGGCTCATCTATCCGTACATACCACACGTCCTCGTTACATCACTGATCGGTCCCCATTCACTTTGGGGTCCCATCAACTCAACCGGCCTTGCACATAGACACGAAAAGCTTGCATTCTCGCGACGATACGCTTAATGCCTTCACTTCTAGACGACTTCTTTAATCCCTTCCAACGACATCGCGCTCTTACGACTACGCCGTTCTGTACATGGTGCTTCGGTATCAATAATTAGCAGACGCGCAAAGCTCTAGCGCGACATCAACAAACGCTCTTCTCTCTAATAGCATCACGACGACCAGCATTGTGCCCTCCCCTTTTATTTCATGGCTTGTTCATATACCCAGGTTGCCCCGTCAAGGGCTTTTAGAGGTGGTTGGTGTCGGGGAGGGCCTTTGCGATATAATTGTTGTGACTTGGAAAAGTGGTTGAGAGTAGTAGATGGTGAGGTGGTCAGGAGAAGGGAAGGAGATTTGACTATGTTCTTACTGCCATAGAGGCACTATGCTATAACGCACCGACATATTCTATGGGCCTCTTTCATCTCGGAAGAGCTCTCTACCTTTACTTAGTCAAATCGAAAGGGACTTAAACATACCATCTCGCGCTTAAAGCCCTCAAGCTGTGCTATCGCGTGTGAAAAAGATCCGTAGTCTGTGCCGCATGCCAAGGTGCAGTTTCATCATCCCCATCTGTGAAACCCAATGGGTAACATGGCCGAATCCGGGGTGACCCTGCGTTCTTGTTGTAGATGAAACGGATATCACGATGGGATCCTGCGAAGAGCTTAAATATCTGCCACCAGTCTTACAGGACAAGCCGGGTTTCGAGCTGAACGTCGCGAGCAAGGGAGAGAGATGCTTGCTGGAATTACAACTCTGCATAGTGGGTAAAGAGATACAGCCGGCTTCACATCAAACTAAGTCTCTTCTTCAAGGGCCTATTGTGCAGGTACTATAGGATGTTCATAGTCACCGTAGCATAGATAGATAGTCTGCTATTCAATAAACACTACCGGGAGATGATAGTGGGCGCGCGCCTTTAGTTGCTGAATACAAGGGAGTTGACGCTTTTGTGAAGAGCTTAATGAAGTGTCTCAGAAGTCTGGACTGACTGCCTCATTGCTTATCTGGATGTTATCGCTCATCTGACATATTGTGGCCCAGGGAGGCGGGTGCCTGTGGTGGCGCGCCAAAGCTCCCATTTAGCGTTCCCCAGTGGCAGGCACGTCACACGGAGGCAGTGGTAAGCTAGATCTGGTAGAGTGACCAGCGTCAGTTGTCGCATCCCATCACTAGGCTTGCTGCTTGACAAGCAACGTCTTCCTTCAACACGGCCAAACGGTTTGCATTACAAGCACTCGAGGAAGCCAGGCCCGTACTCGTTCGAATCGTCGCATGGATCACGACTGAAGATCGATCGCTATGGTCGCGCTCACCGCGACGCCGCCTACTTAGCTGTCCCGCTTCCCTGTCCCCAGCTTCTTCACTATAACAGTTAGCCATGGGGCAAGGCTTTTCCTCGACGACGCCGTCTGCCGGCATCGCCGGCATCGACGTCCCGGAGCTCTCAGATCTGGTGTATGAGAAGTCTATGGGCAGTGCCCGCTTCATGAAGAGCATCCGAGCTCGGCATCATGACGGCGTCGTACTGGTTAAGGTGTTTGTCAAACCTGACCGAGCAATGAGCTTAAAGCAGTATAAGCAGAAGATGATCTGTGAGCACCACCCATACGAGTTCTTTTCTAATAGCCAAGAGCTTCACTGATATTGCTTATTCTAGACGAGAGAAAGACTCTCGCAGAAATAGCTAATGCTCTGGGTTACCAGAGGATCATCGAGACAGATACGAACGGCTACCTCGTGCGACAGTACCTCTACAACTCCCTCTACGACCGTCTGAGTACTAGGCCATTCCTTGAAGATATAGAGAAGAGGTGGCTTGCGTTCCAGTTGCTCTGCGCCCTGCGCGACTGCCATAATAGGGATATTTACCATGGCGACATCAAGACTGAAAATGTCCTCGTGACCTCCTGGAATTGGCTCTACTTGTCCGACTTCTCCTCGTCCTTCAAACCGGTGACCCTTCCACTTGATAATCCGGCCGACTTCTCATACTTCTTTGATACGTCAGGACGGAGGACATGCTATCTGGCCCCGGAGCGCTTCTTGGCCGAGGGCGATAAGTTCGATCCTAACGCCAGGCTGACATGGGCCATGGATATCTTCAGTGCCGGTTGTGTAATTGCCGAACTATTTCTGGAAGGCCCCATCTTCAATCTAAGTCAACTTTTCAAGTACAGGAAAGAGAAAGAGAAGCGAGAATACGACCCTGAGATCTCCCATCTTAGTAAGATAGTGGACAAAGACTTACGGGAGCTGATAGCGCACATGATCCAAGTCGACCCCCAAAAGAGATACTCTGCGGATCAATATCTGGAGTTCTGGCGGAAGAAGGCCTTCCCAGACTATTTCTACACATTCCTACACCAGTATATGGAGGTGATAACCGACCCATCCTCTGGGCAATACCCGATATCAGGAGCCACAAGAAACCTTGGAGAGGCGGATGATCGTATTGATCGAGTCTTCTTTGATTTCGATAAGATATCTTATTTCCTGGGGCACCAGAATGACAGCAAAACATCGGAGACACGATATCTATCTCCTCAGTTAGGCCTGGGTCATTTCCCAGTGCGGCTCAACATACCAAACAATGAATATACAGTCTCTGCCGCATCACAACCTGCGGCGGATGACGGTACCTTGATCTTTTTAACCCTTGTCGTGTCGTCTCTTCGGAATACAGCTCGAGCGGCGGCGAAAATACGTGCTTGCGATGTACTATTAGCGTTCTCGGAAAGACTAACGGACGAGGCGAAGCTGGATCGAGTCCTCCCATATCTGATGAGTTTGCTCAACGACAAGTCTGATATGGTTGTGATCTCTGCTGTAAGAACAATCACACAGCTGGTAGCATTGGTCAAGGTGGTTACTCCTGTTAACGCTCATGTCTTTCTGGAGTATATCATCCCTCGAATGCAGGTTGCGTTGATAGGCACACAAAATCCACCAAGCCCGCTGGTGAGAGCTACATATGCTTCCTGTCTAGGGAGTCTAGCAAGCACTGCCGCGAGGTTTTTAGAGATGTCGTCCACCGTGAGAGCCGATGGGTCGCTATCCACGGCCGATCCTGAGGTCGACCCTAGCAATCAGAAACATGCAGCGCTCGATGGCTCCTTTGATGATGCTCACATGGAACTGGTTGGACTGTTCGAGGCCCACACCAAGATGTTGATCGAGGATGCAGACCCGTATGTTCGCAGAGCGTTTCTAAGCTCTGTACCAGACCTATGCATGTTCTTTGGAACCGCAGATGCCAACGACATCATTCTAACACATTTAAATACATATCTGAACGACCGCGACTGGGTGCTCAAGTGTGCCTTTTTCGACACAATTGTGGGCATCGCTGCATTCTTGGGCAGCATTAGCCTTGAGGAGTTCATGCTGCCACTTATGGTACAAGCTCTGACAGATGCGGAGGAACATGTAGTGCAAGCAGCATTGCATTCATTGGCGGAGCTGGCCAACCTTGGCTTGCTTTCCAAAGAGAAGATTTGGGAGCTTGTCGAGATAGTAGCTCGTTTCACGATGCACCCAAATATGTGGATTCGTGAGTCTGCAACGGAATTCATTTCAAGAGGATCGAAGTTCCTGTCGCCTGCCGACATCAGGTGCATTCTGCTTCCTCGACTTGCGCCATACTTGAAACCCAACATTATCCCAGACTTCTCGGAATTAGGGCTTCTTGATACATTAAAACGGCCATTGTCAAGGCCAGTATTCGACCAGGCACTACTCTGGGCAATTAAGACTGACCGAGGCGTGTTCTGGAAGTCTCTGCGAAAGTTACGTACCCTGTCCTTCGGCTCCGCTGCAAATGTGTTATCCAACCGGGCTGCTAGAGACCTGAATCCGCAAGCTTTGAGCAAAGTTGCAAAGAACGATGAAGATGAACAGTGGCTGAGATCATTGAGAAACCTTGGGCTCTCTCAGGATGATGAGTTCAAACTTCTCGCTCTGAGAGAATTCATCTGGCGATTAAGTCAGATTCATTCCAGGGAGTCGTCGCAAAACTTGCAGTCCGAACTCAACAACATAATCAATTTGCGTACATTAGGCATCACGCCACAGACGGTGCTCTTCGACGAAGAGCCGATCGGGCAAATTCCAGGTGGACTTGACATTGATGGAAATGCTCCACGTACGGTTACCGATGCACTCATGGAAGCCTCGATGAGCATCGATGATCCTGTCGGGAAAAGAAAGCGTGCTGCGTTGAACAGTCACAGATTACGACTCAATAGCCGAGGCAATGTCTCCCCAGGATCTATCGACGGTCGTAGACCTCTTGCAGAAGAGGGAATATCCTCTACGCAACTGTCGCCTTCTACTGATACCTCTCCTGACCGTCGGCGCTCTTCTGGCATCGGCAGTGCAGACGGACAGGATCCAACGTCTGCTACGAAGAGGCTTCGCCATCAATCTAGTGCTATGAATCTTCTTAATCGGAAAGATAGCGCAAAGGCCGGTGCCGAGACTGGCACAACCGAAGCGAACGCTTTCGGTCAGGTTGAGGGTCTCTTTGCCCAGAACACGCTATCCAGACCATCTATCACTCGCACAGACAGCGAAGACTCGGCTGGTTTAGCTCGATACAGGGTCAATCATACGTACTCTGGCAATGACCCCAGCATACTGAAGATGCTTGATTCGATGTATGTTGACAATTATCCTCACGACATTGCCGAGTTCGGTCCACTGGTCACACCTATTACTAGAAGGAAAGCTAGCAAAGTAAACGGACAACTTACGGAAGATGCTTGGAAACCTACTGGAAAGATGGTTGCCACGTTTGCAGAACACACTGGCGCTATCAACCGCATTCTTCCATCCCCTGATCACATATTCTTCATCACCGGAGGAGACGACGGTGCAGTGAGAGTGTGGGACACTACACGATTAGAGCGCAACATCGCCCACCGATCAAGACAAACTCATAGGCATGCGCCTGGTGTGAAGGTACTCGCCCTTTGTTTCATCGAAAACACTCACTGCTTTATCAGCTGCGCCAGTGACGGAAGCGTCCATGTTGTCAAGGTTGAGACGGCCTTTGCGAGCGGTGTCACGCGGTACGGAAAGTTGAGACTGTTGCGGGAATATCAACTCCCTGAAGACGAGTTCGCTGTGTGGTGTGAGCATTTCAAGCAAGAGACGAACTCTGTCTTGGTCCTTGCAACCAATCGGTCTCGTATTCTGGGCATCGACCTCAGGACCATGACACTTCTCTTCGTGCTCGAAAATCCAGTCCATCACGGAACTCCTACCTGCTTCTGCATAGATCGCAAAAGAAATTGGCTCTGCCTGGGCACTTCCCACGGCGTATTGGATCTGTGGGATCTGCGATTCCGAATGCGATTAAAGGCGTGGGGTGTCGCTGGAAACAATGCGATCTATAGGCTTTCAATACACCCTGTCAAGGGCAGGGGCAAGTGGGTGTGCGTATCAGGAGGCACAGGTCAGGGCGAGGTCACCGTATGGGATCTTGAGAAGACACTCTGCCGAGAAGTCTACCGCGTAGGCGGAAACAAAGAGAGCTCTAAAGGCTATAGCCCTTGGGATGTCGACGAAGACAAGCCGGAGGGCATGCTCACGCGGTTTGCGACTAACATTGAGCCGAGCGCAACAGGCAACTCAGACCGCGGAGTCCGTGCAATGGTTGTTGGAAGCAGTGCTCTGGAGGAGCAACGTGATGTGCGGCATGCCTTTATACTTACTGGCGGCTCGGATAAGAAGTTGCGATTCTGGGACCTGTCACGAATCGAGAACTCGACTGTCTTTAGTGGACTGCAGCCGGACGAGGGCAGGCCGACCTTCACTGCGTCGCACCCACTGACGTCCATGACACTCAACACAGAGCGATTGCCCAGGCAGAATCCAACTGCACCTAATGCGGCAGCCGGAGCTAAGGGGCGCGCCTCGGGCGGACGGCCACCACGATCAACGGTCATCTCTCTACAGCAGCAACAACTTCTCAAGTCGCATTTGGACTCGATCATGGACATTGCATTAGTCGAGTCGCCGTATACTATGACTATCTCCGTGGACCGGTCTGGTGTTGTATTCGTGTTTCAATAGGCCACATCAGCATACAGTTCGCAAGGCGTACAAGGCATATGTATAGAGTAAAGGGAAATGTATGTGCCCAGGCAATGCGACGTAGATATCTTAGGGGAGTTGAAGGTGTCTAGGCTCTGCAATATTTTGTTCGCGTAAGGATAGAAATTAAATAACATATCATTTGCTCCTCATGATAGTGCATTTGGTGTTCGAGATATAATTCCACCCAACTGATCTCTATTAATATTGGTGTTATCCTGCCGATGTTCTTGTTCTACCTAGGTAGCGAATGGTACTGCAGGTCTACTAAAAATCCTAGCCGCCCCGCAATGGCATGCATGTATGCGACTGGTAGGCGCCAGCGAGCCTCTCGAGCCTGCCTTAGGAAATTTTTTGGTCCACCACCCACTGCACGCGACCTCAGCCTTGTCAACTAATTATCTACCTATTCAAATCCCCCACCATTCCAAACGGCGACCACTCCTCTGAAAGACCGACACAGTCAATTTTACGCCACACATATCGCCAATTGGACTCGAGAGGGCGGTGAGATATAACAGAGGTAAAGCGTCGTTCAATCGCCCAGCATGAGGCTGACGGCGGAACTCATCCAAAACTCCCTCTCCTACCTCAATCCTCTGAAGGAGAGGGAGCTGGATCTCCGAGGTGCGTTAGAAAAGAACAGATACTACACTTCATTTGATCTAGAGCAGCGTTGATATCGAGCCTTTTTCTCGGGATACAGGTCACAGAATACCGGCGATTGAGAACTTGGGTGTCGCAGGCGTGAGTCTCTCCCTTCCTACCCTGCTTATGTGCTCTGGGATCAAGTCGCTGACCGGTCAAAAACAGCCGCAAGATGCCATAGACTTCACCGACAACGACATCCAGATACTGGGAAACTTCCCCCTCTCCCCGCGGATACAGACGCTGCTGCTGGCGCGGAACCGTGTCTCCAGCATTCAGCACAACCTGCCGACCTCGATACCGAACCTGAAAAACCTCGTCCTGACAGCGAACAACATCGCCGAGCTGGCAGACCTGGATGTTCTGGGGAAGTTTGCGCGGTTGACGCATCTGGTGCTGGCCGAGAATCCAGTGACTAAGAAAGAGGTGCGTTCACATTCCCCTTCTGGCGCGTGAAGGAAGGAGACGAGGACGGGCCACTCATGTTTGATAATAGCATTACCGATATTGGGTTATATGGAGGTGTCCCGCGCTCCGCTTCCTCGACTATCAGAAGGTGAAACTGGCAGAGCGGGAGAAGGCAACAGAGCTGTTTGGCACGGCAGAGGAGCCAACGGAACTGGCGTCAAAGGTAAGTCGATCTGCCTTGCGAAATTTTCCTCCGTGCAAAGACACTAATGAGCTCTGTGTAGGTAATGGGTGTCAAGTCGAAGACATTCGACGTCTCCCTGGCGAACGGGGGCGCGGGGACCTCGTCAAGACTGTCACGCATCAAGCTCACGGACAAGGAGAAGAAGAGGTTACAGGAGATGATCAAGAAGGCGGACAGCTTGCAGGAGATTATGAGGCTAGAGAAGGAGCTGAACGAGGGCCGGATTCCGGCGGGCATCCATGTGGACGACGAGATGGAGGAATAATTTGGCGCATTCACGGACGGGTTCTGGTCATGTTGGGTTCAGTGCTGTATCAACACTCAAAAAAGCTATCACGCTACCGGTGTTTTATTGGTATTTAAAATGCGCTCAATGATCACTGGTCTATTCAAGTTCGCCGTAAGTCTTCTGCAATGCGGCTCTGCCCGAGGCTCGTTCATCTATGTGCCATGTAATGTACAGTTTCAGGCCCCGTTGGCCGCTACGATACGAGTAGGCGTTGTCACATCTTTCGAAGCCTCACTTGTCAGGCCAGCTAAGGCCGCTTCGTGTTCCCATAGATGAGCGCCCGCCTCCCTCAAGAGGGCGACGCACTCAGAATGGCCGGTCTTCTCTGCCAGGAACAACGGCGTGTTGTTCGCCCAGTTCCTCACATGAACGCTGGCCCCACGAAGCAGCAACTCCCTGAGGATCTCTAGTTTACCGCCAGCTGCCGCCAGGTGGACGGCAGTGTTGCCTGCATAGTCGGCCTTCTTGAGCAGCTGGTGGTTCACTTCATCTCCCTCGAGAATTTCCTGCACAGACTGGTAATCGCCATTCCTGATGGCGTACCCTAGAGCTGTGAAGGCGGATTCAGACGAGGTGAGACGACCAACAGCGGAATCGAGCGTGCCTGCCGGGTGGGAGAAGCTCGGGAGCGCCATCTCAGTCATCTCCCCGCGGATGGAGTGAGCCATCTCTGCCTGGACGTTCGCGTAGGTGAGGTTCGGTACGGCCAGGAGGTACGAGAGCTTAGTCAAAGCAGCCTCGGTAGTAAGGTCGTGCCCAAATACCACTCCGGCCCTTCCTAGCGCTGTGCCTGGTGCGTAGAGTGGTGAGACGAAGCCGTTGGTGCACTGGCTGACATTGACGATGACAATGCCGCGCTCCACGGCTTCACGAATGACCTTGGTCAAGCTCCCATCCACGCCGCCTGGAGCATTGCCCATGCCGAAGGTCTCGAGGATCAACCCCCTGAGATTGGGGACTCGAAGAACCGAGTCCACCATTTCCGGCTTGATGCCCGGGAAAATTCGCAGACATGCAACATGTGCCGTGTCTAGATACTTGGTTACTTGAAATTCTGCAATTCTCGTCGGCCGCCGAACGAGAGACCAGTTGACGTCGACGCCCAGGCTGGTTACCTTGGCTAGGGGGTCGCAGTTGGGGCTGTCGAAGGCCTCGAAGGATGATGCTGAGACCTTGGTCGTTCTGTTGCCCCGAAAGAGCGTGTGGTGGAAGAAAAGACAGACTTCGGGGATGACGAAGGTGCCAGCAACGATCAAGGAACCGAGGAGGTTGTCCACTGCGTCGGACTGCAGAGCAAATATGGAGGCCTGGGAACCTGTCAGGATGACCGGCTTCCCTAGGTCAGACATCATGAACGATAGAGCCGAGGCGGTGTATGACAAGGAGTCGGTGCCATGAAGAACCACAAATCCGTCATAGAGGTGGTAGTTCTCCTTGACAGTCTGAGCGATCTCTGTCCAACCCGTGGAGGAAATCGAGCTCGAGTCCAACAAGGGAGAGAATTCCAAGATGCCATAGCGTATATGGCGAGAGTAGGCACTTGGCGGCGTTCTCAAGCTGTCAAGATTCAGTTTGACGCCATTGTGGAATGCTTGTAGCTGGACTCTTGGAGAGGACATATCGTTGAACGATGGTCTTGGCGCCATTGCCTTCTCCAGAAATCCAGTCATGGGGACTAGCCCATCATCCGAGGGCTGCATACAGATTGTCCCTCCAGTCATGATTATCAATACTCGTGATTCAGGGTACGTCGAGGCCGGAGCCTTCCCCTCTAGGAAATGTACCATCTTGTCTGTCTTTATGGCAGAATTGCCCACTTCCACTCCCTTAAAAGCCTCGGGCCTTGGACTAGACCCGAGCGAAGAATACTGGGCTGAGGAAGCCGATAATTGTTCTTACACCCTTCCGCCGGGGTAATGAATGGTAGGGCGCCCAGGATATCGAGACCTCCTTAACAAGAGTGTTGCTCCTGCTGTTAAGTGTTGGTCCAGCTGTAGTAATGAGAAACAATCTTCAAATTCTCAAAGCAGGATCTTGACTCTCGAAGTTCAGTGCCTTCAACCTTGAGTACCTTGGCAGCGGAGGAGAAGACCAATTCGGATCTCTCCTGGAGGTTTCGTTTGAACTGTGATGCTGTCCAGATTATAGCTGGGCGGACAGCAGATAGTTATCCCTGGAATTCGTGCTCGTCAAAGCCGAGAAAGGCGATATTATACCCTTCAGTGTTGGGAATCTCCGTTTTCTGATGAGGAAATTATTTTTTGTATCATACGGTCCCTTGTTGAAGGCGCAACCTTGGATGTATGAACCTTACTCGGTCACATTCAGGTACCCACCCAGCAACCTTTTAGACTGAAGAGGCGACAATACCCGAGTCGGTGTAGTGTCTTTAGTCATAGAAAGCGAACATTACCGTTAAGTGGAACAGGCGACGGGAACTAATTATTCAAGAGTATCCAGCGATGCGGTAGGACAAAGCAAGTAAAACTCATCGGGCAAATGGCCGACCTGTGGAGACAGGGACGAGAAAAAGAGATCGCGAGCCTATTCTTTCAAGGGATGGGCTCGCCCTACCTGAACTTGGAGAGAGGAGAGGAGAGGACCTTTCCTTATCTTGCGCCATGACGAGCGCGTCGCATAATCGATGATAGGACAGGAAGGAGGACATTTGCCCAAAATGTCCGCTCGGATGATTTAGGGTTGGAAATGGTTGGCAGAAGATCCTGCGAGCCCTACCATCCATTGTGCGAATGCAGGAAAATCCGGGGAAGCACGCTTGGCCTTCCAGCGCTTGCGTGCGCTGGCCTGGCATCCGATAGCGGATAGGCGAAAGAGATGTATGTATTGGATGGTAGGTATAGGAACGTTGAGCGGCATTGGGTTCGTAGTTCTGTCGCAGCGTGCTGCCAGATTGAGAATCACAGCGGATGGAATGGCAAGCAGCCATGTAACGGCTGTGAAGCTATTCGCATCTGCGAGAATCACTTATTTAAAGCAACATGAGGTGTTGTGGAAGGAACTGATGCAGGAAGACCTTTTTGGTCACTGGAGAATGGGGGTCCAGCAACAAAATCCCACTAGCCCCACGGCCTTAACGCAGCACCTTCACGCCGTGCTCATGGATTCGGATAATGATACAAATAGTATTCTCTATGCTACGGGCCGAAGATGATGAGTGCTCTGAGAGTGGGTTTTGAAAGCTAGACGGAATATTACTACACATCCTGATCGTCTTCGTTGCTTGAGAAGCCTCGCTCCTCTTCGTCGTACTCCTCTGGCCCAAACCGCTCAGGAAAGCCAGTCTCGTCGTCTTCGTCTTCGTCTTCATCTTCCTCGTCCTCGGACCCTGTCTCATCGGACTCAGAGCTGGAGCTGTCACCGCTATCATCGTCTTCGCCCTCATCTTCATCTACCTGTTCCTGCTTCGACGGGCCTGCTGCGGTTCTATTACCTGCAATTTGCTCGGCCGTCGTGCTGGCGTCCGGGATCTCCTCTGCTGGGATTGGTGTAGAAATGCCCGTATCGGGAGTCTCAGTGGCCTCTGCATCGCCCGTCGGTTTCGCTGTGGGTTGCTTGCTCCCTGGGCCGTATGGGAGGTGAAATGTGGCCCTCTTGTTGGACCTGTCCCTCCCTACAGGTTTGTACCTTTTGCCTCTGATTTGCTCCAGCTCCTCTGGCTTCAACTTGAGGTCTGGGACTGGTATACCTACAGTCTTTGAGCCAGCCTCGATATCAGGTGTTTCATCCCGCATGCGGACGGCTTGGTCGAAATCGCTGTCCGGAATATCTCTGTTGAATTGGATCGCACGCATCTTGCACTTCATGATTGCCTTGATCTTTGCCCATGATCCCCGATGATACCACCCGCTGTTCTCCTCGTCACATGTAGGCCGCATGGGCGCCTCTGCGAGTAATCTGGCAAGCAGGGGATCTGTGACATCGCATACCTGCCAGACTTTACCATCATCACTGAAGTGCACGCCGTCGAAGACGTGCGACTCGTTCCCCGCCTCCATGATAGGTCGGGAGAGCATGGCCACATCCTTCTTGCGGATCGATTGCCACGTTGTGCCCATAGCCCCAAGGGGCACCCGTCGAAGTCGGAAGATTAGTGTCTGGTACTGGCGATATTTGGGATCGCTGCGCGGGTCTACACCATATTTGACAACAGCATCCCGCCATGGGCCGCCTTTGAATTGGTAGCCAACATATTGTATTCCATGCCTGATGGATGAGGAGGAAATGCTTCTGGATGATATGCCATTGCTCGGATCCTGCAGAACACTGGCGAGTCGGTTGATGATCGATCGGCGGGTCCAGATAGGGCGCTCCTCCATGGCTTTTTCAAGCTCTCTTATAATGGTAGCGAGGACACCTTGCTTCATGTTGGGTTGGGTTCGAGGTCCGCCAGGGGAGGGGTCGGTGGCCTGGATAAAGAAGCCTGCATTCTTCGCGCGCGTTGTTACATTTACAACCTTTTGGGTACCATCGACTCCATCAACGACACGCGTGAATGAGTTCTGGGTGTAGTTATATGAGAAGGGAAGTGTCATATGCGTGAAAGTGGGTGGAGCGATGATTTCAACTCTAGGGGGTCTTGCCGTCCCAGGATCGAGAGTGAACTCGCGGAGTTTTGCGACTAGGTTTGAAAGTGTCAGTCATGGGTGCATATAAGATCGTAGGTAGCCTTGTTACCTTCTCCTGATAGTGCTTTGTCAATGAATTTGGTCATGAAGGGAGACTCTTGAATCGAGTTCGAGAAATCTGCCATTCCTCGATATCGATGGGTATGTTTGATTACACCGACCGGTTCGACTTGATATCGGCCCACGTTGTCCTCAAGCTTCCGCCTTAAGAGCTTGGGGTCATCAAGCTGAGAGTTTGAGCAGATATTTGGCGAGCCATCAGTCGGCGTTGTTGAGATCTGCATATCCGTATCCCCCTGAAAAGGCTCATCGCTGCCTCGCTTGCGTTTCCGACCCGTTCGCGTGGGAACGGTGATCTTGAGGAGAATGTTGTGGGAAGCAGCATAGTGAGATGCGACAGGCCTGGACGCAGGGTTGTCATACCGGAGATAGAGAGGTATGACAACTTGAGGTTTATCCGGGTCTACAAGCTATGGTAGATGTTAGGAATTGTTATAGTTAGGTCTTCATAACGCACTTACATGAGAGAAGGCAGGATTATTCCCGAACGTTTTTATGGCCTTATCAACATCCTTTACGATCATAGGGTGCTCAAGGGCCGCGATTGTCCTGGAAGGAACAGAATATTTAGGAGCACGGCTTCGAGGCCTGTGACTTTGCTGTGCTCCGTCAGAGTTGTCCTGCGAGGTGAGGAGCTTGCCGCCGGGCTCTGCGATTTGGGACATGGTCTCGGCATGCAACACCTTTTCCTTCGCTGACAAGCAACATGCGTGAACAGCCTGGCAGGGGCTGCGGCGTATTTCCTTTGCCGCGATAGATCATAAGCGAAAAGGCTGTTCCCGTCAGAGTGAAGGTTGATAAAGAAATCTCGGTCCCCGATAGATGCATACCCACTCACCCAAGGGATACATCGAATGGTTGTTGTAGACTACCTATGGGAAGTAAAGGAGACACGGTTTTCTTGCTGTGAAACTGCGTCAAGAGCGACCCTAGAACAAACCTACAGTCATGTCGTCGCAAAAGCTCGACGGAATGATCCAAAACAACGTGATATCCCGCCCTGTCTTTAAAAGGTTGATAGAGAGAGTTTGGGTGAGGCGGGTGAAGCAAACGGATAGATGGTTGACGCCCGCAGGGTGCCTAAGTACCTAGCGTACAGTACTAATAGTCCTTGTTAAAGAAACTCGAAGGTCCACTAAAATCCATCGCACATTTCAAGACAGCCATTATGCACAGGCCATGCTTTGTTTAGATCTGCGAGGAGACTGAGCTTGATTCTGCTTAGGCAGATATTGAATTGCATCGACAAGAGCAGACAAGGAGGGCCTGTCTTCATCGTCCCCCTGTAACTTTAAATCTAGTGTCCCGTTTCCAGGCTGTCTCGGGGGGCTTCCGTCATCACGATATCCGAAACAGCACTTCTTCAAGTCATCCTTGAGGGCATGTACAGCTTCAATTCTGTCCGCCTAGACTAGACACTCTCATCCCAAGCATTTTGACCAGTTCCATGCCAAAACAATTGATATTTGTCGTCTCTTGGGTCGTGCTCCTTGCTCCCTTGTAGGACTTCGCTTACATGGATAACCTCCTCGGAGTAAATGCGTCGTCGTAGAGAGGAGGTGTCCTGCCTCTTTATTCGATAAAGCGGTTGGTTGGCCGAGGCCGAAAATAACAAGCCACACGTTGACGCTCGGCTGCATCAGCAGGGCAGGGCAGGGCAACGGGCAGCGGGCACCTGGCAGCTGGCGGATGGCTGGCTGGCTGGCATTGGCTGGCTGGTCAGGTCACATTAGCAGGCCTGCCTTAGGTCTGTTTGGCGGGCTTTAGCTGGGCCCGTCCCGCGTCGTCTCACAGTTTGGCCCCGCAAAGAACGGAGCCCAGCAGCATCACCAACCATCCGCCCGCCGTCCACCGTCTCAATTCCAACATACCTTACCTTACCTTAACCTACCTACGCCCATCCATCCTGCTGCATAGACTACCGGCCGTGTGGGCAGCGACAAGAAAGAATCGCTGCGCCGCTGATCTTCCGAATGTCTTCGAGCAGCCCTGTTGCCTCTTCTTCTCCTCGTCCCAGCTCGTCTTCAGATGGTAATTGATTGATTACGCTTCTAACTCGTTTCCCGCACCGTCCTCCTCCTCCTCCTCCTCCGCCTCCTCCCACACCGCGAGAGCCCCCTGCCGATCTCCCTGTGTGCCACAATCGTCCGTGTCCCAAGAGACCACCACCGCTGCCATCCTCGTCCGTCCGTCCGTTTCTGCTTCGACGACCGCACTGGCCTGATACCCTCGATCGCTCCATCAAAAGACCCGGCGAATTGGCTCCTCGTCGTGCCCCAAGCTTCTCCTCGGCCACCCCCGTCTCGCCAAAACACAAAGGGCCTGTGCCTGTTCGTTATCCCTTCCCGCTGTCATTCTCCATCGTCGTCGTCGTTGTGTGTTGCTTCACGAGGTTGAGCAGATACGTTCCTCAGCCTTTGTCCATTCTTCATTCTGCCACACATCACCCGCCCTCTGCATCACATTTGTTTTCACTTTCACGCCATTTTCCCCCAATAGCCCTCTCCTGTTCCACACGCGCACCCCGCTGCAATTACTGAGCCGGGCGTCTCTAACGGCCCACCACAGAGAAACTGTTGTCTTCAAAGATGAAGCGCTTTAGCCAGAGAGTTGTGAGTACCCTCCCTCATTTGATTCCTCAAGGGCGCTCCCCGCAGCTGCCCGTCATTCTTCCCTGACGGCCGAAGTCCTGACAGCCATGATCAGCTCTCTCGGGGCAAGGACCCTAGCAAATCCTCCAAGAAGAATAAGGATTCCAAAGATGGCACCGCGTCGCCTAACAGCATCGGCTCGTCAAGAGACTCCAATCAGTCTCCTGTCCTCACACCCTCCTCCTCGTCTTCGAATCTGAACGACATCCGAAACAAACCTCTTCCGCCGAATAATGCTGCAGGTCTCGACAATCCGGGGCTGGGAGGCCAAAACGCACAACTGGGCGCAGGACAGAACCCGGGAGTACCAGATAGATACACAGGTTTGGGTGGATCACCACAGTCTTCTAACGGGGGAAGCACGCCGAACCGCCACGGTACCCTCCCGCCAACCGTTATAATCAGCCCTAGCGCTCCGGTGAGTTGTTTTCCCAACCTGATTGAAGCTCCAGTCTCAGCGTCTAACCGCTCTGGCAGCATGTCCCCCCTCCTGGCGCCGCCGAGACCATGCCTCATGATCTTGCTCCTCCGAAGGCCGGCCAGAAGTCTCTCATGTTCGATCGCCTTCATCAGACCCCGAAGGATGTGCCTGAGGGCATTCGCACACCAAAGAGGCAACACTCTTCGAGATTTGACATCTCGGCCCATCGCGAACTTGAGAAGCTCCCCGGTTTTCACGAGGTGCCGCCTAACCGTCGGCAAGAGCTCTTCATGCAGAAGATTGACCAGTGCAATGTCATATTCGACTTCAATGACGCCAGCGGAGATATGAAATCCAAGGAGATCAAGCGGCTGGCTCTTCACGAGTTGCTTGATTATGTGGCTAATAACCGTCAAGTCATCACTGAGCCCATGTACCCACGGGTTGTGGAGATGTTTGCAAAGAACCTATTCCGTCCCATTCCTCCACCAATGAACCCCCAAGGCGAAGCCTTCGACCCCGAGGAAGATGAGCCGGTGTTGGAAGTAGCCTGGCCCCATATCCAGGTTGTTTATGAGTTCTTCCTCCGATTCATCGAGAGCCAGGACTTCAATACCAATATTGCGAAGGCATATATCGACCACAGCTTTGTACTTCGCCTTCTCGAACTTTTTGATTCAGAGGATCCTCGAGAGCGTGACTTCCTGAAGACCACTCTGCACCGAATCTACGGAAAGTTCCTCAACCTCCGAAGCTTCATCCGACGGTCGATCAACAACGTTTTCTTCCAGTTCGTGTATGAGACAGAGCGATTCAATGGCGTGGCGGAACTTCTCGAGATTCTGGGCTCCATCATCAACGGCTTCGCTCTTCCATTAAAGGAGGAACACAAGTTATTCCTCACCCGAGTGCTGCTGCCTCTTCACAAGGCGAAGAGTCTGAGCATGTACCACCCGCAGCTAGCCTATTGTATCGTGCAGTTCTTGGAGAAAGATGCATCACTTACAGAAGAGGTACGCTGACCATTCTACTTCCGCTGGACATTAACTGACATTTGTGTAGGTGGTGCTTGGTCTCCTCCGGTATTGGCCCAAGGTGAACAGCACAAAAGAGGTCATGTTCCTCAACGAAGTTGAAGACATCTTCGAGGTCATGGATCCTGCTGAGTTCGCAAAGGTGCAGGAGCCTCTCTTCCATCAGCTTGCCAAATCGGTTGCAAGTCCTCATTTCCAAGTTGCGGAACGTGCTTTGTACTTCTGGAACAACGAGTACTTTTGCAACTTGGTCAGTGATAATGTGGAGATAATTCTTCCCATTATGTTCGCGCCATTGTACGAGAATTCTAAGGGACACTGGAACAGGTATGTGCTCTTTGCACATTTGGGGCCTTTTAACGGCGTCTAACCATCAACAGGACGATTCACGGGATGGTGTACAATGCGATGAAGCTATTTATGGAGATTAACCCGCAGTTGTTCGATGATTGCTCGCATGAGTACACCGAACAGCAAAACAGCGCCGCTTCCCGGGAGGCCATGCGTGAGAGGAAATGGGCAACCATTACAGAACAGGCTGGCCGCAGGAAAATTAATGGTGCTCCTTCAGCTCCGCTAAGGTCTCACTCTGGATCGTTGTCAAAGGTCGACGAAATCGATGCAACCGAGGACAATCAGAAGCGCCTGGACTCCCTGAAGCTGCAGGATGGCGATCGCAGAGAGCGCCGGCCAACCATCCATGAGAGACAAAATTCGGTAGGCTCTTCCAGAAGCCAGCGATGATTTTGTCTTTTTTTGTTTTGCCATTTCGACTCCCCTTCGTTAGACTCTGGCCCGCCCCAGAGGGATCTCTTCAGATTCGCCCTCTGTCAAGCGTAGACTATGCAGCCACCACAATTCGTATACCCCTGTCATATTCAGTGCTTCCGAGGCTTTTCTAGCGACCCGTTGCACCCTACCCTTTGTTTTCGAAAACCAAAACTGTCGGAGTACACCCTCATTAACCACTGTGGCTCTTCTTTCAGGACGAGAATACGGAACCGGACCAGCAACCAGCTGAGGACGACGAGATCACGGAAACCACATGAATGATAACATCTCGATGGGGCTTGGATTCTAGCCCTCATGCATATTGACTTTGAGCGGATGCAGTCCAGCAGTCTACGTAGTCAGCACGAAGCTTCATTTCTCAAGGTCAGCGACTCCTTTACTCAACAACGCACTGTCCCACGATCACGGGTTATACATACATCTCGGCTGCTTTCTCTGGTCTTTGTCTTTTCGCCCATCCAGCGTGCCGTCTACCCCGTCCCAAAAGCCACCTTCTTTGACACGACTACTACTACTACCACTACTTCCTTCACTTCTACGACGAGCTGGAAAGGCCCACCGGGTGTTGGTGTTCAGAAATATGCTCGGACTTTAATTTCTCCTCGTTGCAACTGCCGGCGACGGCCGACGGAACGGGGACAGTGGATCGTATGATGGAAATCTTTTTTTTCTTTTTTTCTGGACTGTGGACAGGCGAAAGGGAAAGGGACTCTTGGCTTTTGTAGAGTACCACGACCAGCCGGGGGAGAGGGCGAGGAGGATGGGGTAAGTGTTGAAAAGGGGGCGGGGCGGGGATTTTCTCTAATGACCTTTTGATGTCCCCTCGGACGAAGGAGCTCAGGACGAACAGGGGGGACGGATGATTGCCCTGATGAAATGGAGATGGAGATGCAGGGGAGAGAGAAAGTACACTTTCTTGCACAAGTAGGCAGTTCTCTTTTCTGTGTTGAGTTACGTAGACATGTGAGGCCTCTCAAGGCACTCGGTTATGACATCACAAAAATCAAACGGAGTTATATGATGACTGTCTTCAACTGTCCCTATAGATGCGGTGAAGGGTTCATTTTATTGGGGTATACTGGTCTACACTGGACTGGCTTCATAAAGAGGACCACACACCCCGCGACCCGACACGAGTGTTATCATCCCCATCCCCTTCGCACTTGAGTCACCAAGCTGGGCAGCTACCACCCTCGTCCCCTATTATTATATCCTCCACGGCCGCCACGATAGCCGCCTCCGCCTCCTCCTCCTCCTCGCCCGTATTGATATCCTCCCTGGTGCTGGGGCGCTTGAGGCGGAGGAGGGGGAGGGGGAGGGGGAGGCCATGCTCCAGCCCACTGGTTCGGGTTCGGAGGGAACCAGTTCTGCTGGGACGGGCCACCCGGCGGCGGCGGAGGCGGCCATTGGCCCTGATAGCCCCCGGGTGGTGGAGGAGGCGGCGGGGGCGGGGCGTTCCAGCTGCCGTAGCCTGCTTGAGGAGGAGGAATCGGCGGCATATTAGGAGGAGGGGGATGGTGTGGAGGTTGATTGAACTGCCCATTGTTCCCATAACCTGGTGCCATAGATGGAGGCGGAGAGTAGTGAGGTGAGCGGGAAGGAGGGCCGGCATCAAATTCTCTTCCAACGTTTCGGCGTGAGGGCGGAGAGCGCGAGCGAGAGTAGCTCCTAGAGGCCCCTTGAAAGCCTGGTCGGCTGTAGCTTCGTTGACGGCTTCTTGATCTTGATCTTGACCTCGACCCCGATACATCTCGATAGTTGTCTCGTCTAGCATCGCGGCTGCCACTGCGGGAGGTCGAGGAAAGTCGACGGCGCTTAAAGGCTGGATGAGGAGAGCCTCTACTCGAGCTACTATCTCGACTAAGGCTTCGGCTGCGGCTTCGAGAAGATACTTGACCGCGAGGCTCATCGCTGTCTCCCCTGCTCCGGCGAGCCTTCATTTTCTGGCAGAAGGCTCTGGACCAGCCGTAGTAGGTATCTCCAGAGACTATGTCTCCATTGATCTCGTCCCGTTCAAAAAGCTCTCCTGTTTGTCCTATGTCGACTGACATGTCTCCATCCAGTCGAATGTCTTTTGCGTAGATCTTGTCTACATCAGCGAGCAACTTCTTGACGGCATCGACCAGAACCCTGTCAGGTGGTCCCGACGCAAGTTGCAACGGCCTGATCATTGCGGGATTCATCGGTCTGGTCGAGTTGGGCTCAATGACAGGGAGCCAGTTAGCCGCAGGCAAGTCGAACCAGGGGGTTGCCGCATCACCGTGCATAGATGGCATGACGAAGGGAGCTTCTTTGGCTTTATTATTCGAGTTTGATACCTCGGTCAACTTTGTGCCATTCTGATCAGCACCTGCAGCAAGTCCCGGGCCTTCTTCGACGGCTCGTCGAAGATCCTTAATGAGTTGCGGCGAGACATAGCCTTTGTCGTCCCAGATATCAAGTACGGTTTCTATCTTGCGGATATGTTTCGGACATTTTGAGAAGGACGCAGCACTTTTCACCAGTGAAATTAGATGAGTCTCGATACCCTTGATGAATGTGTCGTCGCCAAGCCTCAGCTTGACATGGTGGAAGATGTCGTTGAGTATGTAAAGTAAATGTAGCCGCCGCCTTTTCGCCGAGGGCCGAGGCGACTTTGCAGAGGCTTCTGGAGTGTAAGTGTTGGCGAGGGCGACCAGATATCTCCCCAGAGCGCCGGCGCGGGTAGGCGACCGGACCAGGTGTTGCAAGGCCCATTGCTTGCATTTCTGTACGAAGACAAATATAAAACAGATGTTTAGCCGAGGCTCAAGGGGCTTGTAACGGATATTCTTGTGTGTGCCAAACCTGAACGTTGGTCGGTGAGCACCGGGAAATGGTCTCGCCGAGCAGCCCATGGAACTGCTCGATCTCGTCGCGCGAGCAGGAGCTGGGGTCGGGTCGGAAGAGCACTGCGGACAGTGACGCCTTCGCTATGGCGAGCTCTGCCGCTGGCGGCGCCATGGCTGGCGGTCTAATGCTTGTGGCAGAAGCTATTGACGGGCTCGTTGTACTCGTGGGAGGGATGTAGGAAGGGCAGACGGCGATTACAATAGAGGATAGTGTCGAGTCGTAAAGACCCATGAAAGCTTTCAGGTACGAGAAAGGTCGGGTCCACTCGACCTGCTTAGATGCATGTCATTAAAGGGAGGAAAGGACAGTCTACGCTAGGTGATCAAACCTTGGCGCTTCTTGCCCCGCAGTAACCTCGCCATGAACAAAACAGCTTCAATTGCATAAAGTTTATTTAACCGACAGCTTTGCAATATTCGAGGTCTCATCTTAATCATAAGCCAGCCATGCCAGATTCCAACGCCAGTAACGGTGCTCACAAGGAGCAGTAATCGCAGAAGTACATGGGGGAGAGGGGAATAATCCGGCAGCCTTTTGTTGTCGTCCTTTCAATATCAAATGACGAACTATTTAATAGGAAAATCACATGTACATCAAGAAATCGAATGGCCAGGTTTCTGCTGCCCCGGATGAATGCCCTACTCGCTCGACATGGCCGGCCGTTATGAGAACCGATCGCCCTTGGGACTTCTGAATGGCGCGGTACTCTCGTATTTACTCTTCTCAAACACTCGTTGTCCCTCCGTAGTCGGCGCATGTCTCGTTGGCGCGGGGTCGGCGCTCGACTCTTGACTCGGCGATCCTGCTGTGTCGGTTCGCGCCGGGCTTCCGTTGTTACCGTTGCCGGTCATCGCAGAGCCGCCCATTGCAGAGGAAGAGAGGGGGCGGGAGGGGACATTGGAGCCGTATTCCATGGACTCCATCATGTCCTTCTTCTTGCGCTGCTGCTCAAGGCGGGACTGACGGTCGGCGTTGATGCTCCTCTTGGCGAAGACGTATGCGGCGCCACCGGCTGCATCAAGGAAAGATAGTCAGTAGAAGCAATGTCAATTGGGGTGGTGACGCAACCATACCAACACAGAGGGAACCCCAGCCTAGCCTGCAAGGTGGTGGTGTTAGCTACCAGAAATATGAGTCGACAAAGGGCTTTATCTCGTGCTCACCAGAAAGATCTAACCTGGAGAGAGAGAGAGACGGGTCAGTGCCCACAGCTGGTGTATAATGACAAGCTGAGGAGTGTGTGCTACTCACAGTGTTCATCTTGTTGGTGGGTCGGGAGAATGCCTTTCTTGCTTGACGTGAAGCTGATGGATGGGCGGCGGGTGGTGCAACCTTGCAGATGCTGGGGAAGAAAGTATGGGGAAGCAGAAGAAGCAGTGTCTTGTGTGTTGGAGACTGCAAGAGAGCGGGATGAGGTGATGATAAGGACGTGAGTTGCACGACAGCTGCAGTGCAATGACTGGTTGACTGGTTGATTGATTGATTGTCTGAGGTGTGGTGATGTATGTATGGTTCCAAAATCTTTTGGCCAGTTGGTTTTCAGAAATACCTTGCCATGGATTGAGACTGACTGCGGGATGAGACGGGATGAAAATCACTGGATGGACGGGTCTAGCTCTCCCAAGGGTCCCCGAGCTACTCCAAAGTGGCGTGTTTGTGATCCATTTGGCAGCCAAGCTGGTGGGTCTGAGTGGTGTAAGTTCAACTAAGTTGGAGCTGCCCTCGCTGCCGTCCCGGTCGAATGCATTTACAGGGGCATGTGGGGCTAGAGACCAGCCTCGTATGCGTTTCCTACAAGTATAACTCTAGATGCATATTATTGCAAGTCTCGAGTTATCGTTACTTATCTGTGATTATCTGTCATCCGGTGGTGTAACGGGAGCTCAGTGCCTTGGGCCCGAGAAACTACCGGCGCCAGTGGAGCAGCAGTACTATGTACTATGCAGTAAGGGCAGTGCAGGCCGCGTTGCGTTCATCTCGCGCGCACACGTACCCGTACTCTACAGCTATGGAACTTCCACCCTTACTCGTATTATGCCTTAGTCCAGTTTCGGAGGTGGTGACGTTGTCAGGCTGGCCCCCAAATTCCCATGAATCTGAGCATAGTACACCCACCATAGTCACTACGAGCCCGCCCTCAAGGCTCTACAGTATGAATGTATCGCAATTTGGTCTGACCAGGCTTCACAATGCATCTGCAGATGCAGAGACCTCGGCTAAAAATACAAACAGAGCGAGCAGACTGCTGTAACCACCTAGGTATCTATCACCTTCCCTTAGGCCATTGTCAGAGCGCGCAACGGCATGAATTTAGCGGCACTTGAGATCTCCATAAAACAGTCCTAATTTTAGGTGGGATACAAGCTGGGCTGTTCGAGAAGGCTGTCAGTGTGTGTGTGTCACCCTGGTAGGTTAGTAGGTAGAGACGACGGCGCTTTCCAGTGTGGAGAGCAAGGGGAATAGCCACTGGATGGCCGCATGAGGTACCTGGAAACCCAAGACAGGTCCCCCAGCTGTCTGCGGTAATAAATGCACTACGTAAGTACCTTGAGATGGAGATGGGAATCTTACACACATGCACACTACCAGTACGCCTCATCGCTCGTTTAGAGTTGATGACCACGCTGGAACAAACTGTTGATTTTTCTGACTCTGGGATCCTGCTGGCCGCCTCAGTTCTGACATGCTCACAGCTTACAGTCAGTCAACCTACTACCTATCGCATATCAAATCAATTAGCCAACAAGTGGGCACCCGTCTTCTTCACAGCCATTCTTGATCGACTCTACATCTCCTAGAGAGAGAGAGAGAGGGTACATGCCGCACCGCTGGGCTGCCTCTGACGCACTCTGGTACCACCTGCATCCCACTCGTCTCCATTTCTCTGGCTCTGGGCAGTGATCGACATCCCCTCAGGTGCCCTCTACCTTACCCAAAACATTCGAGTAATTAGCTGTGCTACCTCCTTGCAATATCAAAGACGACACCTCGGTCGCCTCTCCTCTCTGGCAACTCATGATTTTATGAGAGCGACAGTCTGGGGTGGTTGTTATGGGGACCTCAAGTAGCCCCGCTGTACATCGACAACCACCACCACCACCACCACCACCACCACCGCCGCCGCCGCCGCCAGCATGGACGAGTCCGCCAAAGGAGGAGGAGGAGGGCCTGATGGCTCCTCCATTGTGAGTCGCAATGACTTGTGTGCCCCCTGTATGGCTGCTCACATGCTCTCAGAAACCAGTGTCTTCGCTCTTGTCACATTTCGAGAACATGAACAAGGGAAACGACCAGCCTCAGTCGCAGCCATCTCATACGCCCCTTCGAACAGTATCCCCTGCTCCAGCCCCAAAGCCAGAGAAGCTGCGCGATGCAAGCATACATTCGAAGGAGCCGCCTTCAGTGCCCAAAAACAAACTAAGAGACTCTTTGAACTTATCCAGCCTCCATCTCCCACCGCCCACCGAGAACGAAGCCCGCTCCCCGAACCCAAGAGGCTTCCATCCTGCTCCCCTAAGCCCCCGACCTATAAAACCGCCCTCGCTCCTCGTCGAACCGCCGCAATCCCCTCCCAAGGGTAGAGCCTTGAACCTCGCTACGAGCGAACAGTCGAGCTTCTTGAACCCCGACGCGGTAGTGAAGGCTGGCTCACCTGCTTCGGCATCGCGCCAGTTCAAGATCCCTAGCCGTCCCCATACACCTGTGCTCGAGCCTCGACGGTCGCCAAGGTTGTCGGCTTCTCAGCCTCCATCTCCTCCTCCACCCCGCAGATCAGCTGAACTTCGAAGAGATCGCGACTCGAAACCGCCGCCACCTCCTGTGAACCGGTCAGACAAACCTGCAGTGCTCTCTCGCAATTCGTGGATGGGGGACGCCAATCATGCTCTAGATTTGAGGAACCATGCTACAGAAAGGGTATCTCCGAAGGTGTCGCCCTTCAATAGTCCACCTAGCAGCGGCTCTGCTAGTGTAGATGAAGACATACCCCCGTCGCTCCCTACGAGACCAAGACCACAGGTGTCTGCAGAACCCGCCCCGATCAAGAAATCAAAGACAATACAAGTGGATTTCGAACCTCCACCAGTACATCATACAGTGGCTAGTAAGAGGAGAGAAAAGGACTATGACATGAACGGTAGCATAAAGGGGCAGACGTCGGTACAATCTCCTAGCGAACAGGTGCCAGCTTTGCCTACCCGGCCCCGTACAACTGCCATTGACCCGACGCCCGCCCGATCAGAGACGCCTTCTATGCTCCCGCCTCCACGACCGCCCCGGCCTGGTCTTTCAACCTCCCAGTCAGTCATCAGTGGGCCAGTTTCTCAGAAGCGTGTTGTATCGACACCTACCACGCAATTCGCGCCACCTCCACAACGACCAGTCGGTAGGTCCTTGACTGTGTCCGACAGGAGCATGACTAGAGCAGTGAATGAGGTCCGACAGCCGTCCATGGTAGTTGCGACCACGCCGGAGCATCGTGGTGCAGAGTCATCATTGGTCCCTTCTTCGAAGCAGGAAGCCTCAGAACATGTGACCACGGCGTATCCAGATGCTTCTAATACCAACCGGAGGCCTCCATTTATCAAACAGGGTGTTCACGAGATTCAGACGAAGTATGACAGCCGGATATTCGATGTTTGCGGGGAGCTAGTCTGCACGAGTGGGCATCTCACAAGAGTATGGAGTCTCCTGGATGGTGAACTACTCATGAGCTTTGCGCATGGTGAGGGCGTGAAGGCTACTGCAGTCGCTTTCAAGCCGGGAGCGAACGTCGATGAGGAAGGCAAGAGACTGTGGATCGGAAACAACATGGGCGAGTTGATGGAGGCGGATATTGCAACACAAAGCGTTGTCTGCACGAAACCCGGAGCTCACGGCCGCAACGAGATCATCAAGATCTACAGGCATTTCAACGAAATGTGGACGCTTGACGATGCTGGGACGATGCATATTTGGGCGCCAGACGCGGATTCTGTACCGAACATGGCCAGCAACCCCAGTCAATCATACCGGCTGCCCAAAAATCATTCCTTTTCAATGGTCGTTGGTGACGAGCTGTGGCATGCGACTGGGAAGGAAATTCGAGTCTTCTTGCCAACTCCAGACGGACGCAGCCAGTTCCAGGTTCTCATACGGCCCCTTCTTCAGGAGAGTGCTGGCGAGGTCAGCGCCGGTACTGTACTTTCTACGGACCCCAATAAGGTCTTCTTTGGGCATATTGACGGCAAAGTCAGTATATACTCGAGGAAGGATTACACTTGCTTGGGACTGCTGAATATAAGCACTTACAAGATCAATTCACTCGCCGGAGTTGGCAGTAATTTGTGGGCAGGCTATAATACGGGCAAGGTCTGCGTATATGACATGAGCCAAACACCTTGGACGGTCAAGAAGGACTGGCAGGCTCACGAAAATCCCGTGGTCAAGCTCATTGCTGATCGATCTAGTCTGTATAAACTGGATCGGGTTCAGGTTGTCTCACTTGGCGCAGATAATATGCTGAAGGCCTGGGACGGCCTGCTTCAAGAAGACTGGCTAGAGGAAGAGATGAAAGCCCGGGACTCTCAATATTGTGATTTTGAAGAAATCAAGGCTCTGGTCATGACATGGAATGCTGGAGCGTCTACGCCGAACAGCTTGAGGTATTCGGATTCTGATGCGAGCTTCATCCAGAATTTGCTTCAAAACAGCGGTTCCCCAGACATACTTGTTTTTGGGTTCCAAGAACTTGTGGATCTCGAAGATAAGACGGCTACGGCCAAGCGATTCTTGAAACCGAAGAAAAAAGAAGGCTCCGATCAAGAGCGGATGAGCCACCAGTACCGTGACTGGAGAGACTTTCTTGTCAGGAGTTTGGATGACTACATGTCTGGAGATTTGTACCATCTTCTACAGACTGCCCATCTCGTCGGACTGTTCACTTGCATATTTGTCAAGGCTGACTTAAGGGACCGGATTCGGAATCTGAGCAGCGCCGAGGTCAAACGAGGTATGGGTGGTCTGCACGGGAATAAGGGCGCTATTGTCGTCCGTTTCATGATAGATGACTCTTCACTCTGCTTTGTCAACTGCCATCTTGCAGCAGGGCAGTCTCAAGCAACCCATCGACACAATGACATTGCTGCCATCTTGGAAGCTAGCATCCTACCAGTTGAACGCGACCCAAACATTCGTGTAGACAGTTACACTGGAGGTGGCGATGGCACGCTGATTCTCGACCACGAGTTGTGCATCGTCAACGGTGATCTAAACTATCGTATCGACACCATGTCACGAGACACGGTCGTGGCAGCTGTCAAGGCTAACAACCTAAACAAACTCCTAGACCGCGATCAGCTTTTAGTAGCTCGTCGTCGAAACCCAGGCTTCAAGCTCCGAGCATTCGAGGAGTTACCAATCACATTTGCCCCAACATACAAATATGATGTTGGGACGGACAACTACGACTCGAGCGAGAAGAAGCGTAGTCCTGCCTGGTGCGACCGCCTGTTATACCGTGGCCGAGGCAGGATACAGCAACTCGATTACCGGCGCCACGAGGTGCGGGTTTCTGACCATCGACCCGTGACCGGGCAGTTCCGATTGACAACGAAGAGGATCTCGCCAAAGAGGAGGGCCGTTACGTGGATGGAGTGTCAGCAGCGCTTTGAGGATGTCAAAGCTAGGGACGCGACTGCAGAGAAGTATGTTTGGTGCAACCAGAGTCCCCAAATTGGGTATGAAAACAGGCCTGCTAACAATCGACCTAGACTCTATTATCTAACACACGTCATTGGATACGATGCGGCTACAAGCAAAAGCTTAATCCGGGAGCGATCTGGACGGAGAGATCACAGGAGCCCTAGTAGACATCGGGAGTGATTGACTATATCATATTATCATGGAGAAAGAACAGGGAGTTACTAAAAGCGGCAGAGAGGCCAAACGGCGCTTGATGCCTAATGATGCAAGGGGAGGAAACGCAGAGCATCGAGCCGGGCTACTGCCATGCCATTGTACAAATCGGGGAGCTCATCCTAGTTGGTGATGAAGGGTCGACGCATGGTGTGAAACGGAAAGGTCTGGGCCGGCGCCGTGGGCTGAGCGGCATTTGGCCCGCATATTTAGACAATAGGTATGCTTTACAGCATAGTAAATCTGTCAATAGCATGAATGAGTATAAATGATTTGATGACTGATCACTTGCAATGGACTACGATCACGGTACAGGAAAAACATCTGCTTAAGAAAGAATTGTGTTATTATATGCTCATTGTTGGATCTCCTAGGGTCTTGCCCCTTTCCTTGCTAAATGGTATTATTAGTATGCGAGATAGAGCTTTTATATAAACGCCGGTCCCATGAATGAATCTATGCTCATCCTCCCTTCCTTCCTTCTCGCACTAGCCCATTAATTCTCCTATATAGCCACGCATGCACGCATGCACGCATGCACGCATGCATGCATGCATGCAATATTACCCATCTGTCTTCTGATACACACGGATAGAGCCAGTCCTGCGGACGTCCTCCGCCGTCGCCGTGCGTATGGCCCTCAGGGCCGGGCGTCCCCTGCGACTAGCCAGCGCCGAGTTCATAGTGATGGGGTTGCTCGCCAGCGGGCCCGACGTCGCCATCGGCACGATGGGCGTCGCGTTCCCCTTGACGAAGACGCTGTACCCGTCCGCCGGCGGCGCCGTCCTGTCCCAGCGCGCGGGCGTGTCGGGCGCATGCAGGTCCGTGGCCGACCGCCGCGCGCGCAGGTTCAGGGGCGCGGTCGACGACACCGAGCTGCTGGCGGTGTGGGTGCGGGATATCGTCGAGGTTGCTGGTCGGCGGCTGCTGCTGTTGTTGCTATTGCTGGTGTTGCGGGCTGGGAGGAAGGAGAAGGTGAAGGCCTCGCGCCGGCGGCGGAGGGCGCAGAATAGAAAGCCTGCTGCGATGCCGAGCACGATGATCCCTCCGCCGATGGCGATTCCGATCACGGCGCCGAGGGGAAGAGCATTTGAGGAGTTGTTCGAGCTGGAGCCGCCATCATTGCCGCCGTCACCACCGCTGCCTGTGGTGTTGTCGTTCCCTCCTCCAGCGCCTGAACCAAAGTCTGGCTTGTCACCCGACGTAAAAATGTCTTTTACCTCGTCGTTGGTCCAGACGACCGCGTCTAGGCCGCCATTGCGATAGAACTCTTGCACAACCTCAGGGGTGTCGTACGCTGCCGCGTCAACATCATAGGAGGCTGTCCATTCTAAAGTGGTCATATCGAAAATACCGAGCCCCTGCGCCCATGGGTCGGGGTCGGTCATCGACTCTGGATATCCTTTCATAGCATTCGTCCCCCCGATGGACAGCACTTGTCTCTTGCCATCGCCAACCGCCACGCAGGCATGGTCGGCACGTGGTGTGGACAGGGTACTGTTTGCCTTCGTAAAGACGAAGCCCGGAAGGGAGAGGACAAAGACTTCGTCAGAGGTGGTAACGGCTGCTGTCTCCAGACCGCCGTACAAGAATATTTCGTAAGTGTTGTTTGGCCCCTGTACTCCAACAGTACAGAAGCGCTGGCGACCAGTCGGTCGATCTCCAGTGGTTGCTTGTGAGAACCATTGTCGTGAGATGGGATCATAGAAGGTGATGTTGGTGAAGCCCAGGTCAGTCGAGGAGAGGGCAAAGTCTGTCGACGGGCCCTCTACACCTCCAAGCAGCATGATCAATCCGTTTGGACCGAATGGTACGAACTCAGCGGCTCCATTCACCATGGTGCCGAACTTCCCGAAGCCGCTCGTCGAGGTATTAGTCCAGACGGTGGACTTCATACCCATGGAGACAAGACCGGGCACCGCAATGTCACTTGTCACGGTGGCATTGGACTGCGATGTAACCAGACCGCCGAAGCAGTAACCAACGTCAGAACTATGCGTGAAGGCACATCCATCTGGACGGACGAGCTCATCAAAGGCTCTTTGGTTGGACGGTATCTTAATTGACCAGAAGCCGCCACCGCCACCGTCGGCGAAGAACTCCCAGGACTCATCTTCCGGTGGGTCGTTGGGAGATGCAGCAGAGCCTCCCCATATCCAGAACGAGCTGGCCGAAAGGTCGGTCCAAATGGCTTGGTTATTTAATACTGGGGCATTCAACGCGCCCTGCTTTGAAATTGAATTGAAAGGAACCGTCGAGTTCGTCCACGACTCTCTCAGGCTGATTGATAATGTAGAGTTAACAGGGTAAGAGGGATGATCTGATGGAGGCTGAGCTCCATTAACGACTTGGGAAACTTCTCCACCGTCGATATATACAAAGTCACCAATGACTGTGGCTGCGGAGGGTGTTAGATGAGGGTCACAAAGACGACCTAGTAGCTGATGGCTCACCTGCGGAAAAAGACCGCCGTATAAAATCGGCAGACGAAGGGGTATCAACCTCTCGCCGCCGAAGAGCACTACCGTGTGAGAGCTCTGCCCATGTAGATAACACCAATGCTACCGACGCCGCGTACGAGCACAAATATCGCATTGAGAGCGAGATACCGGACCGCGTAGGTCTCGTCTAGTACACATAGGAAAAGAGAATTAACAATTAGGTGAAGGCCGCACTTGAAGCCTCCACCGACTGAGCAGCGAAGACATGAAGAGAAAGAGAAGGAGAAGAGAAGAAGAATCCGACACTGATCAGATGAGCCATCCGAGAAAACCGTCCAGGAAGAAATGCACATGCTCAACAGCTGTGTTTTGCTCGCCATGCCAGCACCGGCACCACTCCTTTGTGGAAAGAACGCAGTCTACAAATGTGATGCGGAGGCCACTTGGCTGCCACAATGCAACGTGACTATCCCAAGGATAGAAGCAGTGGTGCGAAAGAGGAAATGTCAAACACTGGTTGAGGTTTTGGCAGGCATAAGGTTGTCAGAAGGCCCTGTTGATGATTGGCGCAGGCCTTGTGGTTCCGAGGAGCAGGTGGACTGAGCTGAGCATGGCCGACCATAAGAGTTGTCAGCTCCGAGCTCTCTTGGCTCCGTGCGAGGCTCACGAGAGATCGACGGGTGCAGAATCAGGGGCCTTCCCGGGAGGCGGTGCCTGGTTGAGGGGCTCGAGGGGAAAGCCCCATTGAAGCGGTGTTTCGAAAGCGTCCGTAAAGGAGGGTGTCACAGGCTTTGGTGAGGTTTCGAGTCGCTGAAACGAGCCATGGTGGTAACCAGGATACTGGATGGCTCTCCCACACCAACAGCTGGCAATCCCCGGCCGGCTCTTCAAAAAGACCCCTGGAGTCGAGAGGAAAGTCGCCGAGACTTGCCATTGACCAAACCTGGTGATCTTGTTGTGTTTGACACGGGCGCCATAAAGCCAGGCCTTATGGTAGCGTATGCGTTCATGCCGCGTGCACTGGCAATTTGATATTTTGGATCTCGGTTGGATGCATTCAATGGCCGTTCAACAGGTGATCACAAGCCTGCGTTGCTCTGCTGTTGTTTCAATCGTGCCGTGATGCTGTGATTTGACAGACTGTCGACCATTCAATAGAATAGGTACACTGCTGGAGGTTATTGCTGTCGTGCAGCAGGGGATCATGGCGGATTTCTGGTCGGTTTGAAGCAGACGAAGCAGCCAAGTAGCTTGTGGTCCTCGTGTACATACAAAACATGCAACGATGAACATGCTGCAGGGTGCCAAAGGCAGATAGTTGGACAGAGCTCTACTCTCTCACAAAGACGCCACCAGGTAGAAGCTGAGAACAATTACCGTAATATCGGAAATGAAGAGCAGCATTCCGGCTGTTGACAATACGGCTCTCCAAGACTCTAGAACGCTTCACGCAGAAGGAGCTACCAACCATATGGGAATTATGAGCGATTACTTGATTAAGCCACCCAATATAGGTAGTATACCTCACTTCGAACGTGTGTATTAGGAATTATGGTAGATTTTCACAAGCACAGATATAACCTACCTAGCTCCGGCCTAGGTAGACATTCCCAGGGACCTAACTGCACTAAATTGTGCACTGATGCAGCAGCTCATGATGTCATTCGAGATGTGAATCTGGGGAAGTGCCCAAGTCCCGTGGCTTACAACCGCCACCCTTCTATTGGGCCCTTTGTGGTACTAGCATTCACTTACAGCCACCCAGACTCGCATCGCGGCATTGGTTCATTCGGCTTCTTATTAGGCCCTTGACCTCCTCTAATTGTGGGATTCTGGACCTTATTTGGTCCGTCTGTTACGTTGATCTTGTGTCATATTACTGCCTGCGGTGTTACTTACATACCTCATAGAGTCAAGGCTTAACCCCGAGAGCACAACGCCTCATTTCGGCCTCCGAAGCAGACGACGAGATCTCAGGCTCCCGGTCTTACGAGGTAGCACACCTCTAGACACTTGGGGCCAGGCCAATTATCTTGTAGTCCGATAGATCTGCCTCCTCCCGAAGCCTCAAATTAGTAATGAGTTGGAGTGGCCAAGAGTTCACGTGTGTCGTGCCTGCTATTTATGACGCGGAGTCTTTCTTGTCGTGCATATAGCGATACGATCTATAAGACAGGCTGGTCTCGTCCGGATGCTCTCCTCCAAAACGGCCACTCGGTGCGCAAATGCCGTCTTCAGGAGATTGCCAAGCATCATCCCCAGTAGCTCTAGACGTCTAACCAATATGGCGACACCATATCAAATGCATGTAGTCCCCGAGGACTCTGGTTTGTGGAAGTTTGATCAAACTGCCGACGCCGCCAATAAGGCTTCAGAGCTCTTGCAAAAGGATCTTGAGGTGAGAATATTCGCTCTCAACAGGTTTTTGGGACTCATGTGCTAACAAACGGCAAGCAACATCACGTATTCTTTAACAACGATGGATTTCACAACCATGTAAGCCCCCGTGGTCCATGTCAACACCTGTCAGCTAACAAGACGATTCAAGATCGTTCATCACATCTTGGCTCTGTACGGCACAGGTGCTGGGCCTCAGGCGCTACAAAGGGGATATGATAACAATGCGGGCTACCAGCGCCGTGTTCTCAAGTCTCATGATCGTGTCATCGAGGACCTCAAGTCATGGGAGAATGCTCAGAAGTATCTTGGCAAGGAGCAATACTATCCTGACTTTTTGCAATTCTTCCAGCGGGAGATCGAGGCCAAGGGTTGGCAGGCTGTTCTCAATGAGTACGTTTTCGCGGGCACCGAGTCGGCAGATGACATGCTGGCACGACTCTTCGCCGGCTTTCTTCACCCCCTGATTCAGCTGATGTACGGAGTCGAGTGGGCGCAGCCAGCCATCGTGGCCGAGGCCCTAGCGCAGACGTGCGTCCATCGCAATGACCTGAAGGAATTCCTTTTCGCCAGCGAGAAGAGGGCAAATGAGTCAGCCAACACGCCGATGCCCTCGATAGTGTCCCTCCTCGATGCGGTGTATGCGGATCAGAAGTTGGCCAACTCGGCTCAGGCTGGAGACAGCAATAAGATCAGGGACGGTGTGCTCAAGCGAGCAAAGGAGGAGATGCTCGCTATCACTAGCCAGGTCAAAGTTCGCCCGGAGGAGCTTGAGGAGAAGACGGTTGAGATGTTCAATGCGTGTGTGTATGCTGCAGCTGGTGCAGCTATCCACCCACCCAAACATATCAAGTTTGACTTCTTTTTGATGCGAGTATACCTAGTTTTCGAAATAGAGGGTAGGGATGCCCTGCTAATATTTTGAGCAGACATCACGTCAACTCATCCCCTCTTTTTCTGGCGTTCAACGCTGAACCAGCATTTTCTCTGGAGTCCAAAAGACGTCTCTTGGAGTACAAGATCAGGATGGACCTAGTCCAGTATGCAGCTCGCTCTGCTCCAGCGTTGCCTCTGGAAGCAATCGTATCCTACACACCGAAGGAGAAACCAGGGGAGATCAAACAAGCAAGTGGTGAGTATCATCGCGCTATTTTGTCTTTCCGACCCCCTGATGCTTACGGCGTACTTCAGATCTGGTCTCTCGAATTCATAATCTGCATGATGACGGACACGCTATCAAGCTCGCCCGCGCAGCTGGCCTTTGTCAAAATATATCAAAGAAATACGAGGACAAGGACTGGATGCGTATTAAGGGCGAAGACCTTTGGATGAAGGTTCATCATATGGTCGTGGATTCTGTTGAGGGACCAGGTCCGAATTGGGTGAGGGGGGCTGGTCTAGATGAGATGTGGAAGGTAAGTGTTTGAAGTGTTGACATAGCACGAACCTCCTCTAACATGGTTACAGGATGTGCCAGACCAGGCAAAACTTTGAAGGCTAAGATTGTAACAACTCTTCTTATTGTAATGTCGCTGAATTATGGGATATGAGCGATGGTTGGAACGGCACAGGCATGGACAGCGTGCATTATAGGCTTAGAGGGCAATGGAATTTACCATGCGATCCAGTGGCAGTCATTGCGAGCACATTATATTCTATATGTAATCTAATCGAGGCCTATCCACTCCTCTTCCTCGGCGTGCTCCGATATGAGGTCGTCAAAGCTCAGTTTCTCCTGTCTAGTGAGAAGCTTCACCTCAGCATCCTCTGGCAATGCACCGGCCAGCAATCCATTGGTTTGCGTCGCATCCTTAGTGCCCACTTGTCCGAGGAGATAGTCCACCATGTAGACATTCTCATCGGCTAACCTGCGGATCTCGTCCCGCATCCTTGTGACAGCGCGAGCGACTACTCGCAGCTCCACGTCCGCTTTACCCCTATTGGCCGTCAACCAAGCTCCGTGCTTGTCAACGAGGGCTTTGATCCAAAGCAGACAAAATTCTATATGCGGTGATTGCTCAGTTTGTGCAGCGACGAATCGGAGCAGCCTCGGTACGTAGACTGTTGGGAAATCAGCCACAACCAAGGGTATGTCGGTATAAGGCACTGCCTCGAACACTCGCTTGATCAAGCCCGCTTCGTTGAGGCGGAATGCCATGACAAGTGCTTTGAGGTAATCTCTCTCATTTTCTAGGACTGCCAGCGTAGACGCCGGCGTGATCTCCATGTTGAGATCGAAGGGGTCGAATTGCAGCGTGTTGTCCACGCTGTAGATAAGCAACCCTTCAGTAGATGCTGCGCAGAAGGCTGTGCCAGCTGGCGAGAAGGCCACGCCATTTACTCGAACTTCTGGCATCTTCCTTCGTGCAGAAGGATCACCGCCACGCTTCGAGCCCGGAAGTGACCTATCAATGCGGTCCTCCCGGTCAGAGGCCTCGCCTTGATCATCGATCATATCAGCTGGGCCAGCTTCTGTCAGAAGCTTGCTGTTGAGAAACTCCTGTGTCCCAGAAAGGGACAAGTTCACACTCACTGTGAACTTCTTGAGGAGAACCATGGTGGAAACCGAGTACAAGCAAATATATTTGCTGTTACCTGCGGCAAGTAGACAGCTTCCATCGGTGCTATATCGGATGGTGTTGAAACTCTTCGTTCCAGCGACGTTGGCTGCTGTTCTACGGTCAGTGATTTTCCGCCCGCCAGATACATCTCGGCGGCCGTCCAGTCCAGCTACTTGTTCGGCTTCTGACACAGACCAGAAAGTGAGTTGTCCGTCTAAAGTAGAAATGGCGAGCTGTAATGAATCCGGCCGGAATGCAATGTCGAGCAAATCTGCCTGCAACTGTATAGGCTCGCTTGTTTGCGTTCTGTCGAAAATGGACCATATTCTGGCCGTTCTGTCCCAGCTTCCACTGACTAGCAGGCCTCCATTTGGCGCGAATGCGAGTGAAGATATAGGACCTTCGTGTCCTGATAATTGATCGAGTAGCTGCCCGGTCTGGACGGACCAGATGTGAACGTCGAAAGAATCGAGCGAGCCAGCAGCAACCACCTCCCCGCTGGGATCAACAGCCATGCATGAAAACGATAGTCGTGTCGGTGCTGTGAATGTTCTGAAGTTTCGATACCGTATCAAATCCCAAGCTCTTATAGAGCCGTCAAGACTGGATGTGAAGAGGACATTGCCTTTCTTCGCAAACTCGCAGGCCGTGACACCACTTGTATGTTCTGTAAAAGTCACAATACAGAAGCCGGACTCTATATCCCACACTTTGATTTTGCCGTCATCGGCAGTTGTGATAATGCGCTGGCCATCAGGGGAGTATACCAGGGAGTTCATGGAATCAAAATGACCTTGCTGCTTCAGGATATAAGACTCCGACTGCCACTCCCAAACTAGCAACTGGCCCAGCTTGGAAGCACCAAATGCTAACCACTCTCCACTTCTGTTGATTGTGACAAAGTCGATCTCGTTTTGAGAGATGCTAAGCGTATGTATCATGTTGAAGTCGGGCATTTCGTATAGACCAAAAATTCCGTTTGAGAAGCCGGCAACAAGCAGGTTTGACTCTGGATGGAAGGCAGCACACCTTAGATGAGCATTGTTTTGCATGAAGTAATGCCGGCCCACTATCCTCCAGCGCATCTTGGACTCATCTTCGTCTTCGTCCATATCATCTTCGTCTCGCTGTGGGCCTTTGTATTGCCAGTCAAAGACCGCACCATCTTTGCTGACTGTGTATATAGTCTCCTGGTCCTGCGAGAACCAAGCACCGACCACAGCCTGCCTGTGACCTGACAGGACTGTGGGTGTGAATCCTTCCTCTGGATTTACGCTCCATATCCTTGCCGTCAAGTCCTTGGAGGCGCTGATGAAGAATCGGGAATCGCTCGACCATTCAATAAATCGCACATCATCGAAATGTCCGGTATGTGTGTGGTGGCGCACAAACGGTGCAAACTCCAGCTCGCCCTCTGCGTTCGAGTCCGGTGTGGAGGGCACATGCCAGACCTCGAGTTTCCTTCCCAATCCAACGGCGAAGTAGCGCCCAGACGGAGAAAACGAGAGTGCTGTAACGCGGGATCGGAAGGAGAAGTGATATATCCCAATGCGCCGGGGCACATTGGTCAGGATAGCGTGGCCATCTTCGTCAATTGAGAGGAGCAAATTCCCTTGAGGCGTGAGGCCGATCCTTGTGATGTTCTTTCGGTGCGCAAACGGCAAGGTGAATGATTTGTTGCTATATATCAGGTCAATAAGAGCAATGAGGCGACGATTGCATAGGAGTTTGAACATACTTGACCAAATCGAAGACTGTCACCCTATTTCCTACTGGCGAGTATAGATGGGTGCCATCAGGACTATACAGAAGATTGCCCTGACAATAGACAGTTCCAAGAAGATTGGAAAACTAATTGACGATTAGTGATTCTGATGAATTATACAGCTCTGAAGTTTACATACCTTAAAATCTGTCTTCATGGTTACCTGCTAGCCATTTCTCCTTCGATATGCAGGTGGAGGAATGGAGGGCTATCTCGAAGCTCTTCACAGTGTCGTAGGTGGGCTGCATGGGTCTATGGTCGCTTGGGAACTTTTTCCAAAAATTTTGGCGGGGTCGGTGAAAACTAATGGCGGTGCTCCGGCACTTGTCTGGAAAGGGCAAGGCGGCAGTCGTAGTGCTGCCAGGGCAGGAGCCGGAAGGGACCTAGGAAAAGGGGGCCAAGGGGGCACTCCTGCTGCCCTGTGCGTCTGGAAATTTGACAGGTGAGGACTTCTCCTGAACGGCTCGAGCTCTCTCCGCCTTTACTCTAGTTGTCAACATTGAAACATCCGTCCATTTTTTGTTTTGCGACCCCAGCCTTGTTCTTCTCAATTGCCATCATTGAGGGGATCTCAATACTCGTATCGGCATTTTAAGCTCCTTCCCATCAAGCAATCCCGTTTCTCCAGGTTTACATTCCGACGCTACCTTTACGATGGCTCCTACTGCTGCAGAAAGCGCCTCACCGATTGGCATTGCCAATCTGCCCAACCAGCGACACAAAATCGTCGCGAAGAGAGGTGCCGCCTTCACCATCATGGTAAACACCCTACAACACTGCAGACGATTCCAAAGCCATCTATACTGATGATTTGATAGGTTGCTGGCGAGTCCGGCCTCGGCAAGACGACCTTCATCAACACACTGTTCTCTACGACAATTAAGAATTATGCCGACCACAAGCGTCGCCACCAGAAGCAGGTCGACAAGACTGTGGAGATTGAGATCACAAAGGCCGAGCTGGAGGAGAAGTTCTTCAAGGGTAATTATACAGCAGCTCCCTAATTCTAAGCTGAAGCTCATCATCTCGCCCAGTCCGATTGACCGTTATCGATACCCCGGGCTTCGGCGACTACGTCAACAACCGCGATTCTTGGATGCCTATCATCGAGTTTTTGGATGATCAGCATGAGTCCTACATGTTGCAGGAGCAGCAGCCTCGCCGACAGGACAAGATTGACCTTCGAGTCCATGCCTGCCTGTACTTCATCCGCCCTACCGGTCACACTCTGAAGCCCCTCGACATCGAGGTCATGAAGCGCCTCTGCTCCAGAGTCAACCTTATCCCTGTCATTGCTAAGGCTGATACCCTGAGCCCTGCCGACTTAGCCAAGTTTAAGGCGAAGGTAGGCGCTTCTTCAACCATCGCCATTTGAAGTGGTTACTGACGACATTCTTTCTTAGATCCGAGCTGTTATCGAGGCCCAGAGCATCAAGATCTATCAGCCACCAGTCGAGGAGGACGATGAGGCTGCCGCTCAGCACGCACGAAGCCTTATGGGTGCTATGCCGTTTGCCGTTATTGGCTCCGAGAAGGATGTGAAGACTGGTGATGGCCGCATTGTCAAGGGCCGTCAGTACTCATGGGGTGTTGCTGAGGTCGAGAATGAGGACCACTGCGACTTCAAGAAACTGCGATCTATTCTGATCCGAACTCACATGCTCGACCTTATTCACACAACCGAGGAGCTGCACTACGAGGCCTACCGCGCTCAACAAATGGAGACACGCAAGTTCGGAGAGGCTCGCCCGAGAAAGCTAGACAACCCCAAGTTCAAGGAGGAGGAAGAGGCCCTCCGGAAGCGATTCACTGAGCAAGTTAAGATCGAGGAACAGCGATTCAGGCAATGGGAGCAGAAGCTCATCGCAGAGCGTGATCGCCTCAACAAGGATCTTGAGCAGACCCATGCTCAGATCAAGTCGCTCGAGACAGAGCTTGAGCAGATGCAGGGCAGCGCGGTCCGCTCCCACGGCCGCCGCTAAATCACTCAACTTGTCTAAGCCGCTAAAACTGCCCGAGAACAATTCCGTATTGCTTATCAGGAGTACATGCTCCATAGCAGCCGGATTTATGCATCTGTCTCAGGCAATATCACTATGAGGAAGGATTATGGATATCCCCCAGCGCCAAGGGGGTGTGATCATCGATCCTGCAGCTTGATGGTCATTAGGATGTTCTGACAAAGCTTGTTGTTTGTTTCCTTTTCACTTGGTGGGCAGCTGAAAAAGTACGGATGAAGAAGACGAAAAGCGTCCCGGCTGTGCGGCAAGCTCAATAGTTTCCTTTTTTTTGTCCTCCTTATTCCCCGTCTTCAAGCCCTCTTACCTTACTTACGATGTAATTCTGTATCCCTTTTCATGATACCAGATAATGAGAATGGCTGCACTTTTCACTGAGTATTGCTTGTTCCGGAAAGAGTGATAATGTTACTCATGCTTCAACAAAGTGTTTCCATTGATGGGTATCTCCACTTTACGAGCCGCATCCTGCCTCTCTTTAAACAGCATCCATGCTCGCCCGAGTCGTTAACTGCTCGTTCTTGTTGCCCAGCTTCGAGATTTGGAGAAATGCATCCACGCCGTAACCTTCCAGACTATGCAATTCTAGACTGCCCGCCCAATACTCCGCATAAACCCTGCTCAATGGCAGACCCATACCCAAACGCAGATTCGGAGGTCTGCTTGTTAATGATGACAATGAACTCCCTCGCGCCTCATCTTTCGGCTTGGCTACTGGCTCCTCTACCCGTAACTCCTGCAATGTTGCTGCCATTTTCGGCACCTGCTCTAAGTTCGCCAGAATTCTTTGACTTTGGGGCCCTTTGCTAAATGACCAGAGATATGGGAGGATATCCCGAGGTACACCGCCGCCTTGATCCGAGACGCGGATAATGACGTGGTGTTGAGCTTCGCAGATGGTGATCTCTATAGGCGGAAGTTTCTTGGAGCAATCGTGGCTTCGCTGACTCTTCTCAATCACAGCCTGCACAGAGTTTCGCAGCAGTTCGCCTATAATATACTCGAGATGGCTGAGGATATATGGAAAGTTCGCCTCCAGATGGCCATCGATCAGTATCTCTGGCATGGGGACATCCTCTCCGTAGGCTTGCCTAGCAAGTGTTTGAACAGCCTTGCCGCAACGCTCGATGGCATCTTTGGCATAACACTTCAAGAATACCTCGCCAATGAAATCTGAGTCAGAGAACTTTGAGCCCGGAGAGAACCACGGTTGGTGGAATGTCTCGGTTAAGGAGAGATGCTGTTCCGCGATGACTCGGCGTGAGATACGCTATGTATGTCAGCATCGAAGCTCGGAGGGGGATCAGCAATTTGACATACTGATCTTAATATAGTATTCATGAACTGGTCAAGCTCCTCAGCGGGCATGAGGCCGCTGCTTTCCAGTATCCCCATGGCCAGCTTCGGGATGACCGACAAGTGTGCCTTGAGCGTCTGGCTGATCGTTTTGCAGAAGCGCTCATTGTCATCGAGGTTCTTGATCTCCTTTACCTTTCGGAAGGTATCAAAGGCAGTGTAGTACAAGTCGTACACTTCACTAATGTGGGGATTGGTCACGACGACGTAGGGCAGCTGTTGCATGTCTCGAATACGATGTGCGAGTCTGTGGAGGCAGCATAGTTAGCATCAGCAGCATAGCAATGTGGGATAGTTGGGAGTGATCCATTGAAGTCTCGTACCTCGTCGGAAGCTCTGTCCGCACATAGTTGGCTGAACTGATCAGCCTTGCCTCGGTCAGTGACCGGCCAAAGACCATGAGCTGGCGCAGACTGATAGGTCTTGCTTCTTTTGCGACCCATCTGTAGAATGAATCAGCTATGGAAGCAAACACAATGGGGCTATAGTAACAGCAAACTTACTCGTCCAGGACCGAGACTGGTCGCCACTTGGGCGTATGCTGCAGCCATCGGCTCTGTGCTGCTGCTGCTGCTGCTGCTGCAGCTGGTCGAAACAGTGGGAGTCCTGCTACCGGCGCCACAAGCCTCACCGGGAGGGTCATTGGCGCGTTCTGCACCGCGCGTAGCAGCATCCCGGCGAGAGCATGCGAATTGAAACTTGGGAATGGGAGCTTTCGAACGCCTACATGGCTGTTTGGCAGGCCAAAGAAGCAGAGGAAGAGCGAATGCTGGTGCAGTACAATGTAAGAGTCAAGGGCCCAGACCACGAGTAACGGTGGAAGTGGGGTGCTACCTATGGGAGAGCTTTGAGTCAAGCCTACATCAGTTACCAGAAACTTACCACTATACCAGGACTTGCAAATTTTACCCCACAATCAGTCGGCTTACATGGTACATGCGCGCTGTCACAAGCTCTACTGCCAGAGATGGAAGCTCACTGCGGCATCTACTTTTAGGGCCATGGCCCACGGGGCACTTTTCACATTGTGCTACCCTACTCCCTGCAGCATTCCGTGTCTCCTCTGCAATGGGTAATTCAATGCCAGGAACCCGAAGACTCATGCTAGAAGCTGAGGAGCTGAACTGAGCTGAGCTGGGCTGGGCTGGGCTTCTAACGACTTGAGTTAGGAATTGAATAGATTTGTTATGGATGGCTCTTGACCGACAGGAAAGCCGAGAAATCGTCTTATTCTCATGTGATCGGAAATATCGGCAGTGACGGTATGATGAATGATGAAGAGCCATACTCGGTTCATGTATCAATCGAAAGTTTCGCGGACTTGGTCGTTGTCAGTGCACAAGATTCTCAAGACATTCTAGTCAGGAATGCACGAGTTGATCAATTCGAACATCAACACAGTAGATACACACCTCTTCATCTCTCAATGGCGTTGCAGCATTGGCATGATTTACTAGCCGTTCTCACTCACACCACACTTCCTTACCTGATGTTGCATGTGGAGTCTCAGCTTTACAGTATCCTGGCTAAAATATCCCAAGCCTGTAGGTAACTGACATCAATGTACATGAGAGGAAAAGAGGTAAAGCAACTTTCGTTGATCGAATGCTATACAGACGTGCCAGTCTAGTTCATGCGCTTTGCACAAGGGAGTTTGAGAAACAGCAGCATGCACAGCCTTGCTCGCCGGTCTTGATCTGATTATAAGCTCGTCATGACATGTAGGTCTTGTTGCTGCTTAATCATACCTACCTAAGATATAAGCTACCCGGCCCTACCCACTTGCTAAAGAGGGAGGAATGGACGTCATTGGAGGGGTGGCCACTAAGTCTCAGCACAGCACTCACTGTTAGTACACTACCAGCACACCTGTGCTGATGGCAGCAGGAAAGGGAGTACTCAATGACAGAGAGCGACATCACTGTACATTACCCTCAGTCATGCTGCGCCCCCGGTGGGACAACCACCCACTCTGCAAGGAAAGCACTAACTGCTACGACTGGCAACTGTTAGGTGGTGTACTGCACGGGTGCCTTCTGCCTTCTGCCTCCAATTTTCTCAATAAGACCTACTCACTTACTGCCATAGTAGAGAGCCTCTTCGCTGGCAGTTTCCCTCGACAGTCCCAGCCAGAGACTGACTGAGAGTTTCGCCATCCTCCTGATACCCGATCAGGAAGTGGCAGCGTGCCTTATTTTGCTCTTCCCGTTTTTGCTCATCGCTTCTTTCCTTGCTCAGGTCGCCATTGCATCTGTCTCCCCCGCACACCCAGGCCCTCTTCAGGACTCCTGCAGCAGCCATGGTGAGTTACCAATCCCTCCCCCAGCAAGCCGGCTGAGGCTTGCTGCTTTGTCAAGCGCTCTTCTTTACTTCTTCGCTGCACTTTTCCCCTTCCCCGTATTCCTTTGGAGCCTAGAGCAAGATGGATAGCTCCAACGGCGACCCGCCCGTGGCTGGACTTGCTAACATGACCGTCTCCGTTGAGGCCTTCAACCCAGACGTCCACTCCCCGAACGACATGATGATCGACTCGGAGGAGCACATCGTCGAGCCGACTGCGAATGGGGTGGAGAAGGACGACTTGGCCATCATCGACCCTAATAATCTCGACAATGAGCAGGAGCAGTTGCAGGATCTACCAGTCGCCACCGATCGTGAGTGGGACCAGAATACTCGGCGCCGGTAGCCGGCTCTTTACGGTATGCTGATATCAGGACAGACGATGCTATGAAAGACATTGTGCTTCCTCCGCTAGTGGAAGAGCCCAGGATCTTAGAGGACGCGGTTTTCACATGGACAGTTGAGGGGTGGAGGAGCTTACAAAAGAAGGAGCATGGCCCTGTATTTGAAGCAGGTGGTTTTCCATGGTATGTCCCGCTGACAATGCCTCTCCTCGTGACGGCACGGGCTCATTTGATAATCTAGGCGGATTCTTCTCTTTCCTTATGGTAACAATGTCGATCAATGTTCCATCTACCTCGAGCATGGCTTCGAACCCAACACGATACCCGAAGACTGGAGCTGTTGTGTCCAATTCGCACTGGTCCTATGGAACCCCGATGACCCCACCATATATTCCCACCACCAGGCGCATCATCGATTCACCAAGGAGGAGAGTGATTGGGGTTTTACCAGATTCTTAGAGCTCCGGAAGATGTTCAACGTTGCTTGGGAAGGCTCTACCCGCCCACTTGTTGAGAATGACACAGCAAATATCACAGCATACGTCAGGATCGTAGAAGACGAGACGGGTGTTCTATGGCATAACTTCAATAACTACGACTCGAAGAAGGAGACCGGATATGTCGGGCTCAAGAACCAGGGTGCCACTTGTTACCTAAACTCGCTTCTACAGTCCCTCTACTTCACAAATGCCTTCCGCAAGGTAGTTCGGCCTTTTTCACTCAAAGAGGGATCAAGCTAACATTCGCAGGCTATATATGAAATCCCTACACATCAGGATGAGAGCATGAATAACAGTGCTTACACACTGCAGCGACTATTTTATCAATTGCAGACCTCCAACTCTGCCGTCGGAACCAATGAACTAACTAAGTCTTTTGGTTGGGAGACTAGGCACATTTTTGAGCAGCAAGATGTTCAAGAGCTCTCACGCAAGCTCATGGAGCGTATGGAGGAGCGAATGAAGGGCACGAGAGCTGAGAACGTGCTCCCTCGAATGTTCAGCGGCAAGATCAAGACATACATATCTTGTATCAATGTCGATTACGAGTCTAGCCGCATCGAAGACTTCTGGGACGTCCAGCTCAACGTGAGCGGTAACAAGAGCTTACTGGAGAGTTTCAAGGACTACATCCAGGTCGAGAAGATGGATGGCGACAACCAGTACTACGCTGGCGATGAGTACAAGCTTCAAGACGCGAACAAGGGCGTCATCTTCATGAGCTTCCCTGATGTGCTCCATTTGCAGCTAAAGCGATTTGAATACGACATCCAGCGGGATATGATGATGAAGATCAATGATCGTTATGAGTTCCCCGAGCATTTCGATGCCGCTCCTTACCTCTCTGAAGACGCAGACAAGTCTGAGCCTTGGACGTATCAGCTACACGGCGTCTTAGTGCACAGCGGCGACCTCAATGCAGGCCATTACTACGCTTTCCTCAAGCCGAACAAGGAAGGCTGGTTTTACAAGTACGATGATGATAAGGTGACGAAGGCCACCATGCGAGAGGTACTCGAAGAGAACTTTGGTGGAGAATATCGCACACCAACTGGCCCTGTGCGTGCTCCTACTCAAAAGAAGACGCCGATTATGCGGCCGAACAGCGCATACATGTTGGTCTATATTCGGGTATCACGGCTGGATAAGATTCTCACTCCAGTCACCGAAGAGGACACTCCTCAGCACCTTCGTAAGTGTGATATTTTGCACCCTGACGCAGCCCGAGGCTAACTTCAAATAGAACAGCGATTTGAGGAGGAGGCTGCGGCGAAGGAGGCTAAGCGCCGAGAGAGAGACGAGCAGCACCTATATATTGGCGTCAAGGCAATTACAGATGAAAGCTTTCGACACCATAACGGCACTGATCTCACAGTGTTTGATGCCAACCCGGACGTGGACCCTGCTGCCCCGCGTTATTACAGACTGCTTCGCACAACTACACTCCAGGACTTGGTCACACGTGTTGCTACCGATATCAATCAAGACCCGAAACGGGTGCGTCTCTGGATTATGGTCAATCGCCAGAACAAGACAACTCGGCCGGATCAGCCGATAATGGACCTAAGACCCACCGTGGAGGAGACATACAACCGAGCTGTAGCACATCGTGATAACGCTCTACGGGTCTGGGTTGAGGTGGCAGAAGAAGTGAACGCAGATGGTGAGGCTGTATGGCCGACCTATCAAGGCCAGCAAAATGGCGTTGTCGTCAAGAACGATTTGATTTTGCTCTTCTTGAAGTGTTTTGACTTGGAGTCCCAGGAGCTGCGTGGTGCGGGACACGTATACATCAGCCGGGAGAAGAAGGTTGAGGATCTCGTCCCATTGATCATGAAGAAGATGGGCTGGGGGGAGAAGCTCCCGAGCGATGAGAAGGTCATGTTGTGGGAGGAAATAAAACCGAACATGATTGAAGGTCTCAAAGCGAAGCAATCTCTGAAAGGCGCTGAACTGCAAGATGGCGACATTGTCTGCTTTCAACGAACTCCTGATCGAAAGCACGCTCTCGAGAAGCGCTTAGGACTTGGCGAAAACAAGTCTTCTGAAGAAAGGTATGTCCAACAATCTTTAAATGAAATAAACCTGCTAATTATGATCAACAGCGTGAAGAAGTCGGATCGCTTCGAAGATGCGCGGGAATACTATGATTTCTTGTTGAATAAGAAGACGGTGAAGTTCCATGCTCATCCCACACGATCAGATCCCGCCAAGTACCCAGCATTTGAGCTTGTATTAAATTCCCGGATCAGTTACGATCAACTAGCAGAGAAAGTAGGATCTGTCCTTACCGTGGACCCCACACACATTCGATTTTATACGGTTAATGGAGCAACTGGCAATCCCCGAACGCCAGTGAAGCGAGGACCAAACCAGACCCTACAATCTATTCTCGTTCCTAGCGGTTACGGTCAGTTAAACATGAACCAGCGACCAGACGCTCTTTACTTTGAGGTGCTGGATATGAGTCTCGCGGAGCTTGACACAAAGAAGAATGTCAAGGTGACCTGGCTGAGCGAAGGCATCACCAAGGAGGTAGGCATTTCTTACGCCATTGTTATGCGAATGCTAATATTCGTGAAGGATCATTTCGACATACTCGTTACGAAGAGTGGTAACATTGATGACCTGATCCAGGGGCTGATCAAGAAAGCTCAAATTCCTGACGAAGTTGAGGGTGGTAGAATCAGGGTGTTTGAGACTAGCAGCCACAAATTCTTCCGCGAGCTTCCCCGCGAATATCCTATAATCAGCATAAACGATTATACCAGCGTTGTTGCCGAACGGATGTCTGAGGATGAGCTCGAGGCAGATGATATCTCATTCATTAATGTCTTCCATTTCCAGAACGAGCCAAGCAGGGTGCATGGCATGCCATTTAGATTCCTGATGAAAGAGGTATGTACTTTATGCTCGTTTTACGTTTAAGTATGAAACTAATATAGCATGTGCAGGGCGAAAAGTTCGTGGACACCAAGAAACGGCTAGAAAAACGGACGGGCCTCAAGGGCAAGAGCTTCGAGAAGATCAAATTCGCGCTAGTAAGGCGAGCGCACTACTCAAAGCCAAATTATCTGAACGATGGTGAGGACCACTGAAAGCTCCCGTGCTTCTCCCAATGAGACTAACAAGTTGCAGATGATATCTTATGGGATATGGTATCTCCACAAGACGACTTCCTAGGGCTTGACCATGTCGACCGGACACGATCCATGCGCAACGGCGTTGGGGACTTGTTTCTCAAATAACCTCAATGCATCGCAATTCAGGGGTTTAGAGGCTTTGTTCTTGATATACCTTTCGCGTTCTGGGATTTCCCTATATCCGTCTTTCTGGCTCCGGCTGTCAAAATGGGCATGCTTTTGGACGGCAAGGTGGAAGGGCTGTTTTTATATTATTTCATACAGGACGGCATTGGGCATAGGAGTGACTGACACTAGGAAGAAGAAATGATTGTTTTAGTAGCCGTAAAGACCAGTCTCGCCATAGCATGAACAGATTAGAATTATGTTGTCAAGCCTGATTTCCAGTGCTTCGGTTAATGCCATGCCCGTAAGTCCCCTGGGTCCACACGGGACCAAACGGACAAGCCCGCAGGCGCCGAGAATCCTAGGCTCACAGGGGTCTCGGGCAGTCACGGAAGCGGTCGATCGCGGCAAAAATATTTCTCGGGCTTATCGCCGCGTCGGATCTCCAGACAATTGCTTCATCCAGGAACCTCCCACCCTCACCTTCACTCATTGAGGCCACACCAATATGAGCATACCAAGTAGCGGCTTGCCAGGCCTTCCCGGCAGTGCGCCGGCGATGCCGCAAGGCATGGATCCAAATGACCCCAATGCCAAGATGGTCAGTCCCTTGAGTAGTGCAGCTGCGACTTCGAAGCGCAACATACAGGACTAACAAACCCAGATACAAAACATGCAGAAGCTCATGGAATCATGTTACGCTAAGACTGCGATGTCGGGAGTCGCCGGATTCGGTCTAGGAGGTGTCTTCGGAATGTTCATGGCTTCGGTAAGCTCCCATCCCCTATCTGATATATACCCAAACTTCAACCAGCAAGAATCGCTAACCATCTGCCCTTTCTTTTCCTCATAGATGGCCTACGACACCCCCTATCACACCGCCGGCGCGGGACAGCCCGGCGCAGCCGGCCAGCCGACGCCGCTGTCGTCGCTACCGCTCCGCCAGCAACTGCGCGTGGGCTTCAAGGACATGGGGGCACGCAGCTGGAGCACGGCCAAGAACTTCGGCATGGTGGGCGCGCTGTTCTCGGGCATCGAGTGCGGCATCGAGGGGTTCCGCGCCAAGAACGACCTCGCCAACGGCGTGGCCGCCGGCTGCATGACGGGCGCCATCCTGGCGCGCAACGGCGGCCCGCAGGCGGCGGCGCTGGGGTGCGCGGGCTTCGCGGCGTTCAGTGCGGCGATTGATGCGTGGATGAGGGCGCCAAAGGATGAGTGAGTCGAGCGAGCGAGCGTGCGAGAGAATGGTCGAACGGATGAAGAAGAGTTTTGCATCGACGATGGTCCCGAGCGGTTATGATGGATGGCATTAGAGGAGATGTGAGGAGACCATCTCGGACATAATCTTGAGGGTGTACCAAGCGGCGGACGGCCGCGTCCAGCCGTGCATTATGGGCGTTATTTCAGGCTACGAGGCGTCATGGGATCGCTATGCTCATAGACTTTTTGGGTGCATAGCAGACAGACGACACCTCTCCACTTGCATATTTGCATCAGGTCATGTACATTTACATTTTATCTGGGGCTGGGGACTTGAGAATTACGCTCTCGGAAACATGTATAATCTCTATATAGACATCGGCCTAGAAAAGCTGCTCCTCAGCAGCCTGTATACATACTATATCAAAGCGCTGCCTTTGCAAAGCCTGCTGATTTGATTTGATATCTACCCCTGAATGACCTGATCCGACGCCAATTATAATAGCCAGCAACGCCCAGAACCTTGACCCAATTTCTCTTGATAATACATTATTGGGGCTTTTTTCGTATCTACTAAACTTCCGGTCTCAAGATGCCTGGTAAATTTGGAACTCGCCAAACTCCCAGTACGCATTAGTAAACGCATCGGGGTAGTTAGCCACCAGATCCGTACAGTTGGTAGGACCTAATTGACACAGTCAGCAATTATTGCCTCAACAGAGCGAGGGAATAGAAACATACAGCCAGAGCTCGAGTATACCGAGTTCGTCAGGTCACCGCAGAGATCGATGTTAACGATGATGCTCTGGTTCTTGAAGTGCGAACCGATATCACATCCCGTGTTCGGGAAGTCCGCGAGCGCAGTGCCCCAGGAGCTTGGCACCGGGGAGCCGGACGTAATATCATCAGGGATGCTGTCGCGGGCGAACTGCCAGACTCGAATGCCCGCGTCGCGCCACTCGAGCGCCATGACGCCTCCGCCGTTGCTGTTGAACGTCTCGCCGTAGGTGTCGTCGTCGCCCTCGACGCCGCAGCCTGCGTTGTCGTTCGCGTCGTGATCGCAGTTGGTTTTCAGCGCGGACCCCGTCATCTTGCGCTTGTGGTTCATTTTGCAGCCGTCGGTCGTGTGCAGCGTCATCTCGTTGCCGTCTGTGGCCTGGTTGACGGCCTCCATGACATCAATCTCGCCGTGGTCGGGCCAGTTGTCCGGGTCGGTCAACCACAGCGCGGGCCATGTGGCGCACCCGTATGGGGTGTGCTTGACATCGAATATGAAAAGACCAGAGTTGTACTGCGTCTTGCTGTGCACTCGCACCGAGTAACGGCCCGTCGAGGCGTCCGGCGTGGAGGTGTTGCCCACGGAGGTGTCGACCTTCACCACCGCGGTCGAGGAGCTGGCATAAGTCAGATTGAGACGCTCGGCATCCTCAATTGAAACATAGTGCACGAATCCTGACGACGGATCGTAGTCGTGGAAATAGTTGAAGTTGTCAAAGAAAGTCTCCCCTGAGTATGTGTCGCTCAGGGTGTAAGTGAGATTTGTGTAATTGGGGTAGGCACCCTGCTTGTTGAGTGTCACAACCACGGCGACGACAACTACAATGATAATGACGATGATGGCGACCAGAATGGCCCATATCCTCTTCCGCCATGTCCGGGGATTATACCACCGATCAATATCTTCGTTGTAGTGATTTGCGCCCATGTTGGTCCGCGGGGTCTGGCGAGAGATCTCAGTGTAAGCCGGCGGCGGGCCATCTGGGAGGTCCATCTGCGCTAGACTTATACCACCGTTCTTATCAGGTCGTCCGTGTCCCCTGCCTAACCGGGGAGTCATGTCGTTGGTGCCTTGGGGACCGTTTGCACTATCGACTAATTGCTGTGCCGTATGCACTTCTCCAGGCTGAAGGGCCGGAAGATTGGCTCGTGAGGCTGGTGCTGGTGCAGAAGTGAAAACACCGAGAGCGCCACCAATGGACTGCCGCAGCGTTCTCTTCACGGGGTATGAGACGGGTTTCGGTCCTTTCCAATACTCGAAGGGCGTATAACCCAAGTTTGGCTCTCGAGGGTGCGGGCTGTTGGTAGACGACACCTCAGAGGAGTGTGAGCGCTCCATAATGATAATGGGCCTCTGGGCGGTATATATTGGTTGGCCTCCTATTGTTCGGTTCGAGCTGCAGTATCCTGCTGCGCCTTTCAATAATACAACGTGCAATACCAACAATACGAGTCAGTCCTATTCCCGATAGGGGCCGTCGCGATTGGATTCGTATCCGGCGCCAGCGCTGGAAGGGGCTAAAGGGTGACTGGCGGACGCGTGGGCACTCCACCCAGAAAACGGAAGAGGAGGGCGAAAAAGAGGGCAACTGGCCCGAGCAGCCAAGTGCTAAAGGAGAAATGATGATGACGGCAGATCGATCAGAGATAGAGAGAGAAAGAAAAAAATAGTATTGGTGATAGACACCTGGAAAGTGGGAATAGGCCCAGAAAATGACATGAATGACGCGGCCGATCGAATAACTACCAGTGTTAGCAAAACAACCCGCTTGGTTCGTCTTGTCGCAGCTCTTTCCACATCAAGATCCTGCTTGCCATTGACATTGACATGGACATGGACATTGACATTGACATTGGATAAGGGAAAATCAAGAATGAGACAGAATCAGGGACCGTGCTAGACTCCCAGAGACACACAGCCCACTTGCCGTCATATTCACAATGTGGCGATCCATATTCCAGGATTCCAGGATTCCAGGATTCCAGGAATCTCCGGATACATTCAATGCAACATGTCAGCCCATCCATGATCCATCACTCTCTCTGTCTTATCGCCCCGCGTATCCCGGAGCTGCTGGTTGGTGGTTGGTGGTGGAGATGGTGGTGTAGGTGAAGATAGCCGGAGAGGTCGGTCTGTATGAGGTGTGTGTGGCAGTGCTCAGGGGATGTCATGTTTGACATGAGCTCACAGATGTCTGGATCCCCACTGTAACACCCACTAAGCCCAGGCCCACCTCGGCTCTTGCTTGGGTAGCGTTTCCAGTACGCGCATGCCCCTGGCAGCCCTGAGCCGCAGGCGATCTGGACTGCCTTAGGACATCCCTAGTAGCCCGCTAAAGTCGCAGTCAGAAGTTTGATCTTGCCTCTATTGCCACGAGTCGTCACGGGATTCGTGTTTCGGCAAGCAATATAAGATTAATTAGAGATGCAAATTCCAAAAAATGAAGCTTGAAAAAAATCCATTTTGTCCTAATTCAGCGAGAAGCAGAGCAAGGGTCACGGTGACTAGCTGTCCGTTTCAGTGCTATGAATAACGCACGAAACAGCCGCATCGTTAACCAGGCCCGGGGATGCCTCCCGTCGATCATTCGTCCAACGTCGGTGACTGGTCCAGGGTCTGTCTGTTAGGTGAAGGATCGATACGCTCATTTGATCACCCTCTGCCGAATGCGAGATCTCTATTGCTGGACAACGGATACGCAACGACTCTAGTAGTCATATTAAGATACACATGTAAAGAAGCAGAATACTGATAAGAGGTCGGACAATATAAATAGGAGGATGAAAAAAGCGTATGACGGAGCACAGTAGTGATTGATATGAAGTGTTACATTTCGCATTATTTTCTAAACATGGCTGTCACCTCACCGGATGCTATCTATGCTAATCCTCATCGTCGTCAACCCTCGGCCGCTTCGATTGCCTGCTCTCCTCGTCTTGAAGTCCATATGACCTCTTGGAAGAAGACTGTTCCACCTCGGTCAGGAACTTCTCAACGTTGAAAGGGTCGCCCGCATCCTTCTCGAATTGCACAGGTCCCTCACGGGCTTCCGCATCTTCGGCTCCCTTGAATTTGCCCTTGCCCAGGACCTCGCCGAACCGACTTGACTTTTGGATCTTGTCCATTTCTCTGTCACCCGCCTCTTCATCGTCATCGTCAACGTTCGCCCGAGGTCGGTAGATGCTGCTTATGGCATCTTGAGCAGCAAATAGCGGCTTATCATACGGGTTGTCCTCGTTGATCCCGCTGTCAAAGCCGCTCGTCTGATTGAACAGCCGCGAGTCGTACATGCTCTCCTGAGTCTGAGTGGGTTTCGCCAGGCCCAGAGCAATCTTCTCGGATATGTCTCGATTCTGTTCTCGTGCCATGACTTGAATTCTTCTCTCAGCACCCATCCTTGACTGCCGTAGCTTTCTCTCTTCATCTCTCCTCTTCTCCTTACGAGCCTCCTCACGCGCCCGGATCTCGGAGTCCTCAGAGTCAGATGCAGAATCGGAGCCACTGTAGCTACCTGACCGCGATCTCGAGTCTCTGCGCCCGCCACCGGCTCGCTCTTCCCTCGCCTTCTGTGCCAACGACCGTAGAGTCTCTTCTTTTTGAGCCTTCTCCTTTTCTGCTAGCCGTTGCTGCATCAGCGCCCTCTGCTTCACTTCCTCACGAGCATGCCTATCCGCCATGAAAAGCGCTTCCGAGAACTGTGCGAATTTGTCGTTGATTGTGACATCTTGCATGCCTCGTCCATCAGCGGCCAGACGCTTGTCTAGAGCGATAGTAAAGCCCTTGGGGTTCTTCCAGTTGGACACTGGGGGCGGAATCTTCCAGTCTTCTTGATCTTGAGCCGTCAGCTTTCGGGGCGGCGAATGCATGACTGGGGGAGGCGGAGACGGCGGGCCACGGGGAACCTTCTTGTGCTTGAATTTTGGTGGCTCAAGAGGATCCTTCTGACGCTCTACAATCTTCATCACCCTGTCCCTGCCCTTCGTGTTATTGCCCATCTGGTTTGCCGGAGTATATCGCACAAAGGTCGGATCGTTGCGCTGTCCGATATTGAGGTTTTTGGGCTTCTGCGCAGCGACAGCTCCGCTTACCAATGCCGCCAAGGCATTTTTTGTTTTCTCGGTCGTGGCTTCAACCTCCTCCTGGCTGGGCCTTTCGAGGTTGATTTCACCCGCTTCTGCTCGTTGCCGTAGAGGTATGAGGTCGGAGAATTTGGCCTGGACAATCCTGTTTGCGGCGTGGCCTTGTCTGGCGATTGCATCGTATTTAACCTTGCCCTCTCCATCAACTTGAATGGCAAGCGCGTTGCTTGTAGATGACCCCTTCTTGCCCATGTCCAGAGGGTACTGAGCGACAGCAATCTCGGGGAATGCACCGCCATCGCCAAAGTCCTCCTGCGATCGGGGCCGCCATCCCGAGCGCTGGCCGTAGGGTGGAGGGCCAGCTCGCCTCAACACAATCTGTGACTCGTCCAACTGCCCTGCGCCAACGATTCTCGGGCCTCGCGGCTGAGCTCGAGTCGGCACATCCTCATCCTCGCCTGTGTACTTTGGCTTCGGAAGGGACTGCGCCAGCGCCGATGCGATCGATGCCATGGTTGCTGGTGAGGGATGTTGCCAGTGTGGTCGAGGTTTGCCGTGAGGTTGGAACTTTTCCCTGCCTACAGCAAGACTGAATATTTGGCCAAGGCGCGTTCACGGAAAAGGCTTAGCGCAACCCGGTATGGAGGTACCACCTTTCAGGCGTGTTAGTGGGGGTGGCCAGCCACTGTGGCTCGCTCTCCTGAACTAAGGACGATTAATTATTACCAAGGCACGATAGCAGCCGCAAGAAGATAGGAGATTATGAAAAAAAGGCGCTTCACTCTGATGAATGCTAGGAGCACTGAGTATCATTCAAATATGGCAATTACGCCTTCGTCATTTCCTATGATATACACGGATAATTCAAACCATGTATCAAGGTCTACCCATTATGTTTCCATGACAGAAACCAGTATGATCCCTATAATACACCACAAAACCCTTTTCCCATTGTCCCACGACGACATGAGATTCGTATCATTTACACATAACCCTTTCTGGCACCTTGGAAGAAGAATCGCACGATAAACACTTGCAGGCCACCCATGCAAATGATCATTAGAGATTGGATCACGCTGAAATTGACAATTCTCTTCTCTGTACTTCGCACGGTGCTGAAGTTGCGGTTCTCTCGTGTTCGGAAATACTTCTGGTTTCGAGTAATCGTAGAGAGCTGGCCAGAAATCTTGAAGACCGACTCCTCAAGAACAGAGGTCTGTTCGGGGGAGCTACCTTGCTTGGAGGGCAGTCCAACTCGCGCTTCGTTCTCGACCTGCATCGAAGCATGTTAGCAAGGTTGTTATAGCCTTGAGTATCTAATAGAGACGTACAGCAATCTCGAAGTCGACGAATTTGTCCGAGTAGGTACTCATTTCGTTGTTGAAGCAGAATTTGTATTCGCCCACGTCATTGGCAGTGAAGACGAAGTCGCCCTGTCGCTCCTTCTCGCCATCCATGATGACCTTTCCACCCGGTCCGCTAACCTCGTAGTCGACGTCGAATGAGCCGCCGGATTGGACCTAGACACCAGTCAGAACAAAGTGGTCATATGACGGCCAGCCAACATACCGCAAAGTAGAATGCGATCTTCTCCCCCTTATTCTGGGTATTGGTGTAGAAGCATGCCTTCTCGTTCGCAGTGAGCTTGTAGGTCAATGCGGTTGCAGAGGCTTCAGAGACAAGGGCAAGCAGCCCGCATGCAAAATTTGACAGCTTCATCGTGGGTTGTGATGCGGCGACGAGGTCATGGAACGATTCGGGTGTAACTCTCTTTGGCCAGCTTGCCGTAGAAAAGGTTGGCTTGACTGCTGGCGCGACCGTGTCACTTTTTAGGCGCAACTGAAATTCCGCGCGCCGACTCTTAAGCAGGCCGCTAAAGCCACACCCTAGGTGCACCGGCCATCCAGAGCGCAAGCCAATTAGTGGCCGGCTATTAGAGTTGACGCCATTGAGCGGGAAAGCGCCAACCACATGCTCCTGGTAGCAGCACTTTCAACAGCAGTGATATCATGATAGCTTGTGCCACAGCGCGTTCTGCCTGCCATACCCTGGTCAGGTAGCTTGCAACTTTCGCAACACAGGATGCTTCAGTTATTTCCCCATTAACTTCCAGCCAAGCTAATCTTTTCTCTTCACTTGATCAGCTTCTAACTCTCTCTTGGCCGCAATCGCCAGCCAAATTATATCACACCTATTACATTCCATTCTCATGTTCTGCTTTTATTGATCCTACATAGTTGTTGTTCGGCTGCAACCGCTAGCTTCACTTGCGGATTGAGCGGCACGATGACGGTCCAAACAACTGTTGCCCAGCTGTCTTCCGTCGCCTTGCGACTGGTCTCTTATTTCTTTCTTCGATGGGTAAGTTTTCCATGTCAGATCTTTAAAGACATTTATAGAGGCTAACTTGCAGGGGCAGGCGCTGTTACCTGTAAGCATATCTCGACAACCTTAGTGTTATTGGCCAGACGCATTAACTTCAACAGTTCCTCCCGATCCTCGCATTCACCCTTTTCGCAATCTACGTCCCATCCTTTATTTCCAGTTACTTGACCGAGTCGAAATACGAAGTTGTTCATGATGAAGTCGATCTAGTTATAAAAGAGACTACATTGAAGGGCGAGACGCCCGAGGTGGAAGATGCAAATGGTGACGCCAATGCAGATGACGAAATCATAGCCGAGGAGGTGGAAGTACAAGAGACTATTGTCGTCGGAGAAAAGCCGGTCAGAGGATGGCAGTCGCTACTCACGGGTGCTCCAAACCCTAGGAGCCTTGTGTTGTCGCTTGTCAGTCTTCTTACCAATGGGCTCATAATTGGCATGGTTGCAGACCGTTTATTCCGAGAGCACACCTACACCGCCGATGATCTCTCATTTGTCCGCCTGGGATATGTCTCTGACTCCGAGGCTAAGCTTCTCATTCGAGAGCCTGATCAGTCGAAGATGCCAATCACGGTAGAACTGCACATAAAAGACCCTCAACCACCTTTCGACAACCCCTTATGGCAGACAGCGGGTGGCATTAGGTGGACCTCCAATGAGACAGACTATACGGCCGTTCTCAGCATCCCTCTCAGACACAACAAGCAGCGGACGTATGAATGGAGGAGCTCAAACAACCATTCGGGCGAGTTCACAGCTGCACCCAAAGCCGGCCAAACATCAGAAATCACCAATGGACAATTCACTTTTCTATCTACATCTTGTATCGTATCACGACTGCCATACAATCCGCTCGATCATCCTCTAGCAATTCCTGGAATGAAGTACCTCGCCAAAGCACTTCCTGATCTTGGAGCGCAGTTTATGCTATTTCTCGGAGACTTCATTTACGTAGATGTACCTCGATGGTGGGGCAAGGACATCGGAGACTATCGACAGAAATATCGCCAGGTCTATGCATCACCGGACTGGGCTGCCGTTGGCCAGAATCTGAGTTGGATTCATGTCCTTGACGACCATGAGATCTCAAATGACTGGTCTTCGAATGATACTGGTGTGTATAAGGCTGCTGTTGAGCCCTGGCACCACTATCACACGTCTGTTAATCCGCCTCCACCGAAGAAAGCTGGTGCCTTGGCGAGAAAGAAGCCTGCAACATGGTATGAATTTACTCAAGGCCCGGCCAGCTTTTTCATGTTGGACACGCGCTCTTATCGCTCAAGTAATTTGCTTCCCTTCAATGACACTGAGAAAACTATGTTGGGCCAGGAACAGTTTGAAGACCTCCTCCGCTTCCTTCATCGTCCTGAGCCCAAGGGCGTCAAATGGAAGGTTGTTGCTTCATCGGTGCCTTTTACGAAGAACTGGCATGTGAACACTAAAGACACATGGGGTGGCTTCCTAACCGAGAGGAAGAAGCTCCTTGAAGCTATGTGGGATGTGGGCTCTCGTGGATACGGCGTGGTCATCCTCTCAGGAGACAGGCATGAATTCGCAGCTACCAAGTTCCCGCCTCCGCCTGACTCCAAGTGGCCAGAGAGTGCTGCCGTGCACGAGTTCTCTGCGAGTCCACTCAGCCAGTTTTATTCTCCGATCCCGACTTACAAACAAACTGATAACGAGGATGTCAAAGTCAAGTAAGTACATCAGTCGGTGACTACTCCATCTACAAAACTAATAGCGGCTTAGATACGTCAACATTGGTAACTCTAAATTTGGAGCTATTACCATTGAGAACTTGAGTGAAGGCGAGCAAAGCAGCCTCAAATACCGCCTGTTTGTCGATGGCGTCGAGGCGTGGAACACCGTCGTGCTGTCGCCACAGAAGACGATCGAGTCCAAGGCTTCCGGTAGCTTCTGGGGTCGCTTGACTGGTTCCCAGTAGACTTGCGGATACTGGTCCAGCTTTTGTGTGAGCCTTTAGAGGGCCATTCGGACGAGTACGGTTCGTCCAGGGAGTGTTTTAGGGGGCAGATTGCTTGGTTTTACCTGACGTTTTGTCTGGCGTATGGAGGAAAATCGGGTTATACATATCACATTCAGGCCTAGCTGCAACTGTTTTTGATGTGATTTCTACTTGATAGACACTACCACAATACCTTTTGAAGGTCAAATAGCACAATGTGTCTCAGGAGCCCTCATCACTTCCATGCATTACCTCCAGCACCTGTGAACTGTACTTGGGCTTAGCTCGCCCCGCACGAACGGCTGAGAACTAGAAGATGGGGCTTTCAGGGGCCCCGCTTTCAGATGCGGTACTGTTATTGCCCCGCCGGCATTCCGAGGTCCTGACAATGGCATGATTTGAGCATGATAATTTCGGCTTGAAGAGGATGAAGCAATCATTCATTAACTTGAGAATCCGGGTGCTCCATGTTCAAAGTTTCCTAATTATCAGAGATTGGTACTGTCGCAAAGAGGCATAATGGAAGCTATTGCTGTGCGATCCCTTGGGGTCGCAAGGTCAGTGAACTTGAACACGTCTGTTCGACGGTGCTAAAAGGTTTAAGGACACATCGCTTTCTACCCTCAGTGCGCCAGCTTCAGGCACTCAGACAGCTTTCAGGCTTGCGGGACTTTCGACCTACTAGATCGATCCCCCGACATCTCAGGGGTTTGGCCACGGCCACTGGTGGAAAGGCGACTATCACAAAGGAAGGGCTAGAGGTCACCCCTGAAGGTGTGTGGGGAGTCAAGCGCTGGGTCCTGTGAGTTCGACTCTGCAATTCTTTGCGATTGACCTGGAACTGGGCTAATTCAGCTCACTTCTAGTCCAAATTTCTGGTTACGGTGAGCGGCTCTGGTGCGTCACTCAAAATTCATATTAATATTCTGAAGTGACAATTGCCGGTGTGTCAAATGTGTGAACCAGGATACGAGACAAAGGAATTTTGACACGTTTGAGGTACAGCAAATATGATCCTGCTTTTATATAAGGGAACTAACATAGGGACTACAGATCCCTGCGGACGTCTCTCCCGTGAAGGCCGAAGCAGACCCAGAAGGAGTAAAGGTGTCTTGTAAGTTTGTGAAGTGTTAAACAAGATTGAACTATTCTCATCACTTCACTAGGGTCTCATGAAAATCATGAGAGCCACTACTCCTGGAAATTTATTACCAACTGGCTCCAGCATGACGTTCGAAAACCCGAGCACGTCGAGTATGTTTGTGCCAAGAGCCAGTTCGCCATTCCGTAGCTAACAGAGCATAGCTTTAACTATTGGGGTGCTGAAATCAAAGACAAACCGCCAACGGTCACTTTCGAAGAAGTCATGAGAACCGATTCGGAGGACGGTATTGCCAAGTTGACTTCTTTGATTGTAGGCATTTCTTACACATAACACCTGGGCGGTGGCTGATTTTCTTCTATAGAGACAATATGGGTTTGCATTTGTGGATGGAACGCCCTACGACGACCCTGAGCAGACCAAGAAACTCCTTGAACGCATAGCATTCATCCGAGAGACTCACTATGGCGGATTCTATGACTTTATCCCCGACCTAGCCAAGGCAGATACAGCCTACACTAACCTGGCGCTGGCTGCTCATACTGATACCACATATTTCACTGACCCGGCCGGATTACAGGCTTTTCACCTTCTCTCACACACTCCACCACCTAACTCACCCAAGGATGCCCCGGCAGAAGGCGGGGAGTCACTCCTCGTTGATGGCTTCCACGCGGCGCGGATTCTCTACGAGGAGGATCGGGCAGCATATGAGGTCCTGCACTCGGTCAAGCTGCCATGGCATGCGAGTGGCAACCAGGGCATCACCATCGCCCCTGACAAGCGATATCCCGTATTGGAGGTCGACGACAGCACGAGTGACCTACACACTCTGCACCGAGTGAGATGGAACAACGATGACAGAGGCGTTGTGCCGTTTGATGCGGGTATCTCTCCAACGCAATGGTATGAGGCTGCTAGGAAGTGGAGCTCGATTCTGAAGAGGAAGGATGTTGAGTACTGGGTTCAGCTTACGCCCGGAAGACCCCTGAGTAAGTCATGTCCGACTCTAATTCAGAGAACGCATATTCTGACTTCGATCTAGTCTTTGACAACTGGCGAGTTCTGCATGGGAGGAGCGCATTCGAAGGCCTTAGACGCATCTGCGGTGGTTATAGTAGGCCAACCCTTATCAGCGGTGAGACCATTCGCCATGACTGACATTTCTAATTCTAGTAAATCGCGACGACTTCATCTCGCGCTGGAGAAACACTAACTTCCCCCGGGAGCAGGTACTAGAACAAGTGATAGGATAAGCAGATCAGTATGAATTACGAAGAGTAGGTTGCCGTCACGCTCAACCTTTTGGCTTTCATATGCTTATATACAGCATGTCTGTCGAGTCTCCTCCGCAAGGGAAACAATCTTGAAGTGTGAAGATTGTTGTAATCTAGTATCTCTGAAAGCGACGGCCATATTTATTGCACATTGGTTCCGGAAGTCGAACCAAGAAAACCCTTGGATCTTCAATACTGAAATATGAAGGCCTCTGGTTGGTCGAAAGGCCTCCTCCAACGAAGCTCTTCGCAGAATATTTCGCAGAATATGATAGCTCCTCTGCCGGACGGCATTGACGTCTGGGCGAGCCAACCAAGTAGGGCCGACTTTGACGGTTTAGATGCAGAAGATAGCCTAGTTAGGGGTCCTGCGTGAACCCGCCACTGGTCCCTCCATGTCTCACACACTGAAAAGCACACTGCCCTGCCTGTCACGCTTCTGACCTTTGAACCTTGTGAAGCCATCGACATCCACAAAGACTTGGCCGTACAAGGACCAGAATCCTTTTTGACTGTTGCTAAATGCTTGACAGAGATGCCGTTGTCCGACAGTTTTACAAGCCATATGTCGCGCATGCTGTGGGACCTCGAGCAAGGCCCAGTTTTGCATTGGACACAAGCGCTGTTCCTGGGCATGCAGGACAGTGTAGTGACAAGCCCAATCAATCCAAGCCGCAGTCCGCCGCACTCGCTGTGGATATCTACACTTACCACCCGTTTTCCTGTCCATTGAGTGTGCTGAAAGCGTCCTCAAAGTGGACTCACCTCTCCCGTAGTTTGATACCCGCTCCACTCACCGTCGTCATCGTACGTTTGGGTAGTAATGGCGCATTGAAACGTTATCTTGCGGTAAGGGTAAGGGGAGTTAGGCAAGGGGGCACTGTGTGGCTTTTCCCGTGAAGTTTGAGGACAACCAAGCATATAAGAGAGCTACATATCCCGATAAACCGTGGAACGCGCAAATCTGGGTTTGTCCTGGTTTCTGCTGTCTTTCTACTTGGCTCCACACCTTATTGTGTCTATCTTCACTATCGCGACTCTAAATTTAGTAGATTGAGCGATTGACAAGCGTCAACATGGCTGAGACCATAAAGGATGGCAAGTTCGCCCACGGCAACACAGAGGCACCCCAGTCCAACCGTGTCCTGCCTCTCTTCTCCCTAAAGGGCAAGACTGCAATTGTCACAGGGGCCGGTGCAGGCATCGGTAAGTTATCCTGAGATTGGGGGCACTGGCAACGATCAACTGATTGTTAGGCAGGACTGGCTATTGCGGAGGCACTCGCTGAGGCGGGAGCAAATGTCGCTATATGGTACAACAGCAACAAGAAAGCTTTGGACAGGGCAGCGGAGATCGAGCAGACCTACGGAGTCAAGTGTACGGAATACCACGGACCTGAGACAACAACTTCCAGATTGCTAACGGTGCGGGAATTCTAGGCAAGGCTTATCAAGTCAACGTCAATGCTCTTGAGCCTGTCCAAACAGCAGTGGATGCCGTTGTGAAGGAGTTCAACGGCCGGCTAGATATCTTCGTTGCCAACTCTGGAATTGCGTGGGAATTCGGGCCTATGCTTGACGCCGAGCCTGTTGTTGACCTGTATAAGAAGGTTGTGACACCCAACATTGACGGCACGTTCTGGTGCGCTCGTGCTGCGGGTCTTCACTTCAGACGACAGAAGAAGGAGGGTACGACCATTGATGGTCAGAAGCTTGAGGGGTTCACACTCGGCAGCTTCATTGCAACAGCCAGTATGAGTGGTCATATTGCCAACATCCCCCAGATGCAGGCCGCATACAATGCCTCCAAGGCAGCGGTAATTCACTTGTGTAAGACGACCCAAAGTCGATGAAGAAATGGCACTGACATCAATGACAGGCAAGTCTCTAGCAGTTGAGTGGACTGGCTTCGCCCGTGCCAACTCAATCTCGCCTGGATACATCAAAACTGAGATCTCGAACTTCATTCCCGATGAGACCAAGGGGATCTGGAAGGATAAGATCCCGATGGGACGTGAGGGTGAGCCGAGCGAGCTGAAGGGCGCCTACCTATACTTGGCATCCGACGCAGCATCTTATACGACCGGGTATGTTTCTGTTTCCTATGATAGTAGCCTCCATCTAACATCATGTCTTTCTCACAGAATCGATATAATCGTCGACGGTGGCTACTGTGCTCCATAGGTGGAAAGAGATATGAACCATCATGATGGACATCTGACTGCATGCAAATTTCATGCGTGGGGATGGATTCTCTCTCTCGGCCTGACGCCGCCTTATCGGCCGAGGCGGCATTGCATGGGCTTCGGCGGCCGACATCACAGTTATGGACGGCCGAGGAGCCACAAACGCTGGCGTTAGCGGGCAGATGGAATTAGTTGAGCGTCACGACGAGCCGCACATGTCCGTCTTGGCTGTTGTATCTCATGTAGAGCTTCGTAGAAGAATGTGAGAAAAGAAATACCCCTGTGCCCCACCAGTGCATCTGGCCAGGAAGGAAAAAGGAGCGCATTGGTGAAACACTGTTGTCAGCCGCAGGCGCCGAGACCCAGCACAGGCCTGTTCGTCAGGGTATCCAGTTGGTCTAATTTAATAGGAGACACTCCTGTATGAGCTGCCAGAGTCTCACAATCCGCTTGAGGACCTCCAGCTAACACGACACTATCGTTGAGTTCATATGGTAGTAGATAGTCAGAAAAAAGAAGCGAAAAGCTGCTCGATCAGTCAGATCTAGCGATAGCCCTTGACGCACAGCACCCCTAATTAAGTTCTTCATTCCGCTTCACTGCTACCCCACAGCAGGGCGGGGTGAATAAAACGGCCTGGACTTTGTCTCTTTTTAAGCTCTCGGGAGGCCCTCAATGACCATTGCCGCAGCTTGTTGGAATTCTCCGCCGGGCGTATTTCACCTGGAATTGTGCATGGGCGGTCAGTAAATAGTCGAAGACACCTTCAATAGCTCTACCCGAGATCCTTAACCCAAAGCGAAAGCCCCTCGGTCGTGAAGCATCAAGCAGGTAAAGTCGTTATAGCAGGCTACCTCACACCAAGGTAGTCCTAACGAAAGGTACCTCCCCTTACCTCACTCGCTCCCGTCTAAAGAAGAGCGTCGGCTGGCTGTGGGGTCAAGAAAATCGCCGCCGCCAGCAGCCAGTCTGCCCAACTCCATTACCTACCTTACCTACCTCACTCTCAGCCCTACATCATTCTCGCCAACTCTTCCTCAGCCTTCGCCTCCCCCGTTGTGACGAGCTACAAAGCAATTTTGACGATTTGCATCTGCCCGATTGCTATCATTGAGTGGATCGAGACTCACGAGATCCTTACCTTCTCAACGTAACGTCGCTGCCCACCATGGACACCGACGGCGGTGGCGCGCCAGGCCAGGACCTGCGCAGCATCCAGGTCGACAATGCCATTCGCGCGATCAAGGAGAAGAAGCCTCTGCCCGAGATTGACTTCACTATCCATAATATGGAAGATGGCACCCAGGTCAACACAATGGAGCGAGTCTGCAAAGGTGCGAATGACCCCGCCGCGGCGGCGACAGCTTCACCCTGTCGTCGACCGCAGCCCGCCACTCTCTCCTGCCTAAGCACGCGACTGACCTGTATCCCTCATATCTAGATGTCCAGGCTCCTGCAATGTTCAAGCCCACTGATGAACAGTTCTTCGAGGACGATACCCACCAGAAGCCGAACATCACCTTCCTCAAGTCTCACTTCTACCGCGAAGGTCGATTGACAGATGAGCAAGCCTTGTGGATCATCAGAAAGGGTACCGAACTCCTACGAGCCGAGCCCAATCTTCTCGAAATGGATGCCCCCATCACCGTTTGCGGAGATGTACACGGTCAATACTATGATTTGATGAAGCTATTCGAAGTCGGCGGTGACCCAGCTGAGACGAGGTATCTCTTCCTCGGCGATTACGTCGATCGTGGGTACTTTAGCATCGAGTGCGTGCTATACTTGTGGTGTCTGAAGATCCATTATCCTAAGACGCTATGGCTTCTGAGAGGTAACCACGAGTGTCGCCATTTGACCGATTACTTCACTTTCAAGCTCGAATGCAAACACAAATACTCCGAGGCTATATATGAGGCTTGTATGGAATCGTTCTGCTGCCTTCCATTGGCAGCCGTTATGAACAAGCAATTCCTCTGTATCCATGGTGGACTGAGTCCTGAACTACATACCCTTGACGACTTAAGAAGCGTAAGCTACTTCTCACCTGCCATTACACAATTCTCGTCGCAGGATCGCTGGCTGACTAACGACATAATAGATTGACCGATTCAGAGAGCCTCCTACACAAGGGTTGATGTGCGATATCCTCTGGGCTGATCCGCTAGAGGACTTTGGTCAGGAGAAGACTTCCGATTATTTCCTCCACAACCATGTCAGAGGATGTTCTTACTTTTTCTCGTACCCGTCAGCATGTGCCTTCTTGGAAAAGAACAACCTGCTTTCAATCATTCGGGCCCATGAAGCACAAGATGCTGGTTACCGAATGTATCGCAAAACCAGAACCACTGGATTCCCGAGTGTGATGACCATCTTCTCAGCACCGAATTATCTGGACGTGTACAACAACAAGGCTGCGGTATTGAAGTACGAGAACAACGTTATGAACATTCGTCAGTTCAACTGCACTCCCCATCCATACTGGCTACCGAACTTCATGGACGTGTTCACCTGGTCCCTTCCTTTCGTCGGAGAGAAGATCACGGATATGTTGATTGCTATCTTGAGTATTTCATCAGAGGAGGAACTCAGGGAAGACACAACATCCCCGAGCGGTCCAACTTCGCCACCAATCACCCCGGCCGGCGGCCCTGGATCCAACGATCCCGAGTCTATCGAGTACAAGAGACGTGCTATTAAGAACAAGATCCTTGCAATCGGTCGTCTGTCCCGAGTCTTCCAAGTCCTCCGAGAGGAGTCTGAAAAGGTTACTGAGCTTAAGACCGTTTCTGGAGGACGTCTGCCTGCGGGTACCCTCATGCTAGGCGCCGAGGGCATTAAGCAGGCCATCAGCAGTTTCGAAGATGCCCGGAAGGTCGATCTACAGAACGAGAGACTGCCCCCTAGTCACGAGGAGGTGGTACGCCAGAACGAGGAGGAGCTGCAGGCCGCACTGGCTAGGGCGAAGCACGAAGCGGATAATGACAAGAAGTTGCAGACATTGTCTAGACGACTCAGCACGTAGGTGTTCCATCGGCGGCTTTGGCCTCCTAATTTTTACCAAGGCTAACTGTCGCAGCAGTGATCGGAAGCGATGATACACCACATGACTGTATAGTAGGTCGTACGGTTTATGGCGTAAACGACAGTTATAGACTACTTACTCTTGATGAGGCTGGGAGAAGTCGGAATGATGAAAGAACAGGGTTGGTAGCATGACGCCCTTAAAGTACCCGCACGATGTGGCTTATCCTGCCCTTCGGTGCAACAGGCTGAAAGGAATGAATTTCTTGTCTTTGGAGCACACTAGGCAAATAATACAACTTGAGTTTGTCGAAAAGCATCTCTGATAGACCATTCTTAAATCCACGCGAATCCTACGTGCTCTGCCAGGTCATTTCTTTTGAGGACACACCGTTGCAATGTGGTGATAGATTGGCACCGTAAGCAGGTGGTGGCATTTGATTTGCAGAATCTCGTTCTCGCCTCCGTCATTCGGCCGTGCGTATTCCATCCGCCTAATACTGAGGCACACCAAGTCCCATTCTCCACGGCATGAAGTAGACACTAGGCGCCCGTCAGTGGCCAACACATGTTTCATGAAACCAGCCAAGGCTTTTTGGTTGGCTGGACTTCCCGATTCTCTAGAGGAGGGCAGGCTTTCTGCCAATTATTCAGCTTGGGCGGGCAAACATGTTCTTGACCGTGGTGGGACACTTTACTTCCTCAGCAAGCTTTGGGAAGAGCTCTGGCTCTTAGGAGCCTTGGTTGAACGTATTTACAACCCAATCATTCACGATTCATAAATTCTGGAGGTATCAGCCAAATAGGTACCATTATGACTAATTTGACTGAATCGTCGTACTAGGTAGGTGTTGATCTCGTCTGGATGAACCATCTGCCACCGTGCCTGTGGCCCATCTCTGAGGTTTCTCACTCCGGGTCCGGTCAGTCTCGTATCGGTATTTCCCATGTCCCCCCAAACTCCTAGAAAAGAGCCCGCCTTCCCAAGAGAAAATCCAGCTAGCTAGCTATCCCAAAAAACAAAAAACAAAAAAAAGTTGGAATTCAAAAACCCCAGAGCGCCTGACTGTAAACCCTAAGATGTCTGAACGAACGATAAATACTTGCATTCAGCCGTAGAGATAGCTCTTCCCGCTCCCGATGGGAACCGGCGAGATCTGGGGCGGCTGGACGACGTGCTCGACGACGCGGTCATTGGGCGAGGATGATCTGTTCCTGAAGCGCTCGTCCGGGAATGCCAGCGGGCCGGAGATGGCGAACCTGTCGTTCCCGCCCTGGTTTTCGATGGGCGTGGCATCTTGGATCTGTATTGATGGTGGAGGGTACTTCTTCGGCACTCGTATTCGAGGCACGGAAGGCAGGATGAGGGACGGCACGGGCGGTTTCTTCTGCCCCTGTGGAGGTGGTGGCGGTGGTGGTGGGGCGGGAGCAGGAGCAGGAGCAGGCTCAGATGTTGAGACTGCGGGTGGGCCTGCAAATTGCGAGGCTCTGGATGCGGCCACCGGGATGGGCTTGGTGGACCGTGTCTGGGGCGGGTTTGGGGGTGGTGGTGGTATCTTGGAGTCTTCTTGGGCGTTCAAGTAGACTTGGATGGCGTATGAGTCGGGCTTGTTAGACTTGGGCCGCGGTCGCTGGTTTGGCGACGAGTTGCGGCTGGGCCGGCCTCCTATGTAGCCCCGGGGAACATAGGCAGGGTGGGTAGGCAGTGCGCTATTGGCGTGATGACTGACGCTGGTGATTTCAGCCGGCTGGTTCTGGGGCAGAGGCCGTCCGCGGTTCTGGTTCTCCAAATCATCATAGTAGTCTGCATTGCTCGAGAAGTGACTGACGATGTGTGCCGGCGGTTGTGGCTGTGGTTGTTGTTGCTGCTGTAGCTCATAGCTTGGCGGCTCGGATTTGTAATCCAAGGTATAGTGAGGTACCGTGCCACTGTTCGTAGCAGTTATGGAACTGCTGCCGCTGCGTAGTGGTTTGTCATAGGGATCTGGGGAACCGCTGTCCTCTCTCTTATACCGCTGCTGTTTGCGCCAATATACAAAGAAGAGAGCTAGTCCACCAAGGAAAAGCAGTCCCGTTCCGACGGCGATACCAACGATGGTGCCCGTTGTCATGGTCCCATTGTCTTTCTTCTTGGTGTCGGCTGCCGTCACGTTTGAAGGCGGCGTTGTGATATTGACGGCATAATCTGAGAAGATTGCGCCGCTCAGTCCCAAGAGCTGGCCGGGCGCCGGCTGTTGCTTACAGCCTGCCTCGAGAGCGATGAGAACTGAGAAGCGGTTAGCAAGGACAGTCATGAGTTACCGAACAGATGATGTTCATACAGTTGGACATATAGTTCTGGTCACTGCTGGCTTGTAGGCACTGGATGCAGTTCTGAACACTTGAGCTCTGAAAGACTGAATCACCTGCCGTGCAGTACTGGTACTCCGTCTCGTTGGCTGGGTTGAGATTCCCCGTCTCGAGGGCCTTTTGAAGCGGGTGGCAGGCATAGTCAATGTCACAAGGAGATGAAACGTTCTTCTTGTGTGTCGGCCAGCCCCAGAGACAGACGCTCGTCGCATATCGCAGGTTGTCTAGAAGCGGTGTTAGTATTTCTACAGCAAGGAGTTCTGAAGTGATTCTTACAGAGGAACCAGCTAATATCGTTTTCCGTTCCATTGACTTGCTCGCTATTCTGCAGGCACTCTACACAACTCTTGAACTTGAGGCCATTGGCGTCTGAGTAGAACTCAACATCCTTGCAGACCATATCATCCGGGCTATTCGACGAGGCCGCTGGGTCAAGGCTGTTTCCGTCTTGTTGGTCGAGACAGACGGACGCACATTTCGAGCCGGGCGTCACCTGCAGAGCGGATACTGATGACACGAGAAAGAGGAGGAAGGCTAGGATTCGGATTGAGGCGAGTGAGGGTGCCTTCGACATGTTTGTGGTTGTGTGCTCCATTGTGAGAGAGGAGGGAGGATGAGGGAGCAGCGTTGACTATACTATCGGTCGTGACGACATGGCATACAGTCACGATTGCAGGGAAGAATCGTCGTTACTTGTCAAGTCAAGTCCGGCTTGAAGATTGAAAGAAGCCAAGACTGTAGATGGACGGAGGGAAAACACCAAAGGGTGAAGAAACGTATGAGAGACCTACAATTCGCGGGTCCAAAGACTCATATATTGGACCCGGACTTACATGCATGTACATACAAGCCGGCCAGACAGCTGCTAAGTCAGGCAGGCGGCTCCAGACATAACTTTTCAGCCGTGGCATTTCCAGGGCGCTCTGGTTGCAGTGCATCATGGCGGACGAACACGCCCAACACAGCAAGATGTTTCTGAGAATAGCACCCTCCCAACTGAGGATTTTGCATATGGCCCAGCCGGTGGCAGCCAATGACGGCCTCCCTCGGGCCCGCAACCCCAGCAGCGGAATCGCGGAGTGGTGGGAGGATGGAACAAGCAGCCAATGGCGAGGGAGGTGAGGCAGCAGGGCATGGCGCGAAGAAGAAGCCTGTGGAGGTTGGGGTGGCTCAGGGTGGGAGGAGAGGCCATCGTGAGTGGTGGACGGCTGGCGTAGGAGCGGACTTTGTTTGCACGAGGACTGGGCGAGATTCGCGGGAGGCTACAGGACACTACAGGGGCCAGAAGCGCCCTCAATGGCCACGCAGACGCCGGCCTGGAACCTGGCCGTTCCGTTTCTCGTCGCTGCCCAATCGCTTCACTCTCGAATGTCCACCGCCAGCAGGGATTGCGCACGAGAAACAAGGGTCTATCCACACACAGGCAGCCCAGAGACGGGACGAAGAAGCAGACAAAGTGCTGATCAGTGGCCTGTGCTGGCCCGCGAAATCTGCGAGCAGGCCTTAAGGTAGACCAAGAGGCCTGGGCCTCGTACGACCTGCCAACTCGGGCACTAACATCCTTCAACTGCGAAACCCTCTGAAGAGACAACTTCTTTCAGTCTCCACATGTCAATAGAAACAGCAATTGCTCAGGACTGTCATAATTATGAACAGTGAGGGATTAATCGATCGAGGCAGCCTCTCGCGTCTCCGGGGCGGTTCTCGTCAGATCCGTTTGCCGCGTTGGCGGCTATTAGAGTCGAAGCTGCGAGAAACAAGCACGATGGCACCCTTCCTTACGTGGACCCAGGTGATGGTGGCTGCATATTGTGAACAGCTTCTGCAGTAGTCTCCGAGGATCAAATCTAATTATATTACTTCACGTCGGACTCTCGCGAACTGCAGTTTGCTTTGTCATTTACTTTCATTTTCCTCTAAACCTCGAACATATCCCCATGTGAAATCGACGACATGTAGATCAGTCTGGTCTTAGAGAAGACCATGTTTGAATCATGCTGTGAACGGCAGCATAAACTGTTATAAGGCATCGGTACCCTTCAAGCATCTAATCTTCGTAAACCATGCAGCACATCAATTCACTCATAGATTCCTGTTAACTGACCTGCTACCGAATGACCGGACGCAACTAAGCGCAAAACAGGCCGCGACCATCTTCTCCAGTCGACCTGACAGGTCGCGTGGCCGGACGTCATGGCCAAGCTTCCTTGATGATCTACATGCAGTCAGTAGTTAAGTGTTTCGCAGAAACAAGTCGTACCCAGGATTCGCCTTCGTCTTGAGGTGGATTTACAGGACTCCAATGTCCTCATAGGATGTCCAGGTTATCCCCTCACCATGTAGTCGTGAATGTTCAGGGGTGACGTTGATGAAACTTCGCAGAGAGCGATCATGCAACTCATAACAAGATCCGCACAGGTAGACCTAATACCAGACGACGCCTACCCTAGCGCTCGTATTGAATTGATGGCTCTCTGTGATTTCTGGGGCTTGATGAGATCGGTATGCCTCTCATCATGCGACGGCGTCTTCGAGTCGTATATGCCGTATATGGATTTTACTAGTACCAAGCCGTATTCTACCATAGCCTTCTAGCCATCATATTCGGTCATTTAGAAATTGTAGCCCTAATTTGATGCTGAATCCAAGTCTGCTCTATGCATGTCCAGATATACTCCCTACCCCGGGTGTCACACGGCCAAGGTGAAAAGTCATCGCATGGTCACCGTAGCAAATTCTCCCCCTTTTGTGATACGACATACGATGTTGCCGCATGCAAAGGCTCTTGATGTCGAGTTTCTACGAGTTTTGATGTCATATCTGAAGTTCAAGGAGAAAATAGATCTCTTCGTGACACTGCGCCCTCTAGTCATTGCTTGCTGTGAGATCGCCTGAGTAGGTCACTCCCATGCTACCTCGCAATTGACGCAAACATGTATGCTGCAGCTTAAGTTGCCAGACTCTGTTACGCCATCTCAAGATTTTAGTGTTTGCAAGTGGATGTTCGCACTAGTTTCCGTCGGTGAAGACAATCACATACGGCAGTTGAATGCAAAGCGCTGTGTTTTTGATGATTTCCCGATATTCTCCTTGCCATGGGTGCTCATGTGAACGATCAGCCTTGAGCTGACTTCCGCGAAATACGCCTGGATCCACGGTCATCTGCATGAGAATCATGCTGTTCCGGGGACTTAGGTGAGGTGTTCTCCAATTATGACATACCAATTTGGTGAAGTCATCGAAGGTGCTTGAGAAACAGCTTTGAATATGGCATATATAGACCTCGCGAATTCCACCTTCTGCATGTCAGCCATCTAGCAGTATTAATCCCGTCTTGATCAGTCCTCAATCACTGTCACTTATCCGGACTTGGAGATCACGTTTAAATGATGAAATATACCTTCTGGTTCATGCAGACATATCTCCTGCTGGCCGCCACGGCGCATCCAGTGGGGCGATGGAGTCTCTTCCACTTCCAGTTTCTATGCGAGGATGCAACAAGCTGCTCATACTCTTTTCTTATCGATGAAACACCCGATAGCCATGACGGTTCTTCTGGAGAGTGGTGCATATTCACGATTACCGCGGCTGACGGGCAGCCAGCCTCTAATACCTCCTTCGCGGAGACTGCTTGCGCTGGTCTGTCTCAGTACAGCATCAATGGCGGTTGGGATGTGCACGGCTTTATCACGGTCGTTGTTACTGACCTGAACATTGATCAATATGCGTTCTTCTCATATGACATCAGTCTCATTGCAGATGGCCAAACCGTCCACATGAATGAGCAGCCCTCATATAGAGTCGGCGTATTCAAGGGCAGGTCAGCCGACTCCAGCACCATTATGGCAAGGCATAGCCAGAGTCGAGCCGGAGCAATCGAACTCTGGAAGGTAGGGAGTATGGTGCGAGGTAGGGTCACTCGCTTTGGGGTTGACATTGGGATCTGACCATTCCCAGAGGTGCAAGACACACAGATTCGCGTTCATTTCGATATCTACACGGACACCACTCACCATCACTGCGAAATTATGCCACAAGGTCTGTCCGATACCGACCCCAAGACGTTGAATTGGTATGACCAGAAGTGCAAAGATATCCCTTGGTCAGTTTCTTGGGAGTATTCCCCAGTTATGGACTCCGCTGTCATGACGGTCGAGAAGTAAGAAAGAGCCGCCTGCTGTTTTGTGCATCCATCCGACGAAACTGACACTAGAGATTTACAGCTTAGCCACGAAAGAGAGAGGTCGCTTCGCCTGGGTCAATGTTAATGGTGCTTCAATCTTACCTAACGCCCAGCCAAGTCCCGTAGAGCACATTTAGGCGCTGGCGGACTCACTTAGGATGGCATCTCAACTGTAATTCATGAAAGATGCGGGGGATGAGGAGTCTTTTCTTACAACCAGACTCTCCATTACCGTAAAGAAAATGAAGACATCCATGATTTACAAACTTTTATGGACAAGAGCATCATGGGCATTGGAGTTTGTTCGCTAGTGTGGCCATTTTGCTGCGTTGATTTTGTGAGGGCAGATAACGCGGACCAAGTAGAATCCAGGGAGCAAGAAACTTGAAAATGTCCGATCCCTAAGTAAGAGACATGACCACGATCATGATGGCAGCTTAATGTGAAAGGTCTATCTTGTGTATAAGCCTCCTAGCGCCGCTGATATCCGCCCGTCTGCTTCAAGCATTTGGGCTTCTCGACTACAAGTGACCCCTGACGAAGCCAAAATTGGTCAAAGAAACTTTTGACCAGGTATATCGCCTCCATATCAAGACGATGGACGGATCATTCATGAAACATTTGGAAATTGGAATTGGATCATAGTTCAGTCCTCCAGCAGTGGTAATCAATAAGGGAAGCCAAGTAACTTTTTGTCGATTGAATGCACTTCCAAGACGACACATGTATTCAACGATGGAGGTTTTCACGTGCTTCCATACTATGGCCGATGGCCGTGTGTACCGAATAAAAGACGTATGAAGTCATTGAATTGTGGTATATTTAGTAGTCTAACCTTTGCATGGTGAATATGAGCCGTGATATCTGGCTCTGACGGGCTCCACTCTACCTGGTTATGATGGGTGATGAGTTTGGGTGACATAGACGCCGGGTAGGCGAACCGAATGCTCAGATCTTCCTGTTCTGATTGTGAGGTGAGGACACACATGTGGGAGGATCTGCCTCGTGCGTTTAACTGTTGCCAAGAACAAGAGACAGATCCCTGGTGAAGGATCATAATGTGCTGAGCCATGTTTCGAAAAGCGCTGTTCGTGCCAGCGGCTGGGGTGCACGCGGGTTCCCCAGCCTTCAAATCGCCAGTGTAGCGGTCAGTGATGAAAGTCCTTGAGCCTAACTATTAGCAGTCCAGGATCAATGGAAGAAGCCGAAGAAATTGTCCTAGCCCAAATGCGGAGAGAACGCTCACTGACCGGGGGGTGAGAGCGTGGGGTATGCTTGGGCGCGTACGTTGCAGAAAGACCAATCAGACCCTGGTATCAAGGTCATTGGAGTGACCTCGCAACACACACCTTGCATCGTGGGCGAATGAGAGACGCAGCACCTGCAGGCAGTCGAAATCTACCGACGAAGGACTGGCGAAGACAACAGGCTCTTCAGGAATGGCGGTCACCTTTCCGAGCGTGCCAACCTCCTGCTGGATGCTTTCGGCGCTTGTGCCGTTGCGTCTACCTCGTCTCTCGACTGTCGACTGGCGGAAGGAGAGCACAATTGGTCTTACAGGCAGATGTCGACCCAACAGTGACGACGGTCTGCGGAGAACCTGCGCAGAAAACATCGTCGGATGTCCCTCCTAAAGCGCTCATCGCACGATCGTGACGGTAGACGCAGACCTATCACCGCAGGAAGCCTGATAGCGCGATCAAGTCCCCAGTGTACTCAGCCGCTCTTCACTACTATGCGCAATGTGAAGGATAGATAAGACGGGGACGAGGACAGTAGTTTGTACCTGGATAAAGACCTCATCTGCGTTCAGCATGCACATGAAGACGAGAACAGGAAGCAGCTGCTAGCAGAGACTCTCGTGTTGCTGTGCTGTTCTACGGTGTGTAATCCGTGGTGGGTAGATCGACCTACCGGTCAGCAATGAGAAAAGGGGTGCCTCAACGGTGATGAGTGCATCGTGGCCCCGTGTGCCCATGCGCACAGCCCGGGTTTCTGGCTGGCTGCTTGTTCTGCTGTGGCTTCTCCCTATCTTTGCTGCTTCTCAGGCACTCCTGTCTTTTTACATAGGTATGCCCGTTAGGAGCGTTCTGCCCGACAAAGGCAACCGAGCCATCTACTTGGTAAAGTCACCACCACGGGAGGGCACTGGAAGTAGATCGTCACATCTAGGTACGCTAAGCAGGCCCATGCTGAGATCTGATTTGCTGGGTAGTGAGGCCCCTGCGCAGCTAGGACGCCAGCAGCGCTAAACATGGATATCCCGTTGGTTATCGCTCCCAGTCTCTCGAACCTTACCCGTGCCTTAGCCTGCGCTGCCCCAGACTTCCCAGCACGTACCTCTGCAGTGCCAGTCCCAGCGCAGCGTTGCACAAGCACCAAGCACCTAGCACACACACAGCACAGCACAGCAGGCACAGCAAGCCTCCCCCGTTCCCCCTCGCCTGGCTCGTGCCGCTTTCCCAAATACCTTGGAGTCTCCACAAGTGTAGTCGCTCTCCAATTCCCACCGTCTCTCTTCCACTGTTTCTATTGTTACCTCATCTTTCTGGATGCCCTCGATATTAACGATTGTGGTCTCGAGTTCGAACTGGCTTCGACAACCTCGAAGGCATATCCGTCCAGCCTGCCTGGGGTTATAGTAGGCACGGCGGTCGCCCGTCTTCCCGTAGGGTCGAGTGGTGAGAGGAGTTGATCACGGTGGAGCGCCTTAGCCCGCCGCGGCTACAATGAGGATAGGCTGCTTGCAGTTCGCTCCCCAGGTTGGCGATGTCCATAATAACCTCAACCGCGCGGACTCTGTCTTGAGCAAGGCGAGCCCGGACGACTTGGATTTGTTGGATTTGCTTGTCCTGCCAGAACTGGCTTTCACTGGTATGTGAAGTGTTGCGTTGGGGTTTGCCAACTTGGCGCAACTTTCGAGTTGCACCATCTGTGTCGCAACCGCAACCACTTGCAAGTGTCCGCTTTGAAGATGCTAACTTCTGCGAAAAGGCTACAACTTCAAGTCGCTACAACAAATATCGCCCTTTCTTGAGCCTTCTGGGTCAGGCATCAGCTCTCTCTGGGCTCGCACGACTGCTCTCAAGTACAACACTACCGTTGTCGTTGGTTATCCTGAGAAGGTAGATGTGGCTCAAAGATGGCCTACGTCCCCCGAGTACTACAACTCCGCAATCGTTGTCAGCGGAGAAGGTGAAACGATTGCGAATTACAGAAAGTCTTCATTGTACATGGTTGATGAAACATGGGCGCTCGAGGGCCAAGGCTTCTTCGGCGGATATCTTCCCGGACTCGGCCACACCGCAATAGGCATTTGTAAGTCTTACACCACTCATGTTGAGGCGTTGCCTGCATCTTGTCAAAGGCTAACAAACAATCTAGGCATGGACATCAAGTAAGCATATTCGCCCACAAGTTCTCGTTATGAGTGTCCAGTACTAATTCCTTAGCCCGTACAAATTTGAAGCGCCCTGGAATGACTTTGAATTCGGCTATCATGTAGCCAGGGTACAAGCAGATCTGGTCATCGTCACCATGGCCTGGCTCACCCGTGAGGATGCTCGCCTGTATAGTCGTATGCCTGCCGAACCTGACATGGAAACCTTGACATACTGGGTGCAACGTCTGGAACCAGTCATTCGAGCCGAGACCGGTAGAGAAGTCATTGTTATCTTTTGTAATCGTACTGGCTTCGAAGATGATGTCGTCTATGCTGGCACAAGCGCTGTCATTGGCATCAAGGATGGCGAAGTGAATGTTTATGGGTTGCTGGGACGTGGTGTGAAGGACCTGTTGATTGTCGACACTGATGCGCCACCAATCGCGAAGCTCATACATCGACCAGATGGAGAATCGCGAGAGGCGGAGGGCCAGAAGACTTCCGGTTCATCACCTGCGTCGAATGATGGTAGAGCCCCAAGGCTTCCGCAGAGGAAGGAGGGTACCAAGTCATCGCAGTCAACTTCAGAGGAGCGCAGCGGAAGTTCGCCAACAGGACCGGTCGCGAGAACAAGGAGGGCTAAACCACCATCACCGAAGATTACAATCCCAGAACGGCGAAAATATACCACCACAACTGGCGGCGTAATTGAGGAGAGTCCTACCGTACCGACCCCAACTGCGCCGAGCCCTACACCGTTGTCAGTTCGGCCCAAGATCTCCACTCTCGGGAGCAAGCAAGGAAAGGACCATGTGTCCACGCCTTATCCGCATGACGATTCAACGATGGAGCGTTTGACTCCAGACCACCTGTCAGTCATAGGGGGCAACCTTCATGTTCCCAATGAACATGGCATCTCAGACGCCACATCTGAAGACAATGACCGCCTCTCTGAGAAATATTTCTTTCGTCCTCCACAAACACTCATTGCAACACCTCGCGATCCATGGGCAATGTTTGCACCCGTGTCCCCATCATTCAAGGGTTCGCTCATTCGATATTCTGGTAGTGAACGCGAGACTAGAAAGATTCCGTCCGTAGAAGACAGACTGTCGCCTGGGCAATCCGAATTCAGCTCGGGTACCTCTATAAGATCCAGTCGTTCTGGCCGCACAAACGGCTCGAAGTTGAGTCGCCACGCTTCTACAAAGTCAGAAGCTACCAAGGCAGAAGGTCCTGCGCCTCCTCGACCGTCATCGCCCAAGTCGCGGAACGCAAGTAGGACTGGTCGCCCCTTGAATCGTCGCGACTCTGAGATCGAGCAACCGGATCTGACTGGTATGGTCCAAAGACTTGAAGCAATATCTAGGCGTACTGAATCGCCAATGAATCGTCATTACGACTATGAAGAAGCTGATCGTCAAGGTCGGCCGAGAACTCCGAGGTCGCGTAATGCCAGTCGCACTGGTCGGCCACTTGATACGGATCAAATCGTTGACGAGAGAATGTTCAATCTATCACGGACATCTATTCCCATCGCAGCTAGTCCTGGCGTTCTTGCAGGGGGGATCGACCGACCCGCTTCTGATATATTCCGAAGAATGAATCAGAGACTTTTGAAGAATGGTGACGCGAGACCAACCTCGCGAGCCGAGCAGAGTTCCGCGCCTATGTCTGGCTCCATCTTCGGCCATCCTCGTTCTCAATCAGTCAATGCAGCGCAGCCTGCCAATGCTGACGCCATAATCCCGCACGTGGAACCGGATGAGTCGAGAACACTCGTGTGGTCTGAAATTTCGAAAATCGTTGGAGAGGTCATGGAACGTCCTAGCTCTCGGTCGGCGAGCCGGGGGAGACAGCCCCTTATAAGAGGCTCTTCACCTAGCGTTGGTCCGAACTCACGCCCTGCACGACCAGAGAGCCGCGGATTGCCCAGCGCATCCCTGGGCCACCAACGCTTTGGGTCTCGCGAGGGCCGAGGACCTAGAGACAACACGCCTGCCAGTCAAACAATGTCTCCGATGAGCCAGATGAACGGAACACCAGGCTCGGTCGTCCCCTATCATCCAGACGAGATAGTTGCCGAGATCATCTTCCATGCACCTGGATGTCCCACCCATAGCCACAGTCATCGAAATACCCCTACCCAAAGCCATGTTGGTACGCCAAGCCAGGTAAATCAGCCATCTGCACAGCAGTGGAATAATCCACGTCCCAGGCAAATGAGCAATTCACGCCTGAACCAGAGGATTAATTCGGCTTCCAACCATCGAGGCAGTTCATCACCGAACCGGTGGCCGGTAACTTCCCCAGCGCCGACAGGAGATGTCGAAGAGATGGAGATAAGTATATTCAAAGCGCCTACTCCGTTGGTGGCCAGTGACAGAGGAGAATCTACCGACTTCTGCCCTGCTATGAGCGGATCTTCGATACATACAATTGGCTCTCCGAATGGCTCTCCTGCCACGCCATCACCTCGAGTCTTTGAACCAACAACTCCCAAAGCCATGACGCTCAACTCCGATTTCGGGACAATTCTCTCAGCCGTTTCAGACCCGGTCAATACCGGAACTATAGATTCGTTGAAGAGTTTGGGGAATCAGCTTGTGTCAGATATAGGGCTAGACAGACCAAAGAGTGCTGTGTGGTAATTTTCTGTGACATTATACGATCTACGACGTCCTGCTTTAGAAGCACCTTTCTTTTGTTGCGAGCGAGGAGTTTGGGAGAACACTGCGAATGCATTCTGACATGCTATAAGATGGAGTCGAAAGAAATCAGGCGAGCCTTGGCAAAAAGGGGGTCCAGAGAACCAAGAATAAGGTCTAGGGGCATGAAGTTGGCGTTTGAAGTTAAGGTTGCGTTGCTATTCTGTTTGTTTCGGTATCTCTTCAGCGACATCTCTTGTTTGTTATACATCGGATCTTACGCATGCTGTGTACAGTGTTATCTCGGGCTATATAATGACAGATGCATCTAATTCATCCATGAACGATTTGATCTATGATTTTCGAATTTATGCTGGGTGGAGAGTCGGAAGCAATCTGAAGTGACACTTTTGTATAGTATAGTATTAGGCAAAATAACGGAGGCCCCAGGGACTGGGACCAATGATAGAGTTTTACCCAAAACATTCATCACAAGTGGTACAAACTCATGATGAGACACAATTTCACGTGGCCACATCTAATGCATACAGCAGAGTTTCGGCCAACATTGCCCGAGATGGGTGGTGGTGGGTTGGCTGGAGACCTCGCGACCAGATTGTTATGGTAGGTTGAGCTGGCAAGCTTGTAGGAGCGGGGTTGACCTACTGGCCCAGAACTCGACCCTGATCCCTCCATCCTTGGGACCTACTACGAAGACTCGCACAGAACAAGCCGTCCAGAGCCGGAGACAGCCAGTATCATCAAGCGCTAAAGTGCTGTGACTCGGGTCGTCCGCTCTGTCGGAACAGCTGTGATATATGCAACGGCGGTGCCATCACCGAGTGACGGCATGGTTGATGGAACAGGAGGTCTTAAGCGGAGACAATATCGACATCTTGACTTGGCCGGGAAATGGGTCTTCGCGCCGGCCGCTACAGTAGTGCATCAATATGGGCAGATCAGTGAGCTGCAGGATGGCGGTTGGGGGCCAATACGAACCCTTCGACGATCTGTTAACGCATTCTCTGCTCCCTGGGAAAGTCTTGTCAGCCCTGCCCTTTCCAGTAAGTGGGCGCCACCGGCAAAAGAGCCAGAAGATGTGGCCGCCAATCACACGCGAGAGACTCTTGAGATGCCACAGAGCTACCTTAACAGATGTGAATAGTTGCAGGGGACCTTGCAGCTAAGGACAGCGGTGTCGACTCTAACTCGGCCCGCTAGTGGCCAATCGAGGACTCCCCACTGACGAACGTGCAGGATGTGCATGCCCTCGAGCGGCATATCCCCAATTCTAAGTGGCCGATTCTCACGGACGATGGCAGGGCCTTTGTCCATCAGGACAGCCCCCGCGGACGGCCATTCGCGGGGCCGTTGGCAGTTGGCTCAGGTCGAGCGTGTGATTGGGGTCGGAAACAAAGGTGCTAGGCCTCGCTCGATACGCATCCTTTGTTGCTCCAAGTCCGGTTCCCGTCACTATCACATCTGTCGGATGTCTTCTTTTCATCTCCCCCTCTGCAACAAAGACGTTTGGGAACATGACACAGCGCTAAATCGCCAACAGCCCCAGGTTTCGCATCATCGAGACGGCATCAAGAAGATAGCTATATCAAGCCCTCATCTCTTACGTAGCGAGGCGGGCGAGCCGACAAACCCGTACTACATTCTGTACAACACTCTCGTCCAGCCGGTATGTTGTACAGAGAACCCTCGTGGCGATAAGACGCTTGAAGCTTCATCGACTTCGTTTCTCAACCCCCGCATTCTGCTACTCTTGAGAGTATAATTGTATCTCTTGCGACCGAGCACCATGAGGATCGCGACCGCCGGTTTAGTCGTTGCGACTCTCTTCTCGCGGAGCGCTTCTGCGCTCCTTGTTGGTGTAGACTCGCCATGCGAGAAGAATTGCGGCAATGTCCTCTCCGCCACCACGGGAGATGACATGGTCTGCAATGAAAACTCATTCGGCTCTTCAGCTGGTATTGTCTTTAAGACATGTATCAACTGCGAGCTAGGCAGCACGTACTCTGGCCATGGCCAAACCGACCTGCAATGGCTGCTTTACAACTTGCGCTATGCCGTGTCCTGGTGTCTCTTCGGCTTCGCTGGAAACAAAGATGCTGGCAGTAATCCCTGCGTCACAAGGTAGGCACCTGGTCCTGAATCATCCTGACATGAAATAGAAGCTGATACTCATTAGCACCGCCTGTGGTCCTTTGAGGGAGGCTTTTGAATATGGCAACCTGTCGACATCGGTTGGCGAATATGACTATTGCCAAGCTTGGATACATGAGCAGGTTGCAAAATGCTCTGCTTGCTTGCTTCCAGGTGACCAGCACTACCTCAACAACTACGTCGTCATGCTCGATGCTGGGTGTCAACAAAAGCCTGCTGCTGGAGCAACCATCTCAGTTGAGGGATCGCCTTTCTCGACAGTCCCTATGAATGTCACCACCCCTACACCGTCGGATCTGGGCGAGTTCACTCATCAGACTGGCCCAATTTCTCTTGGGGGCAAGGTTGGCATCGCCATTGGTGGACTTGCCCTCCTTCTCTTCGCTATTGGTTTTGGTATTGTCTGTAATGGAAGGCGACGGCGCAGGGCTTTCCTGCATAAACTCGAGATGCGACACAAAGACCAAGGTTGGCCCCATCCGAGCACCCGAGGAGGTGTTTTGAACCCTCCGAACCGACCCGACCTGAACGATACACCGCTCAGTCAGAAGCCGTTGCGCGGCTGGGACGATTCACCGATGTCCGCCACCACGAACAGCACTTTCCCACGGTACTTCTCGCCTTACTCCTCACAGTATAACAGTCCCGTCAGTGCTCTTGAGGGTCCAAATATGCAGTGGCCACAAAACTTCCCCTCTTCTGCGCAGGAAAAAGCACTGCAGGAGCAACATGAGGCCCAACAGTCGCAACACAGTATTCCAATCGAGATTGGGGTTGCCCTTGGTGGCTCAGAACCCAGCATCCGGACGCAGCCATCCAATCCAAGCTTTGCGAGCCGCGAGCATCAGTATGAAGAGGCATATGAGATGCATGAGGTCGATAGCGCAGGTGGCAGTAATCATAGCGGCCGCATGCCCAGTGAGCCGCAAGCGCCCGTGCTTCATCATCCAGGTTTTGGAAGGCAACATAGCGTGACTTCCTTCAAATCTCGCACGTACGCTGGCCTGACAGAGGAGGATGCTCGAAGAGGCAATGCTGTATAAAGCTAGCCAGCCTTCTTGACACCTCGAGAAGGATTGACGTTGGCTTTTACAGGCTTATTTTTGATTTTGTCACATTATGTGCAGCTTGGAGTTCGGTTTTTATAGATACCTGAGCGATTGGACTGCACTGTCCATCCTCGAAGCTTCTGATACTAGAAGCAATGCGTTACGACACGGTGTGGGCGGGGATATATATGGTGGCCCCCAGGAAGGAGGATGGTCTAAGCATGAATGCTATACATATCAGCAATATCCCTGTATATTAGTTTTGATATCTCGTACTGCTGTCGAAAGTCTCCAGCGTAATGATGCCAATTATAACCACCTGCAAACAACTCAGTATGATCTAGTGATACTTTCTTACATTTCGTTTATGACTTTACCGTGCATGAACGTCAGTCAAGTTGGTGAGATGGACGGGAAAGTCCAGAGATTAACTAACTTCTACAAACTTGAAGTTAAGCCGACAGTAATTTTTGCACAGCATTTGGCTAAGCTATGCTATGAGCCCTCAGAGCAGATGTACGCCAAAAACTTGAGCTTTCAGCAGCCAAGAACTGTTCTATCACCGTAATAAAGAAATAATAAATTCTTCAGTCTTTCGTGTGAGAAGCCCCAGATTTTTCAACATTTACCCTTTTAAGTGATATCTTCACCTGGTAAGTGATTCTTCAAACAAGCTCACAAGTGTGGCACCCCAAGCTGTGAGCCACAGCAGCTTGCAGCGCTAATCCTATCAAAGCCTAGCTCGAGGCTGGATATTTTCTATCTCTTCCCCACAAGCTCTTGGGAAAAAATTTAGAAGCTCCCGAGTCAAACGCAAAGGCGAACAGCAGAGTGCGAGCACGGTTTTCGCGCTTTTTCGTCTCTGATCAATTCCGCTTTCGTGCCTCAATTCCCGACAGTCAAGATGTCAGGAATGGAAGTCGTCAAGGCCGGCGAGGAGGAATACTCCATTAAGCCCCAGGCAAATGTCCCCGCGCTGGACACGAGCACCTGGCCACTGTTGCTCAAGAACTACGACAAACGTATGGTTGGCCCGTCTCTGTTGCTTCTCAATGCGCTGACACTTCCTCAGTCCTTGTTCGAACCGGTCACTTCACACCGATCCCGAACGGTTCATCTCCCCTCAAGCGAGACATCAAGTCCTACGTTAGCTCCGGTGTCATTAATCTTGACAAGCCCTCCAACCCGTCCTCACATGAAGTTGTCGCCTGGGTGAAGAGAATTCTGAGAGTAGAGAAGACTGGTCACTCCGGTACCCTTGACCCCAAGGTCACAGGATGCCTGATTGTCTGCGTGGATCGTGCCACACGACTTGTGAAGAGCCAGCAGAGTGCCGGAAAGGAGTACGTGTGTGTCATTCGCCTGCACGACAAGGTCCCAGGCGGCGAGACCGAGTTCGCCAGAGCCCTTGAGCTCCTTACTGGTGCTCTGTTCCAGCGACCTCCTCTGATCTCTGCCGTCAAGAGACAGCTGCGTATTCGAACAATTTTTGAGAGCAAGGTCATCGAGTTCGACAATGACCGACACCTGGGTGTTTTCTGGGTTAGCTGCGAGGCTGGAACATACATCCGAACTCTCTGCGTGCATATGGGTCTTCTATTGGGTGTTGGAGCACACATGCAGGAGCTGCGTCGTGTTCGAAGTGGTGCCATGAACGAGACCAAGGATTTGGTTACTCTACATGATGTCCTCGATGCTCAATGGCTATACGACAACAACCGCGACGAGTCGTATCTGAGGAAGGTCATCCAACCCTTGGAGACTCTCTTGCTCGGGTAGGTATTTTTTTCTTGTCAACGAACGAGCTTTTGGCTAACAGATTGCAGATATAAGAGGCTAGTAGTGAAGGACAGCGCGGTGAACGCCGTATGCTATGGCGCCAAGCTGATGTTGCCTGGTCTGCTTCGATACGAATCCGGCATTGAGCTGCACGAGGAGGTTGTGCTCATGACTACTAAGGGCGAAGCTATTGCTATTGGCATTGCTCAGATGTCCACGGTGGAGCTCTCTTCCTGCGATCATGGCGTTGTCGCCAAAGTCAAGCGCTGCGTGAGTTTCATCTTGTCTACTGGAATCACATAAGTTAATCGAGATTCACAGATCATGGAGCGAGACCTGTACCCGAGACGCTGGGGACTTGGTCCCCAGGCCACTGAGAAGAAGAAGCTGAAGGCAGATGGCAAGCTTGACAAGTTTGGCCGGGTAAATGCCGAGACTCCTGCGAAGTGGAAGGATTCGTACACCGACTACAGTGCCGCTGCAGATGCAAGCAACGGTGAGGCTCCTGCCCCCATCGAGGCCGCCCCTGCCTCATTGCCTACTGCTGTTGCACCCCCTGTTCTAGCGTCCGCAGAGGAGCCCGCCGAGGAGAAGAAGCGGAAGTCTAAGCATGACGGAGAGACGCCAGAGGAGCGTGCTGAGAGAAAGCGCAGAAAGAAGGAGAAGAAGGCGAAGAGGGCCTCGAAGGGCGCGGCTGAGGAGGATGACAGTGACTAAAAAGCCCATCTTCTTCATTGATACCACGGCTGTTGTTTCCTCGGTCCTCTCTCCGGCGTTTTTGCTGTATATAATGAACCAGGGTTGGAAAATGGGCGTTGTGGCTGTTTCTGAACATTGTCCCGGGCAGAGGTGTAGGTAGCTACGGTTCCGTCTCGAGAAAAATTAGAATTGTTCACCATCGTGTATCGTATCCTCTCGAGTGGCCAATTTCCAAATGAACTGAACTTGTTAGCCTCTCGCATTCCCACACTAAGTGAAAGCTGTACTCATGAATATTTAGTCCAATCAGATATTCACAGTCCCCAATCAGAGCAAGGGATCATTTAGTATATAAAGACGTCTTTATTTATCTTGCTGCAGCATTGATCTATTGAGAGAGCGTCGTCGAGACTAATTGGAAACTCCATTGTCTCAGTACACCATAAATTTAGGCGACTACCCGTTTCATCATCCTGTAATCAAGAAGGAAAGTAACAGGCAACGCTCGAATGATAACTCCCTCCATGCTTCTGGGCCACTCCCTCGCCATAACTTCAAAACTCGTTGGCCACATACACTCGATGTTCTCACATCCACTGTACTACTGATATGTATCTTTGTAGATGTCCACAACGTTGGAGTTACCACAGGGTTGGCCAGCATCGCCCATGCAGGGCATGCTGCACGTATATGTGCCGCTCGGATCGCTGGCATCGATGACGCCGTCGTGAATTCTGTTATCGCACCAGCACTCGCGGCCGTACTCGACTCCGGCAAACATGTAGCCAGCAGTGTAGCAGCGATTCACGCACTGGTTGATCGTCATGTCCGTGCGGTCGATGAGCAAAGCCGGGAGGGCGTGACTTCCATCAAGAGGCTCCCTGTAGCATCCGACGTGGGCGTACGTGCCGATCTTCGCGGGAGATCGAAGCGCATTGTACGTCTCGTCGTGGAAGACGCTGATGCGGTTCGGACCGCCGCATATCTCCTTCGAATCGCCAATGCACTGCGTGGCGCAGCCCGTCTGGCCAACAGCGGACCCAGATGTGAGCCCGTACCCGTCGGCGCACCAGCATGCTACTCCGTTTTCGAGGCCCGCATAGGGGAAGTTGCGTTGCTGGCAGTAATCCATGCAAACCTCGATGGTTGTGTAGGTGGACGAGGAGAAGCCGCCGGAATTGAGAGCGCGAGTACTTCCCGAGAGCTCGTTCGCACAGCCGAGATACTTCCATCCTTTGGCAACATAGTTGTCGGCGAGTGTTCCGTCGTAGGGGCCGGGAGCGGGGACAGCTCCGACCAAGGTGCCACTGAAGGCACCGAGGATGAAAGCAGCAGCAGAGAGACGAAGCATAGCTACAGATGACACAAAATGTGTAACGAAAGTGGAAAAGGGGGGATTTGAACTACCCGAGCAGGCGGGTGGAGGGCCGTTATGGCTTCAGACAGTGATTCAGGGGCTGAGGGAACTCTTACTCCCTAGATGTTTGCAGGATAGAGCTGTCTTGAGGAATGTAGTCTGAAGTGATCTCGACCGCCATTCTCAACCCCAAGTATTTGTATTGCTCGTGTGGGCTCTCGTGGAATAGAGGGACGTGGAGCAATACTCGTCAGCGCGTCACCATCGGGAGTAGCACAACAAAGCCGGCCGTTGCCATGCCAAGCTATCGCGAGGTTCGGGACACCGATACCCCAGATTCAGTTGACAGAAGTATCAGCTTCCTTTGACATCCATTCCCGATAACTTTCGTGGCTTGATGATAGAGTTCAACTGCCCCATCATCCTAGGACCGTGGCTGTCGATCTTGTCCCTTACTGCTATTCTGGCTCTATGCTAGGTCGTGTGGAATACAGCTCCCAGGAGCAGCATCTTTGTCCAAATGAGACATGTTTCCCTCCTAGACTGAAGATTGCAGTCAAGTGAGACCACAAACAGGGACAAGAGTTCTGGCCCTTCTTCTGCTCTTGAGAGAAGAAGTTCTGGGGAAAGAGTATCGTATCCGACCTGTCAACACCACAACTTCGGAACCAGAGGCTCCCGCTTCGATGATGTCTGCGGCTCCCGTATTCATCTTTGTGCTTGAGACGATTAACTTTGGTAGCTTCAGCTGCAAAATTGCAACTCTCTAGCTGAGCTGGCAGACAAAGAAAACACGGCACATCAGAATTTCCAATGGCAGACCAGCACGGCCTATGACCAGGCCGGCCCGAAGATCAGCATAGGTCAGACCAGGTCCGAAAGCCTGGCGCATGCCACTCCTTGCAGGAAGATCAAGCCATCAATTTGCCGAATAAGACTGTTTTGACTGGTAGTACCCAGCAGACTGGACTTGGCGGAGGATTGACATGGGGAGCAGTGAGGCGGCAGTGCTGAGGCGGGACGCTTCCCCATATTGGTGCTTATGCGGCATGATCTAGATTACCGACGTACCGACAGCGAGTGCAAATCGATCCCACGAGGTGATGTTTGTCGGACCCAGTGCATTTCACTGGAAGATCCAGCTTCGTGGAAAATGCGGCGTGGGAGACAATGTGGTCAATGTTACACAAAAATTCCTGACTATTGGAAACCCTAAAACGGATATGGCCCTACGCAAGTCAATGTGTCTCAGCCCGCAGCCTATTCAAGGTGTGCTAAAATTCCAATCAGGAATAATTCTCACACAGCAGTAGCGGTATGAAAATGACCGAGAATCTGCTTGAAGTAGCAAGGCTGGCGAATGGCGCAGGGAACGGGTCATGATCCGAAAAGCGCGGCATCCGTCATGGCCTAAAGTCCCCATCATTTGTGCATCAACACTGTCCTATTAAAGTAAGCAGTTTCCTTCAATCTGGATCCCGAATGACGAATTAGCTGTGCATAGTTGGCTTAGTTGAATCCATATGGATACTAAATATCCATCGAACTGTTAGTCGTGGTGGCAGCCTTGGGATGGATGAGGCTGTGTAATTATCTAGACGTCAGCACACGAAGGTCCACAGTAAGAGTTAGCAAATGGACGATTCTGATGTCAAAGCACAAAGCTCACGCAAAATACTTAAATGAAAGACGAATTGAAAAGGAAGGCGATGTTGGAACCAGCATTCATTTTGTTCATTTGAAATCTGCAAAGTAAATACCATGAAGTCGCCAAACAACTTAGTATCATTGGGACTGGTAGAGTTGCTTTTTGTACAATGCATCTTGAGCGCCCCAAGTGCTCAGCTATCCCACTTGAATGCACGAGATGACGAACTGCCTTCGCTACTGAGCGAGAACTTCCCAGACCCGGCGATATTGCAAGATACAGATGGTTCTTGGTACGCATTCGCGACTGCAGGCAATGACAAGCAAGTCCAGGTTGCCAAAGCAAATGCGCCCGAAGGCCCATGGACGTACCTTGATCAAGACTTACTGCCAAATCCTGGGCCATGGACTAGTAAAAAAGACACTTGGGCACCAGACGTTCGGAGAATAGAAGATGGGTCATTCGTCATGTACTATTCCGGTCAACTGGGGAATGATACAGCACACCATTGCATAGGCACAGCAACGGCAAAGTCCATCCTTGGCCCATACACGGCACAGAAACAACCACTGGCTTGTCACATCCAAGATGGTGGTGCAATAGATCCGTCTGGATACTACGATCAGGAGACACAGAAACGCTATGTCGTTTACAAGGTAGACGGTAATAGCATTGGGCATGGAGAGAACTGCGGAAACACAGAGGGAACGCTCGTGCCAACGCCAATCATGCTTCAAGAATTGAAAGCCGACGGTATCACGCCTGTAGGGCAGCCAGTTCAGATCCTTGATCGAACTGACGACGATGGACCTCTCGTGGAAGCCCCAAACCTCATCAAAACAAGCGACGGATTGTTCATCTTGTTCTTTAGCAGCCACTGCTTCAACACACCAGACTACGACGTCAAATATGCAACGTCGGATAGCATTCGAGGCCCATACTTACGAGCCTCACAACCCCTAGTCCAAACCGGGGACTATGGGTTGACTGCCCCAGGAGGAGCGACAAGTATCGAAGACGGTGGGAAGATGGTCTTTCATGCCAATTGTCCTTCTGGACGATGCCTCTTTGAGCTGGACTTCAGGATAGAGGACGGCGATGTGATTGCCTGCCTGGGATGAGCGTGTGTGTGTGAGGTGGCAGGTCCAATGATCTCGAAGGTCTGAGACTGGGCGGGTCTGGGGTATCTGGGCAGGAGTTCGGCGAACAAGGTTTAAAGACGTTTCAAGGAGAGATAGAGCACTCCGGGCCGCGACCTCAAAAGATCGTCCTCAAGTCTCCGTTGCTGTTCGTCGCAAAACGCTTCTGCATGATGCAGTAGCGACGCAGCCAGGATGGGAGGAATGTGGTGGTGACAGCCTGTAAACAAACATTTGCTTATGCGGATGAAAGAAACTTGCTAGAAACAACAGCTTTATGCCGCAATAGAGGCATTTATCAGAACAGCCTGATGCGTAAAAAAAAAACATAGGAGATTCAATGATGCGAGACTGAGCTTCGGATGTCTCCGCGTTCTTGGGTTGTCAGATGAGTTCAGATGGTGAGGCTTCCGAGTTCCGTAGATGGACCCAAGGAGTCGGGGCATTGGCGCCGCCAAATTGCACTAAGGATGGTGCCCCTGTTGGTGGGGATGGCCCATTAAGCTCTGAAGGGGAAAGTTCCCGGCCGCTCAGTGGGCCAACCCGTGCAGCCTCTGCCTGCAAACACACGACTTTAAGCGCCGGGCTGAGCGTATCACAACTCCCAAACCCTCCACAACATCACATCCTGCGCAGCTTTGCTAGGCTCAATCTCCTGGCGCTTTCAGCACCAAGACGTTAGCCTCTCATGCGGCTTGACTCAATATTGAATCTATCGATTGTCAATTTGCCGACTCTCTCAAGCAGCCAAGGCCCTGCTCCTGCTGATGCTCTTGCTGATGCTCCTTGTCGACCACAGCATTGCTGCTGTATCCAGGTCTTTTGAAGGGCTGCCCGGCAGCATGCCTCGGCCTCTTGGGAATCTGCATTTCCTAGGGCATCTGCAATTGCATCAGTGCGGCTGGCTGCGATTTGGAATGCACGTCTCTCACCAGCAAGATCACGGCGAGTGCCATCCTGGTCTGCTCTGATCGCGACGCCATGCTGCAGCAGTATCTGATCCTCCTGCTGTTGGTGAATATCTCAGCTGTGTGTGATTGGCCACCCCCAGAGGCCGCATGGAGCGGTCGTTAAACGCGGGCAAGCGGGCGGCCCAATGGTGCCTGCGGGCGCGCTGGAGACCGTTCCATTGCAGATCGATATCCATCTGCCGACCCTCCATGGATTGATTGGCCTGCTGCCATTTCTGGCCCTGAACAAGGTGCCATCCTCGCATCCACGGCGGTACGGCCATGTGAACCGTCCCAGGTCCTACCGTATGCAGCCATGGTTGTCCAGGCCCAGTCCTCGAGTGGCTGTTGGCCAGGTCCAATCTTTCCTCTTCTGCTCAAGCCCCCTGGCTTGTCGTGACATCCTTTAACTGGAATGGCCTTAGCGTCATTGGTATCACACATATTGTCTGCATCGGAGAATAATCTAAGGATTGCAATCAACTCACGGGCGGCTGGATATTGTGTGATACCACCCCTCCAAGGGCACAGTCGCTCTTCCTGGCAACATACGAGGTGTCGGACATGCGTTTTGACCCATTGATATTGCCCCTCCTCCCTCCTGGGGCATGTCTTTCTCACGATGTTTCTCCCGTCTGTCTTCTCGTTGATTGCTGTTTAGTCCATATTCCGGTTGTTTGTTCTAGTATACCCTTTAATTGTACCGTATTAGTGCGTCGACGAGCCTCCTGGTCTGAGGCCCATCTTCGTCTGTTCATTCCTTTACGACTTCTGTTTTCGGTCTTCTAATCCTCAAGTCCCTGGCTGGACTCATACAGCCAATCCTACGAACCATATACCCACACAACCACGACAATCATGGCTCTCCTTTCGGTGACCTTTCTTTTTGTTTTTCTCATTCAGCATTTCGCCGCCGGCCTACAGGTCACACCCAATTCTCCATGTTCATCCGTGTGTATCGACTCGAATGACTTGGACTACTCCGATCCCAATTCCTCAAATACCCGCGGGTCTGACATAGCCTGCCACGATGCGGACTTCACAAGCTCCGGCCCTGGCATGAAGTGGCAAAAGTGTATGAGCTGTCTGCAAAACAGCACATTTTCGCAAGGTAGCGAGAATGATCAAATGTGGTTCTTATGTACGTTGTGAAATGATACTTCAGCAAATTGAAGCTAGATCAATCCCGTCGTTTACAAATGGTGGTGCTGACCAGCAATGCTTCAAGACAACCTGCGATATAGCTTTGATTACTGCGTCTTTGGCTATCCTAACGCAACAAATGTTGGCTCAAATCCTTGTATCACTTCGACGGCATGCGGCGGCCTGGAAACTGCTTTGAAAGACGGCGATTTGAAGAGCCAGGGCCTTCAGGCATATGCATATTGCGATGCTGATGGCGCCGCAATGACTGGCGACAGCTATAACAAATGTCTGGCTTGCGTCAGTGCGAGCGGAGATGATGATTACATCGGAAATGGTAAGAATGTTGCTTGTATCAATGCTATAACATATAGCTAATGCGTCTCCTTCCAGCTCTGGTTGCTTTAGAAGCCGGGTGTCTCCAACGCCCAGCTGCTGGCACGATTGTAGGACTCAACGACACTGTTTTTGCTCCGGGTATCATTGGAATTGTTGACCCCAACACTGTGCCGACGAAGGAGTCGGACAAGCCGTCTTCTCATATTTCTACGCCACTGATAGCTGGTATCATTGCTGGGGTTCTCGTTCTTATCGCCGCCATCGCTGCGTTCCTCTACGTTCGCTATCGTAAGCGAAAGAACCAGGAGATGCGAGCGAACCCACGTTGGGGCCGCCATCGCCCGAAGTCTTCACTGTCATTCCGCTGTCAGAAGGTGCTGTCACCCATGTCACCCAAGTTCTTCCAAGATGTAGAAGACTCATCCATGGATGATATGAGCGAAGCTGCACCCGAACGTCGCCACATAGAATCAAAGCCCAGGAGCGGTCGGACTCCACCCATGCCAGCATCTTCTTTCCAAAGCCTTGCTGCCGTTTCACTCCAACAGGCGCCACCAGGACCAAAGTCTTCCAATAATTCGGAGAAGAAAGGCAGCATCTCAGGCGGCAGAGGCTCGCTGCCTCTGCGTTCAATCACGACAAATGTGCCAGCTGTACCAGCTGCCACACATGCATCACCCAATGCAACCCGATCTAGCCCGGCTTCTGCGGCTACAACTGAGACTTATTTCAGTACACCAACGTCTACGACGCAACTCATACCCGCCGGTTTCAGTGCTTATGTTCCAGCGGAACATGGGATTGTATCCGCTCGAGCAGGCACTGAGCCGATGAAAAGCCCTACGCTCATCAACCTGACTTCACCGGGCATAGCTTCTCCTCGGCTTAATCAACATGGCTGGCCGGCGGCAGTTAGAGAGCAGGACGTCACCTTTCCGCCGCCTCCGCCTCCTAAGGGCACCAGGATTGACACCAAGAGGTCAGGCTTCAAGAAAGGCAAGAGAGAGTCCGGAAGTCCTGTTGAGAGCAGACAAATCCAGCTGTCCTTCGCAGCACCACCGACAAGAAGATAGATGTGATTTTTCACTTTACTCTGCACATGCTCTGTATAGTTGAATTTGTACATGTTTTCAAGTCGCTATGATTTTTTTCTTTTTGGACTGATCTGAAGATACCATGTATATTAAGAAAGCGGCAGGTATTGGGAATGGTGACAAAAGCATGCAAGATGCAAGGAGTTCAGGAGAATGACATGGTCAGGATATAAGTCGGCTGTGGGATCCGAGATCTCGATCCAATCCAAGTCGCGCGCACTCTTTGCAAACTAATATGAAGCTGATTACAAGCATTTTACTATGGCCGTTTTCAAGAAGACAATTTTGCTACAATTCTCCATCTTCAAACTTGAATACCTTTGTGTCCGGCCTTGTCCAATGAGTGTGAAGATAAATGCTTACCGTGGGCGAAGGACGCTAAAGACTTAGAACATAGTGGGGTGCATATCGATAGCGTAGCGTTCCGATACAGGACTCAATAACCTAAAATTTTGGCTTCCTAGCTTGCTGTTCTCAAGAGTCCTTGAACTGAACAAACGTTGGGATTCGAGGACTTTCTATCCCACTCGCCGCCTGCCTCGCCTGATTTCCTCTTCTTTCACTCCTCGCGATCAAAGTATGAGCTCAAGCACATCAACGCCCCGGTGGGCTGCACTTGCGCGGGACACGAACGAGACCAAGATCCAGCTGGCTCTGAACCTCGATGGCGGCGCATTCCCTCCCGACACAGACTCAAGGTTGACCCAGAACGGAGCCGACGGCCATGCATCACAGTCAAGCAAGTCACAGACAATAAGTATCAACACGGGTATTGGCTTCCTCGACCACATGCTCCATGCCATGGCCAAGCATGCGGGCTGGAGTCTGGCGCTTGCCTGCCAGGGCGATCTTCACAGTCAGTAGCTACCCATCTCCTGATAGAACATCCGAGTGTATCAATTGACAGCCAATGCTAACGAGCCACCGAAACCTACAGTCGACGACCACCACACCGCCGAAGACGTGTGTATCGCGCTCGGCAGCGCCTTCGCCCAAGCGCTGGGCTCGATGGCGGGCCTCGCGCGCTTCGGGTACGCCTACGCACCGCTGGACGAGGCGCTCTCGCGGGCCGTCATCGACCTGTCGAACCGGCCGTACAGCGTGGTCGAGCTGGGGCTGAAGCGGGAGAAGATCGGGGACCTGAGCTGCGAGATGATCCCTCACTGTCTGCAGAGCTTCGCGCAGGGCGCACGGGTTACGCTGCATGTGGACTGCATCCGCGGTTTCAACGACCACCACAGGGCTGAGAGTGCCTTCAAGGCGCTGGCGGTGGCGATCCGCATGGCCACGAGCAAGATACCTGGCAAGGAGGGCGAGGTGCCCAGTACGAAGGGCACACTGAGCGCATTGGGTTAAGATATGGGAAGTAGGTGCTGTGGAGTCGGATCGATCTGGCGGGGATTCAGAGTGAAGAGAGCATGTCAATGACTCAATGGGTGATTGGAGGGACTACCTAAGAATACCAATGGTGTTTGTGCGTGTGAACTGAATCTTTGTAGGTAAAACAAGTACCAATTGTAAATATAGGCTCTGGATATGGCAGACGGGCGTAGGGGTGCGGACAATAGAATCATACGATTAGTGCTCTATTCAAGCTGTAGCAGAGCTGTAGTGCTGATGGCGAGCAAGTTTAGCGGACATTCCCGGGCCCCGGCCCCGCCTACGTCCATGACGCGCACGGGATCTGCTGCCATTCTCAAAGCCCGGCAAATAGCATGAGCCTCATCCATATTTTACAAGGTCTAATCGCCGAACATATCAAAATCTTCGGATACAGTCGGGGACCTCGTATACCCGTTGGATCTAAGTTAACTCGGCCGAGTGTCGAGTAACCTCATCATTCGTCTCACTCCCTAGAGTGTAGCACATTGAATGATGAGTTAGAAGATGCGCTCTCACGATGCTATGAAAGATGAGGAGGCGGTTAATGCTGCCTGGGAAGCCACTCGGGGCGCCCTGTATGGAGCAGCCAAATGGGGCGCATTCACTGCCGTCCTAGGAGGCATCGGCTATGTCGCTTCTCCGATATACCGGAGTCTCACGATACAGTTCAAAGTGTGAGTAGTCATCTTCAATTCGTTAGCCTCCCCGATACAACTCATAGATACATCATTGTCTCTTTTGTCAGTCTCTGAGTAGCATCTAATTTTTCGTAGATATCTTCAAATGTCTGGAATGGTCATTGGGAGTATGATGGAGGCGGATCATAGGATACGGATGTATGAGGCTCAGATGAGGATTCATCGGCGAAGGATGCGAGACAAAGCTATGTGGGAGGACTTCGAGAGACAGTATGGCAAGGATGACGATGACGACAACTCATAAATATTGGTCATTGGAGGATCATCAACGCTTCATTACTGTTTTTGTAAAGACATTCAGCCATGTACATACGAAATGCTCTGAGGCATTCGACCGTTTTACACCCGACCGTTCCAACCGAGTCAACGCCGAGCCATGCGAATAGCAGCCTTCCCCTTCATCGTTCTCATTTTTTGGGCAGTTGGAACTTCTTGGGGTCCATATTCAGCCGACATAGCCTGACCACGCACCCACTCAGCTGTAGCAAAGTTTGCACGCCCTCTAGAATTTTCATATGTGTGAAACCAATCTCCTTGATGAACTCAAGCTTGGCGTGCTCGCTCAAGGTCGGAATAGTCTTGGTGACCTTGAACATGGTGCTGATGATATCGTGGCTAGAGTAGCCAAGATCCCACAGCTCTCGAAGAGAATCTAGGGCGGAGTCGACATTGCCTTCAAAGCACGCCTTGAGCATCGCCTGAACCTTGATAGGGTGTGGCGAGTCGACGACCTTGAACACATTATCCCCGGACACAAAGCCGAAACCCGCATACGTAGACTGCAAGTTGTTGATGGCTTGACGCATGTCACCCTCGGCGCTGAATACAAGCGCCGCAAGACCGTCGTCGCTGTATTTGACGTCCTCCGCTTCGATAATCTGCATCAATCTCTTGACCACCTGTGCGTCAGTCAGTCGTGCATATCGGAGGATAGCGCAACGAGACTGCAGAGGCTCAATGATCTTGTTCGACTGGTTGCAGGCGAACGCAAAGCGGGTGGTATTCGAGTAGATCTCCATAGTCCTTCGAAGTGCCTGTTGTGCGCCAGAGGTCATGCTGTCGGCTTCGTCGAGAATGACAATCTTGTGTCGTCCAGCGGGCAGGGTGACCTTCTTCTGTGCGAAGCCCTTGATTCTGTTTCGCACAACATCGATACCTGTGAAGCACTGAGCACAATGTACCAGGGCCCGCGCGGACTCTCTTACCTCGTTCATCACTGGCGTTTAGCTCCAGAACAGCCTCCTTGTATGAATCCCCTAGCAGTTGTCGTGCGAGACAGAGCACACTGGTTGTCTTTCCGATACCCGGCATGCCTGAGATGATGACATGAGGCATGTTGCCATCTTTCGCGATAATCTTCAGTCGCTCGATCGTTTCTGTATTCCCTACGATGTCGTCAAGGAAAACAGGTCTGTATTTCTCGACCCTGCCTGAGAGTTAGCGGCTGCAAGCCATTTGAGCAAAGTCTCAGATCCGGCTCGCCTACCATGGCAACTCGTAATTTGGCGTGCCGTTTGCATTTGCAATCAATGCCTTCTTGGCAGCGGAAGTCGAGGACTCGCCCGTCTCCTCGGGCTTTGCTGCAGCTGCAGGCATTCTGGCTGTGATGCTGTGTCGTGCGGTGTTGCGAAGTGAGTGGTGAACCTGAAGCTGGAAAGTACGGCCAAAATCAATCTACGCGTCTGACGCGGGTCAACGAACGCGACTCCCGCACGGGGACCTGAGGGCCTTCTTAGGCAGGTAGCAGGTAACTGATAACATCAATTGTACCGCCAAATATTCAGGAAAACCTTGGAATTTTCAACTTCGGATCTAGACTGTCACTTCCATATGAAGCTTTTAGGGCATTGCTACTATAATTATCATATGTATAGGGATGCACTTATTATTTTTAAAAATACTAAAGCATATTGAAGAGAGAACAGCGACGGTAGGTGAATCACATTGGGGCTTCCTGGTAAAGAGTTCAAACAACCCTAACCCGGTTGAAGTTTCGGGGGCCTGCCGAACGCGATAAGGTCGATAGCAATCCAGCCCCGCCAAAATTTTGAGCGATAAGGCAGCACAGTGCTTTATCGCTTTGAATTTTCTTCTAACATTTCCGCAATCCATTGCAATCATCGCGAAATGCGACAGCACACAAGATGGGTCCATCAAGAACCAAGACGGTGAAGAACAAGCATGCTGCCAGTAAATCTGGCATAAAAGGCAGCAAGGCTTCCCAAAACCCGCAATTCGACCCCGTCGTCAAGTCAAAGAAACCAAAGGGCAAGCTCCCTGCCTCTCAGATCAAGGGAAGGTCGGGGCTCGCAGATCTACTCAAGAAACGGAAGAAGAAGGTCTACAGTGAAAAGGAACTAGGTCTTCCCCAGCTCAACATGATTACTCCGGTTGGGGTCCAGAAGCCAAAGGGCAAGAAGAAGGGCAAAGTATTTGTGGACGACCGAGTAAGAAAATCCCCCAGACTGCATGTTGCCGACTGCCAAAAGCCATTGGTTGCTAATTTAAACTAGGAGAGTATGAATACGATCCTTGCTATGGTACAAGCCGAGAAGGAAGGCCAAATTGAGTCGAAGATGATGAAGGCGCGACAGATGGAGGAGATCCGTGAGGCGAGGAAAGCAGAGGCTGAGAAGAAAGAGGCAGACAGGAAGGCGAAGTTAGACGAGACGAAAGAGTCGCTACGAAGGAAACGAAAGAGGCCTAAGACTGCAGAAGATGAGGACAACATCAAAGAAGTCACCTCAACCGGCACGAAAGCCTCGAAGTCAAGGAAGAAGAAGGTGTCTTTTGCTGAATGAACTAGGCTGGAACCTTGACTTGATTCATTGCATGGCGTTACGGTGGCTAAGGGTATATCGATTGCATCTATATCAATTGTATCGGCTCAGGGAATTCAAAATCAAGTATCAGAAATGGTAGATAAATCGACAATTTTATCCGGCGAATCTTGCAAGCTATCTCTTCGAGCGAATCAAAATGAGCGATCCCATTATAACACCTACTTCTATATGCATCTATCTAGGCCAGTTGCCGATACTTCTAACAAAACTATATACTTTCCTGGATTTTGGCTTGTGGAAGTGTCTCATCAGTTCACTCTGCGTTTATCTCCATCTTGCGCCTTAGTGGATCAAAGTTGCTACCGAATTGCTGCTTCTTGACAGGAGCGATGTCTGCGGTCGAAGTAATCGAGTTCAAATCGACATTATCTGCCATGTACTTCAAGAAATTCGATACCTAGCATCGAGTCAGAGTTCTGTTGCACCATGAAACAATTGACGAGGTTTTATACCGGCCGAGCATGCCACCTTCCGCCACCAACTTCGAAATAGGACAGATGACCACCTAGGGAGGTTGTACAGCAGACTGTGTATGGGTTTTGCCTGATTTCACCATAAGGGATCGCTTCTTCGACCGCGATCTTCCCCAAGTTAGTCGTGACAATGTGATTGGCATATTATATCGCACTCACCGGATCATCAGCAGCATTGATCGCAAAATAAGGTATCCGAATAGCTAAGATTGAGTCGACAGAAGAAGCATCACGATAGTAAGCTTCTTCGGTAGGATATCCCCATGTCACACACCTAGAACAACCATGAGCTGGAACCTAGAGTCAATTGTTTAAGGGGGTTGCAATACGTACTGGACTTCCCGATCGATTTCGAACAAATAAGTCTGTCTTTGAATGTGCTCATAATTAAGTTTAGTGTGCGTCAAAATGGATTGCTTGTGCTGCTCTATGAGCTTCTTCATATTGGCTGGCAGTTGATGAAAGTTAGTAGATGAATGAGTCAAATATTTATGAGATCATTATTGACTCACAGCCCATGGCTCTCTGGTAAACATGCTTCCCCAGTAGGGTTCTCTGAAGAGCTTTATTGGACACGTCTAAATTGAAAGGGTTTCCAACCACCACGGCACCTTTCAAAAGGCACTCAGCCCCCTCTTCCGCAATATACTAGAGTCGAGCTCAGTATCTCATCTAGAAAATTTGCATGTAGAGGCTTTTACTCACATTCGTTATTATATTGGCTCCTAGGGAAAAGCCCAATCCAAACAGTGGCCGATTGGGAAATGCTTTCTTTACCCATGCTACGACCTGTCGCACATCCCAGGTTGCCCGACCATTGAATAGCACACCGCTAGTGATCTCACTATTTGCACAACCACGGGAGTTCACAACGCAACATTCCCAACCTCCATTGTCAAGGAGAAGAGGGGCAATGGCATGTCTTAAATAGACTTCATAAGAGCCTCCTGAGAGCCCATGCAGGACTATTAGCATGGGCCGATTGTCATCAGATCCGATGTGTGAGAACTCGTCTTCAGTGAAGAATACTGTCCGTGGCGGCAAAGCAGGATGTGTCTTTTCATGTGCGGGCACAGAGAAGTCGACTGCGAATGTGCCAGTATGGGTTTGATAATCCGAGTCGAAGATCTTTCTCTTGTAGAAGATATGTGGTCCATGTTGTGGAGTAGCAGTCCACATGGTTTGGAGATGACCATTGAATAGCAATGGATTGAGTTGACAAGGAGGCGTTGCTTTCTCGCATATCCTCAATAGATCAGTCTCTGTTCCATCCTTCTCTCGTAAAGCCAGTGGTGCTGCATGATGAGTGAACTTGAGTTTGGCTCGCCCGAACCAATCCCTACAATAGCCTCAAGTCAGAACTCTTGATGTGTAACCTTTGATACTTGGACAAGGGAATCTCAAGGCTAAGGACTACAGCAACACTGTTGGGAGAAGGAGCAGAATTTCGGCGTCTTGAAGTTTGGGGTTGTACTAACATGATGCGCAAGCCTCAGTTGAGATGCGAGAGTTGGCGTATAGGCTTAGGAGGTGGTCTGCTCTACGCCTACAGATCAATCTGGGCAGACAGTCGATATTGGGAAAACAAGGACACTCTTGATGTAAATGAGAGTCTCGGGTGGGTGCGAAGAACTTCTCGTTGATACCTCATCTACAGGCTCCACTTCACTCGAAGACAGGGTACCTCGCGGTATACGAGAGGACACGAAAGTCGGATAGGACTGATCAGCAAACACATAGAACTGGAACCAGATCTACTTTTGGTTGGTCTGTCTCTCATAACTTTCGAAAAGGACAACGCTTATCATATTACCATAAACGGGCACTCCGCGCGCTCTGTCGCACTTGCATATTGACGGAGGCGACTGTACGGTACTCGTAGACGAGCCTCGGCACCTGAAGACTGTGGGGCCACCACTTGGGTGAGCCACATGTGGCTAAATAGTTCATTTGTGGCTTGCCCAGTCATGCTGTAGCGCCTCAATCCAGATTCAACCACGCTAAACACCATCAACTCCCGACTGCTTGCGGCCGGATCGGCAACGTCTCGCGATCCCAGACCAACACATCGCGATACCGAGCCGAATCACCGGTTAACCGAAACAGATGAGACTGGGACCACCGGCTGAGAAGGTTGCGCGCCGGTGATTCACCAATTTGTCCTCCTCCAGATGTCGCGACAATGACCTATCGGGGCTCGTTCCCTCCGGGGCAGGCCTACAATGGCCAGCAGCAAGTGCCCCAACCTGGCTACGTGTATGGAAATGGGATGCCTTATGGAAACCAGCAGTACCAAGGCGTCCAATACCAGAGCCAACAGGTGCAACCGCAGCAGGTGTATATGAATAATGTGCCTCAATATCAGGTTTACGATGGCGGATTCAACCAACACGTGCCCATGAACCCTGGCCAATATGCTGCTCACCAGCAATACTCTCAGCAACAGGCGCAATCGATGCCCGCTTATTCTCCTATGCCGCCGATGCAGCCTGCACACCAATCCGTGCAGCAGTCGGTCCATCATACGCCTCAATACATACCACAGCTTCCAGTGGATAACGCTCGCCATTCCATCGAACAGACCGAGGCGAGACGTCGAGTCTCCGAGGGACCTCAGCCGACACCTGTGGTAAAGAAGGAACCGCGCAAATCGATGCCTGCGCCGACGATCACAAGATCGCCGACCGTTACATCTTCGCCAGGCCACCATATCGATACACCATCTGTCCTTCTCTGTGTCGCGGAGGAATGCTTTGAGAAAGCTTATGCCGCGGTGCAAGACGTCGCTACCTCGATGGATGCAAGAATGGTGCAAGATTACTATAAACTGCTCTCTACGGGGCTAGGTTGTCTGGAAGCTGCGCTACATACGGACAAACTCCCGCCTCGAACTGAAGCAAAAGTTCGCTTGCGATATGCTGCTATACTTAGTGAAGAAACGGAAAATTTAATGGAGGCTGAGACTGCGTTGACCAAAGGAATTGCGTTATGCGAAAAGGTAGATAATCGCCATATTTTACTTGGCAGATGAAGAAGGAGGTACTGACACAAATTCTAGCACCGATTTCAGGATCTGAAGTATTCCATGCAGTTCCTTCTTTTGAAGGTTCTTTTCCGCAGAAACCGCAAAGCGGCTTTTATCGCAGTCGATAAGCAAATCTCCGAATCTTTGACGTGAGTAAATGAGCTCATATCTTTTCTGTACTCGATTAGCTGATCCTTGGAATAGTTATAAGCAGATCCAGTGGGTGTATGCTTTTCGCTTCCTCAGAGCATCATTCAGCTTGCAATCAGGCACCCCAGCAGACGCGCCTGCCCTCGAGAATCTTCGCAGTATCAGTGGAATCGCCAGTCACAGACAGGATCGGGCGATCTTCATGGTCACAGCTCTTCTCGAAGGCTTGACACATCTAAAGTCTAGGAAGGCGGACAGCATCGTTCGTGTGCAGACTTGTATCGCAGAAGCATCAAAATTCCAGTCTGATCCCTCCTTTCATATTCCTCAGTTGGAAGTACTGAGACTTCTGCTGGATCTTGCTTGCGATCTTCAAGAAAAAAACCCTGGCGGCTCCTTATCCAAGATGAAGGCGCTGCAGGCTCGGATGGATGAACTTATCAAGACTTCTGATTGGGACGCGAGCTTGACTGAGCTTGTGCTACCTATGAAGAAGCAATCTGGCTTGTCACAGACAATCAGTGAGGACACGGGCACAATACTGCGCCCAGGAAGAGACGATCACGATTTTCTTGTCCTGTCGTTTGTAACAAAGCTTCAGGCTTTCGTTTTGGCGTGAGTACCATTCTACATTCTCCTCTAAAGCAAGTTGACTGAAATGTTTGATAGATACTGCTTCAGTGGTGTGGCACTCTTGTATAAGTCTTCAACAAGTATGACCAGTTCCGAACTTTGGGAGGAGGCTTTAGGTATGCTCGCGAAAAGTAAGCAAAATCAAGCTTAGATGAGCAGTTGGCATGTCACTGACACAACTCTAGGCCATACTCAGATGCGTGGTCGTCCCGCTTCACTCCAAGGAGCCATAGAACATGTCGATTGGGCTGGAGAGGTCAGCTCCTACATATATATCCTGATTGGATTAACCTCTGCTACACACAGCAACTGGTCTAAAGCCAAAGAGTGCATCGACAAAGTGGAAAACAACAAATCTCCCCTCGGACAAACCCTAGAGCTCCTGGCGCTTTACTTGTCTGGGTGCTACTATCAAGGTGTTGCAAAACTTGATCAAGCCCTGCAAATTTTCGAGGACCCTCGCTTCAACATTGATGGCTCTGCAGCCGCCTTCGGCGGCAGCGAGCCTGGCCCTGCTGAAGTCTCGGTGCTGGCGGCTCTCAATCGCCTCTGGATCATGCAGGAGCCCTCGCACAGAGACGATTACAAGACTGCTGAATTAATTGAACAGCTCCGTCCATATTGTATGGACAGTCCTAACAAAGAAATCCAGATAGCTTGGAACCTCGTGCTAGCCGCGATTCACACCAATCCGGCCTTGTCGATTAATCAAGTCAAAAAGCATATCCAGGAGGGACTGAAGAGTTCCCAGCACACAAACAACACTCATTGTTTATCTATTGCGCTGAACATTATGAGATACCGGCTCTTCGAGAATGTGGTTGGGGACCAGGCGGTCAAAAGTGCTAGAGCAGGGTCTGTACAGGCGGAGAAGAGCGGCAATCTACTGTGGATGAGCGTTGCCGATGGCATGCTGTCACAGTCGTACGAGATGCAAGGTGCCGTGGCAGAAGCGCAAGCCAAGAGGGAGTCTGGAACGCGGTTTGCAAACGAAGCTCTTGCTAAGACCATGAGCTGATGCTGTAACGATATTTGGCTGGTCATGGAGGTGTTCTAGCATTGTTGGCGTCACGGTTAGTGTTAAGGGGAATTGGGTGAGCGTATTGTGGCCATGGGCTGGGAGTATTGTCGGATATACTATAGGTTTCAGTCATTATTTGTTGCTGGCTTGCTCAGCAAGAGTATACCCTTTCGGCTTGGGCTTGGACCGAGATGCCTTGGAAATGTAGGTAGCATACAGGATGACAGACTAAATACATTATTATAATGACTGATTAGAGGTTGAAAACATCACAAGAGGAGGAATCTAGCCTAGAAGAGGTCTTCAGGAGCTCGTTAGTCCCTCTTGAGCTCTTCTCAATTACTACCTAGGTAGTTTGTTTTTTCGATGGGACTTTCGGAAGCTAAGGCCAAGTGGAGAATTTTAAAGTACCTAAGGTAGCTCGAGGACCCCTGTAGCTTAGCGAGCTTAGGTAGTTGGACAGGCGCGTCCGCAAAAAGGAGCCGCGTTCTAAATTTCTCGAGGAAAATTCGCAGCATCCAAGCAAGCTCTTTTGCCTTCAGCATTGAATCCTAAGCGTCAGGGTACAACAGTGTCCCACCACTCCAATTGCTTTGGGATCTACGCAATGCTTCAATTGCGCTCTCGGGGCCGTCGAGCTATCCTCCCGTGCTACATCTGCACCTCATGTACAGCTACTGCGCTGCAAATACATGCGGTGCCCATATCCTCCCGATGCTACGCAACCGCATCAAAACCGAAATCCAAACCCAGACCCAGACCTAGAACAGCACCTTCGACACCACGAAACACCGGAACGCCCAGAAAGTCTCGATCGAAGGGCTCGCCGTCGAAACCAGGCGGCGGACATATCGCACTGTGGCGAGAGACGCTGGAGGTTCTCAAAGGTCTCAAAGGTGGAGGTGTGCAGAATGAGGGAGTCAACTTGCCTCGAAAGCAAAAACCGTCTAAAGAGCCACAGGATGTAGTCCACAAGAATGTCGACGATGTTTCGTCGAATGGAGCGAAAGAGACGAAGGGGAAACCGTCCAATCTGCCTATGCGCTTCCGGTTAATGGACTCCAAACCCCTCGATGCACAAATTGCGCATCTACGAAAAGTGATTTCGCGAGTTCAACCCGATGATCGTCCATTTATGGAGAAAAGATTTAGCGATTTATGGGCCGCAGTCGAATCCGAGAGTGGTGATGAAGCAGCGGAGTTGAAGTTGAGACTTAAAGCCGAGCAGGAACGCCTACTTGCCCGGTATCGATTGTTTGAAGATCCTCTTTTCTTGCTCAAAGAACAACTAAATACTGTCCGATCCGTTGTCTTCAAAAATGACCGAGAAGCAATCGAAGAGCAAATCCAGCAGCTTCAGGAGACTCTCCGCAATAGCGATACTACAAGTTCCAAAGCAGGAGTTGATCAAGTCCAGCCATCCGTAAAGTCACCCAATAAAGAGGGCGTCAGAGGGGAGTTACTTGATGGCGCTTTGTCAGTACTCAACAAAATTCTCGCATCTCAGGCAAAAAAACAGACCAAGCTCAATGTGGCCAAGACCTCACCGGGCTCAGATGTACAGCAAGCACCGAAGAAGAAGAAGGCGCAGAAGGCGACAAGGACTTCTTCAGAAGGAAACGCGACATCGGTGAACGTTTCTTATCCGCCAAATGACGCGCTGGAAAGGGATCTAGCTGATCCGACCACTGAAGATACCGCAAGTAGCAGCGTTTCTGGAAGGAGACTACAACCTACTCAGCCGTACCATACAGCCCCAGCATTTCGCGACTTAGGATCGAAAAAGGCTCGGAAAGCCGGTCTAGCACCCATTAAGATCGAGAAAGTAAACCCGCAATACCTGCACTTGACTCCAGTCAAGGGAGCTCAACCCCAGGTGCCGAAGCTCCAATATGGGCTTGATCGTGCGTTATTCAACCCTGGTGTCTATCATCTCCAGGATCCTCGATCGAGGGTCTATAATTTTGATCCATACCTCGCGTCTATCATGCCCATAGATCAATTCGACTTCAATGCTCTGAAGGCATATGTCACATCATCCAGGGACGAGAATCTCATATCGATGGCGGCTCAACACAAGAAGAAATATACTGGCTCGACATCAAGTATGACAGCCATGCTGTCTCATTTTCATTACCTTCTTTCATCATGGCGACCAATCAATCCAGCGCACACCTCGAGGTCGTTTGCCCCTGAATCGTTCAACTTCACAAATATTATGCGTGCACCTGCGGCTACTTTCCTCCACTGGAAGGACGGGACGTACGCTATTGACGCTGATAAAGAGTTCGACTCAGCAAATATCTTGAGCATGTTAGGCAGGTCAATGGAGAAGCTCCTCACATTGCCCAAAGAGGACTATGAGAAATACCGTCTGGTCAATTCGGATCAGTTGACCGAGACAGAACGAAACGCAGATGAATCCTACCATTATACTACAATGGGCGATTTCATGATGCGGTCCCAACTTGATGCTTACGATGATAGACTACCTGGGAGTGGTATGTTCGACTTGAAAACCCGAGCTGTCGTGTCTATTCGTATGGACGCAAAGGATTTCCACAAGGGCGTGGGTTATGAAATCCGGCACCGCATTGGACAATGGGAGTCATATGAGCGCGAATATTATGACATGATAAGATCTGCGTTCCTGAAGTACTCGTTGCAGGTACGAATGGGCCGAATGGACGGCATTTTTGTTGCTTTCCACAACACTCGACGTATTTTCGGGTTTCAGTACATAAGCATAGATGAAATGGATCTTGCTTTGCATGGGACGAACAACAGAATTTTGGGAGATAGAGAGTTCAAAATCAGTCTCAAATTACTGAACACGGTATTGGATCGGGCGACTGCCAAGTTTCCAGGCCGATCACTTCGTCTACATGTCGAGACAAGGGTCGGGGTCATGCCGTTCATGTACATTTTCGCGAAACCCGTCGACGCAAAGGAGATTCACGCAGTGCAAACGGCGAATAAGGAAGCTGTTGAGGCATTTGAGCGAAACATGCTTGGACTCAAGTCTGAGGATGGCCAGACAGATCGTGTTATCGAAGAAGACGAAGATCTGAAAGACGAAGATGAAGACTTGGCCGAAGACCGGGATGACCTCAACGATTGGAAGAACTCTGAGTTTGTTGAACAGGAAAGTGAGGAAGTATGGCAACATATGAGAGAGGTGGTGGAGCAAACGATAGAAAATGAAGCTCGTGGCCTGGAGACAATCCGAGACACGATCCAAGAAGCTCTTACACAAAGCGGACTTCTCCAGACAATCTCCCCAGAGGAGTCGAGATACTACGTGGATTCGCTTCTCGAAGCTTTGAACCCTCGAAATGCCTCGAAGCAGAATACTTTGGATACCAGTCTACCTCGAGACGAGGAAGATGTCGTCGATTCGTCCAAGTCTCAGGAGGATGTTGGAGATGAAGATGGCTCAACGACCTATAATTCTGCTGATCGGCTCACCCCTGATGTCGAAGAAAACGTGGAAGCTGGTGAAGCAGCCATTCTGAGTTCGGATAGCGCGGACCAATCGATAACGAGTATGGATAATCTGAACAATAGGATCTCTGGGGACACGAGACCTCTCAAAAAGTTGATCGCTTCGCTAGCTGCGAAAGCAGAGACCAATTCCACTCAAGACAGCCAACACATGACAGACGATGACGCGGCTCACGATGTTTCTCCAGATCAAGCTAAATTACGCAAGTTTGGTAATATTCTATCCAAGATGATCAATAAAGCGAAGGACTCCGGCTTGAATACAGATGAAGCCAGCCCCCTGGAATCATCAGAAGACGACGATGCATCACACGCTACAGCGGACCTCCCTGGTACAGCAGAACAAGTGGAATCGAAGTCGACTACTACCGCTAGTGATGGAGACCTGATGGGTATGATCTTAACTGTACGGAATAAAGTCAACGGTCGAGATGTCCAGCGACCAGAAGATCTATCCAAATCTGATTCCTGGACTGTATCGTATCATATTGAGGAGATCCCGGCCGGACGGGCTGAAACGATATATCGGCAACTGAAGAGGAGACGCCAGATCGCACTAGCACCAGAAAAGGATCGCGGGGAAGAGTGGCACAGGATGTTCAAAGGCAATCTGAGATATCACAGCGAAAGAGGGCAGCGTTTCAGGCGCAAAGAAACTGAGATAGCGAAGACTAGACCTGTCCATGTGTATGGTCATGAGAAGCCACTCAAGTATGAGGAGGTGTTTAAAGAGGTCGAAAAGTAGGAACGAAAATGGACAAGGCAAGCTCTCCAATCATGATAAATCAATGAACTGTATAATATATTCAAGGCAAAAGCATATGTACCATATAGCATAGGGGCGATTGGAAAAGTTTCTGTAGAAACGTAGACGTCGAACAACTCGGTCATAAATCGGTCAATTGCACTCACCAGCAGTGCTTTGTATTAATATACGCCTTCCTTGAATGCCCTATGATTATTGGATCATGCCCCTACTTGAGCGACGAGGTGTGCAGAGTAGCTTGGCTTGAGTGGCAGCCGTTTTCGAGATAGAAAAGATGCATTTGATGACCAAGGAGTATCAATCAATCACGTGGGAAACCACATGATAGCGATGTTAGGTCTGCACTAGCGCATTGCGCTCCTCCCTCTAGGGCAGCCAGGTGTGGGCCCCACAGCGTCCGCACGGCTCTCAATGTATCCGGACACGTATTTTACTGCTACATCCACTGCTAAACAGTGTGAAGTTCTTTAGCTTACTGTCCACCACCCCACGAAGCAGGTCGAAAAAAAATTGAGTGGAAATTCGGCTTCAGGAATTCCAGGTTGCGATCTCACAGCAAACACCAAATTCGCCAGTCTCAGCCATAAACCACCGAGGTCAGAAATTGCCCATGATCCGACGACCTTGAGGTCTTGGTTTGATTAATTGCTAACATTGATCGCCAACAGACCCGAATCTTGGACAAAATGGCCTCCAGACCGACCGTCACCATCTTGAGCGCCGATGGCTCTGCCACCGGCTCGACTCACACCATCCCCGAGGTGTTCCTGAGCCCCATCCGCCCTGATATCGTCCAGGAGGTTCACAAGGGCATGGCCAAGAACAAGCGTCAGCCGTACTCCGTCAGCGAGAAGGCTGGTCACCAGACCTCTGCTGAGTCCTGGGGAACTGGTTAGTGACCCCATTTGCGTTTCATGGTGTTCGTTGAAGGGGAGAGGACGATTGAAATTGGAGTCAGCGAGGGCGCCGGGGCCCTGGGCAAACAATACAGTCTGGGGAGATCTGGTCGATGGGGAAACTTTCACATTGAAGAACGAAATGTGCTGATGATGATTTCTTCTAGGCCGTGCTGTTGCCCGTATCCCTCGTGTCTCTGGTGGTGGTACCCACCGTGCTGGTCAGGCTGCTTTCGGTAACATGTGCCGTTCTGGTCGCATGTTCGCTCCCACCAAGATCTGGCGCAAGTGGCACGTCAAGATCAACCAGGGCCAGAAGTGAGTTTTTGCCCAGATACACAGCTTTCCGACGTTCAATTTCTAACAAATGGGTAGGCGATTCGCTACTGCCTCTGCTCTTGCCGCCTCCGCCGTTCCTCCTCTGCTACTTGCCCGTGGCCACCAGATCTCTTCCGTCCCCGAGGTTCCTCTGGTAGTCGACTCCGCTGCCTTCGACGGCGCCGCATATGCCAAGACTGCTGCTGCCCTCACTCTGCTGAAGGCTGTTGGTGCTGGCCCCGACCTGGAGAAGGTCAAGGGCTCCAAGAAGCTCCGTGCCGGAAAGGGTAAGCTCCGTGGTCGTCGCCACCGCCAACGCCGCGGTCCTCTGGTCATCTACGACCCCGAGGTCGATGGCAAGGAGCTCGTCAAGGGTTTCCGCAATGTCCCCGGTGTCGAGACCTCTTCCGTCTACAGCCTGAACCTGCTCCAGCTCGCCCCTGGTGGTCACCTGGGCCGCTTCGTCATCTGGACCTCTGCTGCTTTCAAGGCTCTTGACACCGTGTACGGCACCACCACCACCCCCTCCACCCTCAAGAAGGACTTCCTCCTGCCTTCCAATGTTGTCTCTCAGGCCGACCTCACCCGTCTGATCAACAGCTCCGAAATCCAGAGCGTCCTGCGCGGACCCAAGGGCGAGGCGAGAACGAAGCGTGGCTCTGTCCAGAAGAAGAACCCGCTCAAGAACAAGCAGGTTCTGCTCCGCCTGAACCCCTATGCCGGTGCTTTCGCGAAGGACAAGGTTGGCCAGCAGAAGCTGAACACCGAGAAGCCCAAGGCTCTGCCCCAGGGCTTCAAGGATCTTCTCAACGAGTAAAAGTGTGGTTACCTAGTCGGTTTACCTAGGGAGGGACTCGGACTGCATGGTTGCTAAATTTGAGGCGTCATGGTTTTTAGGAATGCGATAGTCATCACAGCAATGAATCCATTCTAAGACTTCAATTGTCACTTTTTAATACCGTACCTCGTTGTGAACAAATTAAATTAACGCCCTCGAAGAGAGCTTTGATGCTATGCCAAGACTCTAGTTACTGAAGAACCTGATTCATACTTTCTACATGGAGAGGCAGTTAGTCCTTTCAAGAGCTGATCAACTATATTGTGAATGACAAGAAACGCAGGCCGTTTCGTTATCATTTGAGCTTGAATTTAGATTGGCATGCAGTTGTGCATGACTTGAGGTCAGGGGTTGCGGCCGCTTTTCTCCTTTTCTCACCATGGATGCTTATACAAGCTCGTAGCAATGATCCTCCTATGATAAGCGGCGCCGTCAGCGAATATCACACATCCGCCACAGCCAACATTACCGACCCAGACCAAGAAATACATACGCCTGTAATTATTGCGGGGACGACCGTAGCCTATATCCGTTGGCTTTTGCGTGATACGGATGCAACAAAAAGGGCAAATCACCGCCCCCGAAGGTACGCGCTTGAGTGCTTATGTAGTTATCAAATGTATATCATAAGGCCAAGTGCCGCTCTCGTCAGATATCCAGATTCTTATCATTTGACCCAATTCCCTTACATGTATCGCCAACCGTGCTGTACTTAACAACCCAACCAAGTCCCGATATTCTGCAACTCATCGCCGGCCTCCTCGGCTGCAGCAACGGGACTCTTCTTGATGAGCTCCTCTAACTCCTCAACGTTCTTCATACGCCAGAACTTCTGAACACCTTCTGTGAAAGCCTTCGAACACCTCTCTATGTTCTCGTCTGTTTCAGCTGCGAAACATAGACGATAATACGCCCAACCCGCATCTCTACGAATCTCATCTGTGGCACTGAACATCATGCCCGGGGACACCAGCACAAGGTACGGCTTGGTCGTCAAAAATATCATCAAACCAGTGGATAGCGCCGTGCCGTCGACCGGCGTTCCGTCAGAGCCAACGGCCCCCCAAAGTGGGTGATCTTCAAAGAACATCCGGAGCCAAATGAACATTCCACCTCGCGGCCAGCTGAACTCGTAAAGCTGTGTCTTGGTGATGACGCCCCAGTCAGCATCAGCGGCGCTGCGAGGAGTGCCTTGCTTCAGCTGGAAGCAGCCCTCATCAAGGATGCGGCACATCTTGTTCATGCGTCGTTCATACTCGCCGCGGAGGCCCTCGAGCCAGCGCACCCAACCGTCCATCTTCCATCCACTGAAGGTGGACTTCTCCTTATTGGAGCGCAGAGCACGGAAAGCTGCCTCGGCCGCAGGCGGCTGAGTACCCATGACCAGCTCGGCGATAACACTCTGCACGAATCCAGATGGTTGCTGAGTTGATGTCTCACCAATCCGGACGTATCTCTCAATGAGGTCTGGCTGTGCTGTGATCCAGCCCAGACGGCATCCCGGGGCGACAGTCTTTGAAAAGGTGTCAAGTCGGACAACACGTCCATCTGTGTCGAAGTTCAAAAATGACGGCGTCAATGAGTCCAGGAAGTCATAGCCAGAAGAGTTCTCTGGTGTATATTTCGGTGCCTCTTCTGCCACAACCCTGTTCCTAGAGTTTGCCTCTTCAATTTCGGCAGAAGGAAACTGCAAATACCAGTACGGGTCGTCCTCTACGATTATTACATCGTATTTGCTGCACACTTCATAGATAGCCTTCCGGCGCTCGACAGAAAGTACTATTCCCGTGGGATTGTGACCCATTCTGTTGATCGGTCAGTAACAACACTTTCATTAGAGTTTTCGTGCCGTGCCGAAAGCACGAACTGATCAGAGGCGCAACGTACGATACTGTGTATAAGAGGTGAGGACGCTTGCCCGTCGCCTCGTCCCAATTTGCGAGCACGTCCTCGAGGCCATCCGGTCCTTCAACCACCATCCCACCCTCGTCTGCCTTGACTGGAACAATCTGCACGCCCCGTGGCATCGACTGGCTGAGGATGTTTCCATACATGAATGTCTCACTCAGCAAACCCGGTCGATCGCGAATGTCGTCCTTCTCTGGGCTCCACGGGTTGACGAACAGATCAAGTGTCTTGGAGAATCCGTCTGTGGAGCCGACCGTCAGACAGACGTCCGCACCGCCCTCATAGGGAATGTTTGGGTGCAAGTGCTGAGTAGCGAATTGCCTTATCCACGAATACAGGGGAGGGTAGCCCTGGGCGAGGCCGTACTGCAATGCCGTTGCCAAATCGATCTTTTTGAGAGCATTCTTCTCAGAAAGCACCTTCGGTACTGTGATGTGTGAGGCAACGAAGTCGTCGGAAGAGGGGGAGGAGGAGATCTTGGTCGCGGACATTGGCTGGACTAGCTCCTCATCTGGGTGGTTTGGCGAGGGTGTCCATCGGTCTGGTTTGGCTGTCTGGGCTTCGAGGGTGTCGAATGGGAAGAATTGGACATTCGGCAGCCCTGAGATGCGTTAATCACCATGTCTAATTGGAAGCTGTTGCATAATGGGCCTTATCGCCGAGCCCTAGGAGGGTCGAAGCAGCGATATACGGATAACGAAGGCCGATTACTTACCACCTGCAAGGTTACCGATTCCGGGTATCTCGAAGAACTTGTAGTACTCCTTCATCTTACTGGGCTGGCGATGCTTGGTCACCTCCGAGTACAGATGGCTGAAGTCCATGGGCTTGGGCTTGCCCGACGCCACCGATCCGGCGACGTCTGACTGCGAATCCATGATAATGGGCGGTGATGTAAGTTCTACCAGCCTAGACCCCGGTTCAGGAACAGGTATGTAGGTGCAAACAATTTACCGATTGCGAATTTTCACTGTGGGCTTATTCGCCAAGCTTGAACAGGACGACTGCTAGGGCGGTAAGGGAATATGACAGAAGTCCACACTTTGTGTGTGTGAGGGTATGCGATGCGATGTCTGTCTGAATCAGGAGCTGGGGAAGTCTGGGAACGGCATTGTTGAGAATGACAAATGCCCCCGGTCTAAGTGCAGGTCCAGCCCGCCCCCAGGCTCGGTCTCTGGACTCAACTTTAGGCTATCGGGGCCAAGACCGATAAGGAAGCTCTACGCTGTTATCAGCGGTGCGACGGCGCCGGACTGGTGGCGTCGCCCAATTGAAGGAGCTGCGATGCACGCAGGGGATCCCGTCTCCGCCCTTCCCACGACAGCGCTCGCTCTAGTCTAATCAGCGTGCGGGACGCCCGTATCAGTGGCTGCCTTGCCTGGGCGCGGAATGCCATGCCGGCTGCCGAGCACCGAACACCGTTTGTTGGTCTCCCATTCCGAGCTGAGGCAAGAAGGTCAAGCGATCTCGCACTCCATTGACAGCTTGATTACTGTCGGAATACTGCATTGTCCGAGCTTGCGAAAGAGAATCGATTGAAATCATGTCTGACAATAGGCATGCACAGATGATCCGGAGCAGGCCTAGTGACGCCGCATCCTCGTGGCAGTGACACGGCCAAGGGATTCCTAGCGTCTCAAGCTAGAACCAAAAGGCGAGGCGTGGGTATTTAAGCTATCTTTATTGTCTAAGCTCTGGTCGCCGGGCCTCGGAGTGGTAACAAGGTGTACTTTGATATGACAGGATTTTGGTGACCAAGCGTATCAAATATATCCAACGAATGAGTTCCGCCCTCTATAAGATCTCTTTAGGGTTGTGTATCACCTCAGGCGGCTCAAAGCGGAAGCCAAGCTCCTCTAGAGACTTTGCACGCCTGCCGTCCATTTCGAACTTCAGCTTCGCTTCGAAATATATCTCCCGTTGCCATATTTGATAGTCGTTCCACACAGGAGGCTCCTTTCCCTTTGTCGTCGCCTGCATTGCCCATGCGTGCATTTCTTTCAGGTATTCGCTATCGCCACCCTTGGGGAAAACGTGAAAGGCTGGCTGTTTGCGTTCTGCCTCTTCTTCCTCCCACTTCTTCATTGCCTCGGCGGTCGGAAGGGCCAACGAGTTTGACCAGACCTTTGCGAAGACCGCAGCCTGACCTTCGGAGAATGGGAAGGGCACCACCTTATATGGAAGGCCCGGAAAGACGATGGTCGGATGATCTATGTGGATAAAGTGTTTGTAGAGGCCATAGACTCTACGCCCATCTGTGACCAACGGCGGATCTAGGTTCGGAAGAAATTGAAATGCGAACAGGTACCCCGTGGCATATATAATCGCATCGATATCCTTCTCGACCCGCCCGCCTTCAAATTTGACGCCCCTTTCGTCTAACAAGAATTCCTCGATGGCGGGAACCTCTTCTGCCCTGGCATGTGCCAGATTGTCCGCGGGCGTAGGACTATGGACAGACAGAAGTAGTGGACTCTGAGAAAATCTGCTGATCTGTGTGGCAATATCGAGACCCGAAGCAGAGTTGCCAACAATTAACACCTTCTTTCCCGTAAAATCCTCCGGTGATCGATATAGCTTAGAGTGGGTGATGACCCCCGGATATGCTTCGTGGAATGCTTTTATATTCTTGACGTTTGGGATAAACGTCGTGGCATAATGTCCAGAAGCGACTACAACTGCATCAAATGTCCTGATTTCCGCATCTCTGGTGACAGTAGATTCTGCAGTGACATCCCACACATCTTTCCCAGATTCTTGTCGCAATTCGACATGCTTTACCTCGGTCGAAAACTTGATAAATTGGCGAATATCTTGTGAGTACTTCACCAGGTACTCCTGGACCTCTTCCCGCGGAGGGAATATCAGGGAGTTCTGGGGGAATTCAAGATCTCCAAACCGCATCAGATCATGCGGGATGTTCGTATGGAGTAAGTCATACATAGGCGAGGGAAATATTGGGTTTGCGCCATCCTTTGAGCTGATCGGAGGGTCAGGCGGACATAGAGGGCTCACTTGAGGTACGTGAAGAGTCTGGGACGGTTTCTTGCTATAGAACCAAACACCACCCACTTCAGGCTGCTGTTCGTAAATGACAATGTTTTCAAAGCTGCCTTCTGCAATGAGATACTTGGCAGCTGAAAGGCCGCAAGGGCCAGCCCCAATGATCGCGACCGACTTGATGTCGAACTGTTTCGGCGCAACGGAGCCCATTTCGTTGGGGACCGGAGGCGCCCGAGGTGAGAACTTGAGAAGTCCAGAAAACTGCCGTACCCCCTGATAGTTGAAGTGAGAACGCAACCCCAAGAAGCCCCCGACTCGACAGTTTCTTATCATACACGGGTAGCTGTACACACACACACACAATTTATTACGCCCGGCAGGCTTAGCCTGAAAGGGCAACTATCACTGATTACTAATACATCTCCTGAAATGGATGCTGGTCTCATGAGCCCATACTTCCTCCTTTTCCTGCTTCTGTCAGATCGGGTAGCTGTACAGTGGGGTTCAGGTTCAGCGTCCATATTTTTGGAGGTAAATTTTTTGGGGGGGAGGTCACAGCATGACTAACTACAGTGTAAAATTCTTTTACACTGTGTTATCCTCTTAGGTCTGCCTTAACGGATCCAAATGAGCCAATTTAGACACTGCCCACCGAAAGAAGTCTCTCTCTACCCGCTTGCCATTGTTTTTTGGCGCCCAAACGGCCCACCTTGCTTGAGCGCGATCTAGTAAGTCATGTAATTCAAATTCGAAGAAGATTCCGTACCCCATAGCGCAGTCATGCCCGCTCCTCCGGTTGGGGGCGCCACACTCTGAGGGACCCCAGAGTTGACCGGGCACAACCAACTGGTTTTTCAGCCCCACGTGATATAAGAGGGGAATGCAGGGTATGGAGCTGCAATGAATGATCTGATCGCTCTCTACCATCTCAAATGTGGAACCAAATATTTCATACATCGACGATTCAATTCTAGTAGGATCAGATTCGGGTTTGAATTCTATTGTCGCTCCTAAAATACCTGGCCCAGATTGCACATCTCTCTTGTTCTTATCCATGAGCGTAGGTCATATTCTTGGCATCTCAGCATCAAGTCCCCGCGTCCTGATCTCCTGAGCCCGCGGTTTGGATCCTTGGTGATTCAAGACCGCGGTCGAGAAACGCATAATAACGCGGCAGCATGGGGTTGGACAAACCAATTATCACTGACCAAGACTAGTCCTACATACCAAATCAAGATATTGGGGACAGAACTTCAAACCCTGACTGGCGAAGTAGGTGATTTACCTTTAAATCTGATACTACATTAGCGGCTGAACAATAAAGCTCGCGGCTACTATCCATTACTGCCACCAGCGCTCCTTAGAGCCGAGATTCCGCTAGCAGCTCGACACCTTCAGACGGCGGTCACAGGTCGAGACCAGGTTGTTTCTGCACTTAACGGTACTGACCCACATCACCGCTTACTAGTATTCGTGGGACCATGCACAATTCATGATGCTGCCGCCGCCTTGGAGTTCAGCGACTTGTTGAAGGCTGCCCAGAAAAAACATGCCGATGACCTTTTGATCTTCATGAGATGCAACGTTGAAAATCCAAGAAATGGTCGTGCGTGGAATGGGTTCATCAACGACCCAAATGCGGACAATACCTTCCAAATCAACAAAGGTATACGGATCGCTAGACAGCTATTCGTCGACATTCTAGAAAAGGGTGTACCGATTGCTGCCGAAATTTTAGATTTTATATATCCGGTATTCCTGGCAGAGCTGGTGTCAGTTGGTGAAGTAGGCCCGAGGGCTACGGAGAACGAGCTACATCGTCGGCTTGCGAGCGGTCTCCCCTTTCCCGTTGCATTCAGGAACGGAAGTGAAGGCTTTGTTGGCATTTCGGTTGATGCGATACGTGCTTCTCGACGACCGCAGAATTTCTTGTCAACGACTGCACAAGGTTTAACTGCCATTGCTGAGGCCGCCGGCAACGAGGATTGCCTTTTGGTCCTGGCGGGATATTATAATGCTGGGGACATTGAAGAGGTGAAGACAAAGTTGGAGAAGGCGGGTTGTCGGAAGCAGTTCATGCTAGATTGCGGCCATGGAAACTCCGTGGACGAATACGAGAAACAAGTTGAGTTTGCCGCAACTCTAGTCTCTAGTGGCGACTTGGCAATCCTAGGAGTTGTGATGAAAAGCAACATCAATGAAGGTGAGTTCAGTCGTTATATAGCACCGACAAAACTTACAGTTTGTTTTCCCAGGCAGCCAGCTATTGCCACCAGAGGGCAAGGCTGCGTTGAAGTATGGCATTAGCATCTCAGACTCATGTCTTGGGTGGCCCGATACAGAAACTGCCCTGCGGAAGTTAGCACAGGCAGTGAAGAGACGCCGCCTGGTTTTGAGCGGTGCTGAGCCAGCTGAAACAACCGTCTCGAACGTTCCCTCGCGGGAGGACGATAATGAAACCGCTGTCGCTCTGTCCGCCCAGGCAGTTTCCTCTATGGCAAATGACGGCTTCATCCAGAGTGGGGAGAAGCTGATCTTGGATGATGTCGATGCTAATGGCTGGCTCAAAACAACGTTGGGCGAACTGACCTCCCCCAGAACTAGGAGTTTCTTTGAACGGCGCAAACCAAGGCAATCGTCAGACCTCGGCGAGTTATGGACACAAGATGGCTTCGAGACGATCTTTGACGTGGCATTAGATCGTCCAACTTCCATCAAGGTACAGGCTCTGAATCCTAAGGCATTGGACTCGCTCAGCCGACCAACCCGCCGTGAGCTGCTGGAGAAACTTGCGGGGCACCGCGCAAGTATTTGCGTTGTCAATCCTAAAGGGGACTTTATTTGTGCGGAAAGGCCACTTCCAGGCACGGAATGGCGTTCCGATGTCTCACTCGCGTCCATGATGGCCATCGCCGTGGCATTGAGAGGAAACAGTCGCTTATTCTCAGAGCTCGTTGGCCTGGCAGTTCCCGAAACGATGAGAGAGCTACAAATTTTCTGCCAACCGCCATTTCTGACTGTCAAAGACATTCCGTACCTTGTCCATGCAACAGCACGCCGCATTGCCCACCAGCATCATGGCCGCGGTTCAGACCCGTCGGTTTCGGCGAGTCGAATGGGCGACATTGTTGCATTCCTGATTGGACACACTGACAATGTTGACGACAATCAAAGGAAGGATCTTGGCAACCTTTTCCAGACAATGCTCTCCAATCCAAACTGGACAGATGATCGAGATAGGGGGATACAAGTCGGCTTAACCATGGGGGGGATCCGAAAGTACGTTCTTCAGGGGAAAGACGACCTATCGAAGAGAATCAAAATCGGGAAAATTATTCTCGACACCGTCTTCGGTGGACTCACCGGAGTTCCGGTAGCTGGAATGATACCCGCTGCATTGCAAGCTACAGCAGGAGCCGGTTTCAATCATATTGCTGACAAGAAGCTCCAAAAGTGGGAAGACTTGAGAGACCATTTCAACAAGCTCTACCATTCCGTCATTGATGCCCCTGTCACTCTTGATGGGTTCGTAGGAATACAAGATGAGAGTGAGAATGTCACGATGGTAAGAATTGATGCGACGGTCTTCAAGGAGTGGGTCAATACTATGTTGGAGTGGAATGGCGGCAAAATCTAAAGACATCTATTACGAAATCACGGGTATGGAGGTGCTTGATAGCTATGAAGATGTGATGGATCAGGAATGAACGGCCATCAGAGGTTGTAGCTGCGAGAAGAGCGCTCTTCTAACGGATACTTCCTCTTCAAACTTATCCCTTATTAAAGAGACCATCTTACGCCGATCCAGATCAGGCTCTTTAGCCAGCCAGTGGAAAGGGCATCTAGCATTGTAAGGGTTATCTTAGGATCAGGGCCGGTACGACTCGCAGGCACGGTCGTTGTTCCGAACCGCGCGTATGTCGATCGTATTCTGCGGGCCGCGCGGGGAGTGCAAGGGATAATTTCGGCAATCTTGTTGTTCGAGAACCCTTGGAGGATCATAGAACGGATCTGCTCGTGCTGAGACTTGGATAGCCGAGGAGCTATCTCGCCAAGTTGCGAGCCTGTTCTGGCTTTTGCAAAAGGCAAAAGTGCCAGGGAAAAAAACGGTAGGGGGTTTGTTGGGACTGGGGATTTGGGGATCAGGGGCCCAGGGCCGGGTGCCTGGTCATCCTATGACTTATACACCTATTTTAAGATGAAATAGGCGCCGGGTACCTGGGTTCCGGGGGCGCCAAAAACAGGCGCCACTGTTAAGCGTCCGATTACAGGAGTACTTCGGTGCACTCATTACACACTGTCTAAAAGCCCTACCACTACTTATTCTAGAACATTTTCCACACCAAAATGCGGACACTGAACCTGAACTCCACTGTACAAGACTGACAAGAGAAAAAGAGAGAGAATGGTGACTTTACCACATTCATTCTCACCTTATGCAGCATGCGGAACTTTATGGCGTGCTCTGCGGGTACACCCATACCGAGAATCGGGATAAGAACTGATAGGATCCATGCAATCAGAATTCTGCCACACTCTACATGATCGGGGCTCTCACCGCCTGCCTAAAGTGGCCGCGCTTCATCAAGCTGCCCTGCGCGTGTTGCAACTGGGGTGGACCTTAGCTGTTCGCGGCGGTTGAGGTAGTAGCATCACATAGACGCCCACTGGAAACTCTCGACACCCACTCTCAAACTCTACAAAACGCGGGATCACAGACCCGCTTCCGAACCTTGGGTGGCTACAAGTGACTAGAGATGCTATTTCGTCTGCGACCCTCGCCAAATTGAGTGATGCTATCCACCGCTCATCCCTCGGCCCAAAGCAACATTTTCACATGGCGGACAACGGGGAGGACGTCGCGCAGCTGCTGGCGTTCGGCGTAGCGACTCCGATTGCAGAGCTGGGCCCCGAGCTCACAGAGTCACAGAAGCGCGTTGTTCGCGGAGAAGTGACGATTACCTGGCCCTACAATTCAGTGAACAAGTCACTAGCCTTCCTCCTCGCGGAGCCTGACGTCCGTTTGCGACGCGCCAAAGGTCTCATACGGGTTCAGTTAAACGGCGCCAGCGCGGAAGCTGTTGCGGGCTGTAACCTCGGAGGAGGTGATGAGGTCCTGCTGAGCTTGGACGGCGTCGGCTGGGAGAAGGACGATGCGCCCGCCAGACCAGCGGGGTCGCGCTCTGACTGGCAGTTGAAGTTCTCAAACAAGATCATCCTCCAGGTGAGTTATATGACATAAGCTTGCTATTCTGGTGGAAAATTCGCTAACCCATGATGCTACAGGCCAAACTAGCCGAAACTGAAGAGACTAGGACCGTAAATATCTACCACACAGACGCTCCCGAGCCCATCGAGACCGCGCCACCGGTTCAAGAGGAACCTGCAGTTCCTGAGCCCATACCTGAAATGAGAATGGCTTCACCGCCTCGTCGTGTTCCCAATGGAGTTGAGACAGGCGAATACCCTTCTCCAGCTTTCATCAAAAGGGCAAGGGTTTCATACGGAGCTCTTCTCGAAACAGATTTCGATGAATTCGAAGAAGATGGAGGGGTGAGGGGTAAGGGCCGCAAGAAGCCTAGGTTTTCTTTTGGAGGCAGTCGGTGGAGATATCAATCTGCCACGCCCAGTCCAGAGCCTGAGATCAGAGCGAGTTCCTCACCAGAGGCAGAAGCAGTTGAAGCCGAAGTGCAAAGCCTTCAGCCACAGAGAACTCAGATGACGGATGAGGGATGTCAGACTGTAGAAGAAGAGCTCACACCGCTGCCTCCTATGACATCCACTCCGAATGTACGACATGGCTTCCCACCTGAACCATCATCTCCTCTTGAGCGCCATGCGATGGCGGATATATTTGCCCCGAGTACAGATATGGGCGTGCAAACCCAACATCCGGGGTTTATCAACCACCCAGCGGCAGAACATGGACATTTGATGCAAAGTACGCCTGAGACTTATGGTTTTGGTCAAAACGCGCAGCAAGCTTCTCGAACTACGGCCATCATCCCTAAACAGGATGATTATAACGTGCCACGTTTTCAGGCTGCGATGGCGGACCCTAATTTTGGCGATCCAGAAGTGTCCATGGGAGATCAGGTTAGGTTCGGATTTTCACATCAATCCCAACCAGTCTACAACCAAGTCAGAGAAGAGACGCTGGCGCATCAAGAGCATCGCCTTGATCACGTACCGGACGCTTATCCTGCGACATATCTGGAACATCCTCCAGCAACTAGTCATCTTCCTGGGGATGTGCATGGAAACTTTGGCATTGGAGATCATTTACGGCAGGACCATTATGCTCTAGAACCGCAGCAGACAGATCAAGAGCCTCTTGCACGTCGCAAGTCATCTGAACAACAAGAACTTCTACTATGGCCCATTGATGCACAGACCATGGATTACGAGCATGCTGTGGCCCACATCGACGTCGATGCGCCTATACCAGCACAGGACGGCCATCATGCAATCAAGGAGGATTTGCGTTCGAATGGAAGCGAGCCGGACGAAGAGACTCTTGCCGAAAATGATCAGGAGTCAGAGGAGCTGCGCGCTCAAGCAGCGTCAGACCAGCCTTTGTATCGGCAAGGAGAGATAGAAGAGCCAGCTTTGGTTGGACCTGAAAACGATCTACAAGAGGAAGAAGACGACATAAGTAGCGAAGAAGAAGCAGATTATGACGAGGATCAGGTCGGAGATGACTATGATATGAGAAACTATGCTGATGTTGAAGATGATGAGGAGGGTTTCGAATCCCAGGAAGAAAACGGACCACATCCGGATGAAGAGCTGATAGATGAGGACGGAGAAGGGAGCTATGACGAAGATGAAGAAGGCAGTTATGATGAAGATGAGGAAGAGGATGAAGAGGACGATGATAGAGGGCCGCAACGTATGCCTCTCTACTACGCAGCTCCCTCTCGAGGTCCACCTCCTCCTGCGCAAAGTAGCGGTCCCGTGGTCATTGACCTGATATCAGACTCGGAGGATGAGGATGACAACAAGCCAACTGCAATTAACTCCAGGGATCAATATGACACCCCGGCAGGGATTGGAGCCCGTGTGGAAGGACATGGAACTTCGCCGACCGCAAACTTCCAACCACAGAGTCAATCATTACCCGCCGCCAACGAAACTTCACACGTCAACGCAGACCTGAAGGAAGAATCACCATCCTACGATGTTGAGCCAGAAAGCGGCAGCGAAGCAGATGAAGATGCTGAAGGAAGTGGCGCTTCTGGACAGAGCGACCAGGAGTATGACTCTGCTGATGGGGACGAACTTGAAGAGGACGAGGAAGAGGCAGAGGAAGACGAGGAGATCGTCATTGTCGAGGAGACACGGGTTGATATGGAAGCAGAATTGCTCCCGTCAACGTCCATTGCCTTGTCAACTGAAGCTGAAGCATATGCGCATCCAGTGACGAAAGATTCATCTGAACATATCATCCAAACTTCCACCAGTCCACAGCATTTTTCGTCACAAAATGCGACGATCTCACACGAGGAAACGGGTCAGCAGCAGCAAGACACTGCTGATGTAGAGCAGGATATACTCATGGCAGATAGTGCACAGGGTTATGCGGATTCCCAAGTCACGGAGCATCATCCAGAAGTTCTTCAAGATGTAGCCATGGCAGACGGGACTGCAATGGCTCAGCAGACCGTTGAACTGGGTTTAGATATGGCACAGGAGGTACAAGATGCCAGCTTGATGATACGTACTTATGATAGGGCACAGGACGATGATCAAGTTTTGCCTTCATCCCCTCCCATGACGCAGCAATTTGCGTCACAAGTCATATCGAAGGAAGATTTCATCCCGACAGACTTCGGATCAAGTCAGCCGACAAGAGACGATGATCGCGATCAATTGCCTACACCGAGTGAGACTCAGCTTCCCGACAACCGAGACTCCTCGCCACCTTTGGAAGAAGAGAAAGTTGAGCTGCAAGTGATAGATGAGGTGACAACATCGCCAGAATACAATCTACAGCCGCCAGCAGAGATGGTTCCAGGTCTAAGTGATATTGCTGAGGAAGACATGTCTGTGGTCGAACCAACCCAGCATGTGGCAATATCTGAGCCACAATACAGCTCCGAAAGCGTCACATTGGCAGTAATTGAAGAGCATCAAGAAGCAACTGCCGCGGACATGGAAATGACCGGTGAAATCATTCAGTCAGCGAATGCAAAGGATGGCCAGGACCAACAAATGCTTAACGAGGCCCTGGAGAACACAGACGCGGTTGGTGCGAAACAATCACCGCCTCCTGACGAAGGGGCAATCCATGTGTCAAAAGAGAAGACACCTGTGCCAGAAACCCAATCAACCACAGAGAGCCATGACTGGTCTGAAAACCCGAAGGGCTTGGCAGCTGCTCCCTCATCTGTTTCACAGAAGGTAGAGGACCAAGACGCGCGTGAACCTGTAGAAGCCGTACAAGTTCAGACTGAAGGTAAGGCTGAGCAGGACGGACCTGCAGCTGGTACGAGACGGCTTCGGTCACGCGCAGCACCACCACCGCCTGTAGATCCCAGTATCCAACTTGCCCGAGCTGCTATTTCCTCAAAGCGCGGGAAACGGGCAACAGAACAACCTCCTATCAGTCCCAGAACAACTCGTACTAGGTCTATGAGTTTTCGGAAAAGCGCCACGCCAGAGGCAGACGACAACAGTGTGCAACTTGCGAGGGCCGCCTTGAAGTCGCCTTCGAAGCGGAAGCATGAGCCGCTCGCTGAGCAACTCAAGTCTGATCTGTCTAAGAGACTACCGGTTGAGATGCCCGACTGCATATCTCTCAAGCTTCTGTGGTCCCACCACAACAAGGAGCTCGACGTTGCAGCCGTGGCTACAACGAAGTCAACTGACCCGTCGAGGGCCAAAGGCGGCCCGAGGCAGTACATCATGTCATTCAACGTCACCGATCCATCAATAGCGCCCTCCGAGGTTGTGGAAGTCCACTTCTTCCGCGCGCACAAGGACTTCCTGCCCATCATCAAGCCGGGCGATGCCGTCCTGCTGCGCAACTTCACCGTCACTCCGCTGAAGGACAAAGGCTTCGGACTGCGCAGCCACGACGACTCGAGCTGGGCGGTCTTCGATAAGAACGACGGCCTGGCCCAGATCCGCGGGCCGCCGATCGAGCTCAATGACGAGGAGGTCGACTACATGGCCACGCTGAAGAAGTGGTACGCGGCTCTGGACAAAGCGGCTCAGTCGCAGTTGGAAAAAGCAAACCAGAAATTTGCGGAGGTGAATCGTGCAAAATAGACGCATCTGAATTGCAGGGGTGCCTCGCGGCATGTATAACAAATCTTAAGCAGGAACATCATTTGGGAATGGGGTTGACGCAACGACGAGCTACTACGCTAGCTGGCTATGCTGGACGTATGTATTATCATGAATGAATTGTAACGAATTTCAGCATATGATGTCACATTTCTGAAGTTTGGGGCACAAGTACTGAAGTGTCAAGTAAACAAGACATGCGTCGTCTATTTTGCATGGTATGGTATGACCATGTAGCTATCTAACCCCGGGCCTCCAGTGTTAGGAGACCCACACCCATTTTTATCTATCGCAGATCCAGTCTTTGCCTGCAAATCCTATTTGCATGCTGGTATCATGAAATGATCAATAAAGATCATGAGACGTCCAAGCGTCTGGGGGAATCATGGCGATCATATCCTTCCGGACAGGAAAGATGAAGACAGAAAGAGAGAAAAAAACAGCCGCCCTGTTTTGTAATGGCCGGAAGAGAAAATGCCCCATGCACCGGATAATGGCAACCCCGTGTGTACCTCCTCATTACTACGTCGCGTACACTCCTTGTGCGCGTCTAAGTGAGCGGATCGTAAATGTGCTGTGTGATGTACTTGGTCAGGGCAACATCGCCCCATTCTTCCCACTCAACCCACTGCTCCTCGGGGAGGGCGCTGACACCCTCGCGACGGGCAGCCTTCATGACCTCGCGGGCAACGATAATACTGGCTTCTCGCACGCGCTCAATGCGAGGGTAAATGAGGCCCTTGTACAACTCCTCGGCATTGAGAGAGTCTGCAAGAGCAGCCGCAGAGGTGTAGATCATCTCGTCAGTGACACGAGTAGCCTTGGCGAGGATAGCGCCCAGACCAATACCGGGGAACACATAGACATTGTTGCCTTGGTTCGGGTGGTAGGTGATGGTGTGGTCCGCGGCCTTGACAGTCAATGGCGAGAATGGAGAGCCGGAGGCAAAGATGACAGTTCCGTCAGTCCAAGTCACAGCCTGCTCGAAAGTACACTCGGCCTTGGTGAGAGGGTTGCTGAGCGGGAACAGGATGGGTCGTCGGCTGAGGCCACCAGCATCGACGGATGCCTTGAGAGCTCGGACAACCGACTCGGTGAAGACACCGAAAGTGGCGGTCAGACCGATCAGGGCGGTGGGCTTGACATACTCGATCACCTCTTCCAGAGAACGGAATTGGTGACCGTTATTATCCGAACGAGCAAAGTACTTCTTATGCTCGGCGAGCTTGTCGCCACGATCCTTGGTGACGAGGCCCTTGGTGTCGACAAGCCAGAACTTGTCGCGGGCAGCTTGCTCGGACAGACCACGTCGAGTATAGTACTCCACCAGCTGCTTAGCAACACCAACACCTGCAGAACCAGCACCCATAAAGACGAGACGCTGCTCCTCAAGGGGCACGCCAGACAGGTTGACGGCACCAATGTAACTAGAGTCGGTCAGCTGCTTGTCACGAGACTTGATTTTGATTAGTACTCACCCTGCCAACACAACGGCACCTGTTCCCTGGATGTCGTCGTTGAAGCACTTATATTTGTTGCGGTAACGGTCAAGATAGTTGAACGCTTTTTCGGACTCGAAATCCTCAAACTGCACCACCATGTTGGGAAAGACGTCCACAACAGCCTCCATGAACTCGTCCATGAAGTCTTGCTGGTCTTGAACAGAAGGGCGCTTGCACCGGAGACCAAGATACATCTCATCCTTGAGATTGGTCTCGTTGGCAGTACCGCAGTCTAGAACAATGGGGAGGGTCTTCTCAGGGTGGATACCAGCGGCTGCAGTGTACAGAGATAGCTTTCCGATCTAATGCAGGTCATTAATAAACCGCCCGCAACAGACGCCAAGAACACAATCGCGGGGTCTCGTTTAAGACTTACAGGAATGCCAACACCGTTCACACCAAGATCACCCAAGCCAAGAATTCGGCTTCCGTCCGTGACCACACAAATCTCGGGATTGGGGTACGGCCAATTTCGCAGCATGGTGCGAATCGACTTTCGCTGCTTGATTGAGATGTACAGAGCTTCGGGGCGAGTGTAAATGGTGGAGTATTGCAGGCAGACATCGCCAATGGTCGGGGTGTAGACCAGAGGCATGAGCTCACGAGCATTGTCGATGAGCAGGCGGTAGAAAAGATCCGTATTCTGGTCTTTGATGGACGACAGGTATAGATATCTGTCAATGTTTGTCTGCCGAGATCGAATCATTCTAAGAGCTCGCTGGCACTGTTTGGACAGATCCTCCATGACATGGGGAATCAAGCCAGTCAAATTTCTTGAGATACGCTCTTCAGGGCTGAAGGACAAGCCTAAGTTATCACGAATATTGGTTAGCAGTGAGACATAACGACATGAAGGTCAAGTTGCGCAACTCTTGTGAGGAGCAATGCCAGTATTGATGGGCAAGGAGTTTAGGTGACGGCAGCGTATTACACGTTTATGGGTGTAGGCGTACCTTTGTTCCAGAGAGGCTCCCGCAGGACCTGGTAGCCGCCAGCAGCATGCTTGGCGATGTAGTCGGTAGAGCGGTATTGTTGGACCTCGCCAAAGGTGTCCTGCTTGTAGCCGCGGAGCTGGTCTAGTTGAGCCATCTTCATGCGCTCCTCAATGGCAGTGATGTCTACTGAGGCCATGGGGTTGGACTGGGAAATGCGCCGGCTGGAGATGGACATGCGCTTATTAGATATAGAGGACTGGGAGGAGCGGCCGGAGACTACAGAGGCGGATGGGGAAATGGACCGGGGCGTGCTAATGTCTGAGCTGGAAGTACTGAAAGCATACGACGCCATTGGCACCATTGCATGTGCTAAAGGGCCGAGGGGAGACGAGAGGAGCGAAAAGAGGACCGGAGACCAGGCGGAGGCAGCCAGAAATTGCAGTCTTGCAAGCAATGGTTGGATGAGCAGGCCGAGTGCGGGTTTATTAGGAGGAGGAGGAGGAGGAGGAGTGCCGTAACCAGCAGCAGAAGTGGTGGTGGTGTTAGTTGTTGGAGTAGTAGATGCAGATGCAGATGGAGCCACTCGATGTGCCGTCGGTCGACGGCTAGCAGCGATTAGCAGTCTCTTTAAAAGCTCTGCGCGATGGCCTCGTCGACGGGCCACAGCGGACGGCAGCCCGGCGGAGGTAGAGAGACTTGACCCCATGCAGGGCAAATTCAACAGCAGCTGTGACAAGGGCTTGTCAGGCGGTTTCGTCGCGTGTTTCAAGGCGCATCTAGACTACCGGGCGCCTCTGATAGAAGAAAACGACCCGGAGCAGGCGACAGGGAAGAGGCGCAGGTACGCCCTTGGAACAGTCTAGGTACTGGTACTGTATAGCAGGTCTGATACCTATGATAGGTATGGTGCGCTGTGCTACCGACCCCTCGGGCAGTCCCCGTGGGTAGAGGTCGACCCTGCGCCTTGGCCTAAGGTAGGGTGAGGTTGCAATTTGCCAGAGGGTAATTGGGTGATGCCCAAGCCTGGGGGGCAAGAGCAACAGGGAGGCGTGTGTAAGTTGGATAAGATAATATCCCGTATGCACCCTGTCCGTTGGGGGAACTGGGATCAACAAAAATTATATGCGAGGAAACAGGATAGATTAACAAGCCGGAAAGACGGCAAGAACAAGACCAAGTCAGTCTAGAGAAAACAGACAGGAACGGGCAGGAAGGACCCAGGCCGGAGAGTGAGCGAGAGTGGGAGACGAGGAAACTGCGAAGAAGCAATTACGACAGACAGCAGGTGCATGTAGCTTCCATTTTGGTTGAGGTGAGTGAGACTACGATTAATGAGAAAGAGAGAGCTCCTCCGACTACGGTTTGACTCACCGATCAATCTCTACCTACCATCGCAGTCGTTACCTTAGACTCACCGTCTCTTTTTCGAGGCCCCCGCAGCTTCAATTAATTAATCTTCAATCTTGAATTCTCCTCCGGTCCTACTGTACTATTAAGCCCAATTCCTAAGCCAGGCCGTTTTGAGAGTTCGTCCTCGAAAATAATTGTGGGATACAAGTGCCCAAATGGAGCCATTGATGTCCTGACCGTCCGCCGGTGGGTATCCACGATCCATCTCAAGTCCGGCAGCACAGACCGACCGGACAGAAACAAACACAATGTCACCGTACTCTACTCTAGAGCAGGATGCAGTGGACGCTAATTCGTGCTAGGTATCAATGCTAAGCCTACCGGACGAAACCCGACTCCTCTCGTTCCCTTGATCAATCAAACTGAAATGTCTCTTTGGGCAACTCCAACCCAAGAGCTATCCAGAACTGGACCACGGCGGCCCACCACCACGAGCTCCCGGGAAGACAAGTGCAGCTTCTTACTTCGACTAGCCCTGCAGCTCTATTCTAGAGACGCAGTAGCTGGGCGCACCCCTTTTAACCTCACGGCCCACCACCGCCCTACGGCCCCTCCGCACCAGTGTCTGTCGCTGTCTGCCCATTGACTCTGCAGAGCTCCTCAAGAGGTTGCGCTATTATCTCCCAATGGCTCCTCAGGCTCGAGCTTTCACGCGTTATTTCCATAGGAAAAAGAAATGCAACGAGGACCCAAGGGTTCCAGCCCTGAAGCGAGTGAAACAAGGAGCGGCTGAGAGAAGGCCAGTGAACTTTCTACGATACCTTCCCCTAGATTAGGGGTTGTCACAGGCGACCCGAACCGCACTGGAAGTGTTGAGAATTTCTCGGGGTTCCATTCCGGCGCTCTTAGCCTGCAGCTTCTAGGTCGGTCGCCGGGGCCTGCGTAGAAGCCCCCCGGTCCTCCACGTTGTCATCCTCCCTCCTTAAGCTACCCCCACTCAAGCCCACGGTGAAGTGCCAGGCTCTCGGTCAGCCTCTCGAAAAACAGGAGACATCTGCCGATTCTGTGTGGGTGAGATCACCTTCTCCCTCCAGCATCCCACGCGCTGTTTTATGGCATGGCGCCATGAAGAACTCGTTCCTAAAGCAAGAACAATAGACTTGTGAACAGAGACCGGTCAACGGATTGACTTCAATAACTAACAAGCAAATAATTGCATGGATCCCTTATTTTTCAAGGCTTCAAACACGCCTCCGACTTTGCCCGATGGTCCTGCATTAACACCCTAGCACCGGCAATTAGCGCTGCAACGCCCCAGGTCCCTCCCGGCTCTAGGCCACTTGTGGCAAGGCATCATGTCCGCTTAACCTTTCACCTGGGGTCCTCTGCGTCAGCTTCATCAAGCGCCGGCGCGAGCTTCCACTCATAATCCTTCTCTCCCGATCACAGACCTGTGATCAACGATGGCCACGGTTCGTGTCCGGATGAAACAAGGATTCACTTACGTCTGATGTGCGTGGTTCGTCTCCGCCAGCTCCACCGCCCTCAAACAACTCTTCTCAATGCTTCATAATATCGCCGAATCCTATGGACGCTAAGAGAGAGCCAAGATCGTCGACGGGCCTCCTTCAACAGCATTGGGAATGCTCATGCCTGCACGTCTGTTCAGAATTTTCGTGTACAGTGACATGTTTTCCTCATCGCTTGAGCGATAATACACTGCACTGAGATTCAGGGTCAACAACGCCCTTCATACCGTATCTCGTACTGCAACGATTCCAGACACATACTGCCGGTACTTCTTCAATAGTAGGGTCAAGCCTCTGGTACCCCATCCTAGCGTGTGCCTTGGTCTTGCATCTCCGCACATGCCTCAGAGTAGTCCCATCCCATGTGATCAGTCCAGCTGGCATGCACCAAACAACACATCACTTGTAACGGCTTACTCTTGCTGCTGGGATAGGCCGCCGAAGGATCGTCGCGGAGCGCGTGTACATCTTCAATGCCATGCTTGCAGCGAAGCAGGCTCCATAATCCTCGTAGTCGCCTTACCCCAGACTCAATTCTTGTGTGGGCGAGGGTCGAGGATCACCGTTACATGCTCTGCAGTGACCGTACCAGCTTGTAATCAAGAACCTGTATCAAAGAAAGGGCTGGTCTAAGCTCCTCTTGGCTTCTCCAAGCTCCTAGTCAAGGTTCAACCACTCTATCCTTTCATACAGGAACTTCAACGAGACGTTCCTTGGCATCTGACAAGTCTCCAGGTTTTGGTGCTTCAGCCAATCATAAATCCGTGACCCTAGGGCCTCACCTCAACACTTTCTTCCGGGAGGATGCCGGATACCAGGCTATGAAAGGCGATTTATTATCGTGCTGCATGATAGTCTGAACGCTACGAATATACTGCAGCTCATTCACGGATGGTGACACAGAATGGCCAAGCCTTACGAACAAAAAATCCAATATTGGCCTGCCAAGACCGCCCGGTCGGTGTTGCATTGCGGCTACGACCCCGCATCTCACTAATGAGATCTCATATGATGCAGATGAGCCTGTCAAATGTCTCACCGCTCTAGCACGTCTCCGGTCCGGTAGTGCTTCTTGGCCCTGAATGGTCTCTCAAGCACATGTCCGTAATTCGGTCACACGCCGTGGATGGACATCTGTTGTAGGAGGCCCGAGCTTCGACCGAGCGTTGATTCATAGTCTGCTCTTCTCGGAGTTACCGTTCAAAAAGTATATCTCATTCGCATGTGGTTTGCATGCTTCGATAATAGGGGCAGGCATCGCGATAACAATATCATGCGGATGCATGAATCCGAACTCTTACTCCGGGCTTGTGGACTCGGCATTTTCCTGTCAACTTCACCACTTGCTCGATCAGAGCCACATGTCATGAATTATTCTGGCCTGAGCTACGTTAACCAAAGCCGTACAGCCAAGTATCACATGCCGAGTAGGACCTAGGGCCAAGTTTTCACGGAGTTGGTTCGGAATGCTTGCTGGTGACTCATTTCCTACATGAATATCAAAGACTATAGTGTCTAACTTGGAGTATGAACCTATTCCTTTCCCGTATGATCGTTTGGTAGTCCACCAACTCGACGTCATTCTATTCTTGGTATAGTGTTTTTGAAGATATTGTGTGGGTCGTACTTTCGCTTCAATGCTATCAATACTTCGTATTTGTGCCCGTAGATCTTACGCAAGTCTGACTCTTCTGCTGTGAGAAGAGCGGGAAACCCAGCGCCTACGACATCTTCGGGAGCGGACTCAAGGAGGTCCTTTCTAAATGCCTTACCCCACGCTATACATTCCTCCATCTTTGTCTCATATTGCGTGGCAGACAGAATCTCGAGCACGATGTGCTCGACCCTCGTGCCGAAGACCGACTGCTCGTTCGGCTCAAGGGATGGGCCGCTGAGAAAGTGGCTGGCAAAGCCGACGCCGCCAGGAAGTGTCTCTGTGTGCTTCCGGATGATCTGACTGACCTTGGGAGTGAACGCCCGAACCGAGACGGTGTTGTTGCGACCCCAAGAGCCGATTTTGATGGCGCTGTCGTTTCCACGGAGGTAGTCTCCCACCTTATTAGGTGCAACATTCTGCATGACACAGTTCCCCATAGACACGATCTTGTCTACCCACCGCCGCCCTTCGTCTTGATCTGGCGATGTCCATACAACCATACTAGCTACCACCCTGCCCAGGCCGGGGACCTCTATGACCGCGAGCTGAATTGAAAGGGTAGGTGGTATGCCTGCGCCTTCGGAGAGCTTGTTGAAGGCGTCAAACCATTGATTGATAGTTGTCTCGAAGTTTGAGGTATCGTACATGACGAACCCAGAGAGTACCTTTGCTCATTGTCAGCACGACATCTCAGAAGAGTAGGATCCTTCTTGATGATGATGTTTATCACACTCACCGTATCGAGAGGATACACCTTGATTGTAAGCTCAACAATTGCGCCAAAGGTAGGCCCAGCACCCCGAAGCCCCTTGAGCAGCTCCTCATCTGCATCAATGATGTCTCCCTCCCAGTTGACCAGCCTCGCCGCGAGGATCTGGTCAACTCCCATCCCAAGACTCTTCGCAAACGGCCCATAGCCGGCCCCCGTTGCCCATCCGATGTAGCCCACGCTCGAGATGATCCCGACGGGTGTAACAAGGTTCTCCTCGCCCAGTGCGTCGGACACCTGGCTGAGCAAGGCACCGCCTTCGACTTTGGCCGTTTTCCCGTCGGCAGAGATCGTGGTCTTGTTCATCTCGCGCATGTCGATGGCCAGGGCCCCAGCGACCTGCGAGCGGCCTGAGGAATCATGTCCCCCCGAGCGGATGACGAATGGTGCCGAGTGGGAGGTGCAGTACTTGATGAGCGTCGAGACGTCTTCGGCGTTCTTGGGCCGGACGATAGCCGCTGCTTGACATGTCGGCCGCCGGATGTAGCACAGGTTGATCTCATCGAAGTCGGCATCGGAAGGCCTGACGAGCCTGATGGAGTTGGAGGCGGCAAGACTCTCTAACGAGGGCAGCCAAGAAGGGGACGTCATATTTTAAAGAGTTCTAGTATCCCCAATATTTTACCAAACGATGCTTGACAAGTGCGTTGAGAACTTCATTCATCTACCGCCAGATGGCCGCTAACTTATATATACTCTTCAGTGTGAGTGTCTAAGTAGAGGCCTGAATTTAGCTACTGCGTCTATAGTATCGAGACACAATCAAACAATCCATGACTCAAACAAACTGATGACTTGTTCATCACGGCCGGGCTTTTGACGTTACCTGATAGGGGAGATGAGCGTAACGCGCGAGGATCGTTTGCCGTGGCGATGGAGTGCTCCTTACGCAGGACAGCCCCTTAGTGCCTGGGCAAAAGCAGCCAATGAGGCGCGAGGATTCCGATATTGTAAACCTAATCGGGAAACTACAAGGGCCAAGAGGCGCAGCGGCGGAGTGGGGACGGAACATCGCTACGGTGCGTCCGGCATGCCGATGTAAGCCCTATGAGCTACAAGGCTTAGTCGGCGGCGCGATGGATTGGATCAACGGGGGAGGTTTTTTTTGGCTGTCTCGTGGTGATAACTTTGTTAATAATGAGGGCATTCGACTGTATAAGCTGTCAGTTGTTCTCAATGTCGGCCGCACGGTTGGCTGGCAGACTTGGCCGTGATTACTCCAAATTAGCCACTTTGAACAACCAGCCCATCGCGACGAGACTGGTTGCTAGCCTTAACATCACGGTGATGTCAGAACTGACAGCCTTGCATCCCCATCGATACTATCTAATATCCCCGAAAAACGGGCGCCTCCAACGCTGCGAAGGCCCAAGAGTGCCAGGTCCTAGATAGGATTTATCTCACCCCACGTGCCAAGAATCCCGAGCGCCTGGCTGTTATCCATCGGTCAACGCTTGGCGAGATATAAGATTTACAATTGTCAGCAGGATGCTAATACTGACAACAAGCAGTTCATAGAAAGAAGCTGTTAGCTCAGACCGCTTGCTGCAGGCGGAGTGCCTACTAGAGCTCTGGAGTGCGAGTTAGTCGCATGTAAGCACATCTATGACATGAGGATACTTACACGGTTACACCATTGGACATGATGGCAGTGAAGCATGTGTTGCTCTTGGGGGAGATTATTGCTACATAACTTGGGAGAGTCGCGCAGACATGACAGCATTGACTAATTTTGTATCTCAAACAAAAGACATCCAATAGGGAGCATTGTGAAATCGACACCAGTATATAGCCCCTAGTATTGTTCACCAAGCTGATACTCCATACACCCCAACCATCTTACCCTCCTGTCCGTCCCTCTCGCCGACGATGCAGCTGACAAGCACCTTACAACCCATCTCCGGACCCTGTAAGCCATTGGCTATCGCCATGGCCTTCACTTGCGGACCCATGAAATTCGTCGCAGTCGCACCCGGATCCGCTGTCCACACCCGCACTCTCTTGCCCGCCCCCGGCGTACTGCTATCTGCCGTGTCTCTTGTGCCATATCTCTTGTGGTACTCGATCATCAGCATATTAACCGCCGCCTTGGACGCGCGGTACTCGGACGGCGACCCGCCTAGCACAGTCTTATAGTATCGGTTCTCCGGGTCTGATGCGCCAATCAGGCTTGCCATGCTGGTGCCGACGAATACAAGCCGAGGATCGTCCACCTCGTCCTTGAGAAGGAGCGGCAAGAACGCCTCTGTCACCATAACCGGACCGATAACATTGACATCCAGACCAAAGCGCAGCGCCGCAAGGACGCCGCCGTGGACAGGCGGGTGCGGCATCACCCCGGCGTTGTTCACGACAGCATCCAGGCGACCGTACTCCTTCTCAACCTGCGCCGCCGCCGCCGCGACTGACGTCTCATCCGTGACGTCTATTTGAAGAGCGGCGGCTGAACCCTGACGCTCCAGGAGCGCGTTTAGCTCGCTAGCAGCTTGTTCGCCATTGGCTAAGGTGCGGGAGCCGATGAGGACATGGTATGGCTTCCCGGCGGGCGACTTGGTCAGCACGAGAGCTTTGGCAGTCTCATACCCAATGCCTTGGTTGGCGCCTTGTGGTCTGATCAGTTCCACCAAACGGTTTAGTAAGCTATATTGTGAACGTACCTGTAATCAGGACTATGGCTTTCTCAGATGCCATCTTCAAGTCTGCACTCTGACAATTGTGATTCCAAGGCTTATCGAGCAACTATATGCTTGAAGCCTTGAATACCATGTTTGAGTATGAGCTCAAGTATGATGATTGCGACTCGAATATACTTATACCCGCAGAAGCTGGACCCGAATTTCTAAACGCCTCAGCGCTCAGCGGGGTTAGAGGTTTCTTAACTGACGCTATAGTGTGGTTCTCGGACTTTCGCATTTCTAAATCCGCGCTTCACAAGGCAGTCGGTAGGGCAGTGCCGCAATGACACAAGTCAACCATGTTTAACTTGCTTGGGACGGATAAACGAACTTATGAGCCAATGATGTTCGTCGTATGAATTCACAACTCAAAGCAGCACATGACGTCCTAGTATAAACAACTCATAGCCTCAACAAGGGCTTTGAATATATTGGTATATTTTTTGTAAGCTGAAGTCAGCTCTGAATGACTAAAACTAGTTAAGTAAACGATGGGGTATTCTTATGAAGTGGCCTCTTCAGCCAAAAAAAAAAAAAAAAAAAGATCGAAAGCCTGCAAAGAGAGAAAAAGGAAAGGTATTTTGTGGCCGAACCCATGCCATGCTAGAAAACCGAATGCCATAGAAAAAAATGCATCTGTATCTTTAAAATCGTAAAGGGTAAGAAGAGGCCGTATCATCCAGCTCCTCTTCTAAATAAACGTTTAGTGCCGCCAACTTTTCCTAACTCCCCAAACTTTCCTTCTGCTTGAGTCTCAGATGGTTTCCGTTCGCCGCTAGCGATTCGGACTTTCTCCTTCACGCTTTCCACCCAGGCTTTGCTCTCGTCGCTCATCTCAATGTTTTTGGCTTTAGGTCCGGCCATACCCAGTGAGCTATCCTCCTCCGTCCAACTAAGACGAGAACTCGACCTAGATCGCGTCGAGCCAGATGAAGGAGGATCCGAGGAAAACAGTGCTGTGGCAAGCGGTGTCTTTGGAAGTCGAGAGCCAGCTGTTTCCTCGCCCACACTCTTCCGAGTCTTCCGCACATTAAGCGGGGTTATGGGCGAGTCCATTGCTGATGCTGGTCGACTGGGCGGGCTCGATCCTGTGCGTCCGGTAGAAACACGAGGGAGATCTCTAATCTCTACCTTTCCTTCATTACCGGCTCCTGACCGCCGTCCGTGATGACTGGCATAGTCTTTCAGGTATTCACCTAGATCAGCCCAGCCACCTCCGACTCGTACCATCACTCGCTCGCCATTCTCACCAACGCAGCGGATGAAGAGTTTGATCGGTGGTTCGCCCGTAGATCTGGAAAGATGATACAGCTTAATTTCCTGGTTCCCGCGTTGATGCCTTGGCCGAGCATTTCTTGCATATGCCGGTGCGAGCATGAAAGAAGGTGTTGACGCTCTAGATGAGAGACTGGAATGGCTGCGAACAGATCTATCCACCGGTCTTGGCTTTGTGTATGGTAATTGTATATCTGGAGGATTTAGATTAATGGCGGAAGGTTGCGATGAAAGATGGATCTTAGCCGGGATGGACTCCAATATTTCACTAATCTGTTGCTGAAGCTGATCATCGGCATTGCTTGCCTGACTCATCTTGCTTGGACTGCCAATGTCTTGTGAAAAGTCGGCGTCGTCTATGAAAGACGAGTCTAATGGCGTTTTTGGCGGTGTATCATCATCAGAGGCTTCGGCCAACGGCGGCATATCTATGAAAGATACTGAGGACGCCCGAGTATTTGTTCTGAAACCAGGCGGAGAACTTGGCGGACTAATGCGATCGCTTGGGAACTCCTCGGTGTTCTGCATGTGAGGCAGTTCAGGAGTCTCCACGAAATCGGGCAACTCGCTAGAGGACTCTCTAAAGCGGCTGAGGGGATGAATCACGGTAGACGTGTCTGAGGCTGACGTACTGGGCCTGCTATCTTGGTGGTTTAGAGGAGGAAGAGAAAGCTCCCTATCCATTTCACCACCTTGCTCTTGTGTTGAATAGTCCAGATCGAAATCTGAGTCTGAGTGAAAGGACTGATTGGCATCCTCCACTTTCAACGGTGATGCGGTATTAGCAGGCGAGATCTGAACCGTTGGAATGTGCTCTGGACGAATATTCGAGCTATAGCTCGGGGCCTCAATCAATGGGTCCGTCTGTTCGATGGATGAAATGAGAGAATCAGGCTGCAGGGACCTGTCAGTCTCTCCAGCATCCGAGCGGTTGTCAGCTTGACCCGCATCCTGACCTTGTACTCGGTCTTCAGGGCGAACCGTTTCTTCGGAGCGAGAAACTCCACGCTCTTCGTCAAGTGCGCCGCCAGTTGAAACCTGAGGAATGTTATTCGCTGAAGAGTCGGGATTGCTCAGTCCTTGAGAAAGACTCTCAGATCCTCGCTTGGTCTCTGACTGAGTCAGTGACAAAGAAGTTGCGTGGGGAGGATTGATGTTGATCCGAGTATCCGTTGGAGTGGCGGCATCGGCAGGTTGCCCTGAGGAAATGCTGTCATCCAATCTGAGCTCCGCGCTGATGCCCTTTTCTGGTTCTTGCGATGCAACAGCCTTGATCTCTTGAGCTCTTACTTTATTTCCGTCTCCGACAGGCTTTGATGATGGCAGGTTCCTTGCCTCGACCGATTTCGCCCACTGTGCTTCTTGAATCTTCCTTTCACATGCAGCAACCCACGAAGAGTAGTCATGTTCGACCGCATCCATACGATCGCACCATTCATCCGGCAAAGTGTCTTCGCGTCCTTCCAGCGAATCAAGCATATAGTCGAGATCTCTGGCTGCTTTAGCGACCTTTTTCTCCAGGACGAGTTTCATGATCTCGAAATCCTTTCGTGATAACGTTGAAGTCGCGGATCCGGCTGGAATCTCTTCTTGAGGATTATCTGATTTCTTCTTAGCGGCAAGCTCGATGGCATTCCAACCAGATTTAATGGCCACTTCAGCATCGGACAGAGACTTCAACATTGAAGGGACCCTGCGTAAGACAGCGAGCCGAACGGTCCAAGTGTTCATAAGCCGTGTCAACTTTGACAGATTGGGTAATGCCTGCACAACCGTTGCAGTGACAGTGGCTGTTAAATCATCCATCCTTGTGTACGATGAGTATGACGATGTCGCCGACCGATTATCTGACATAGGTGTTCCCGGTCTCGATAACGGAAGAATGTGATTGTGTAAAACATGGTGCTTGATCTCCTCAACATCTAGCTCCTCCATATCGTGATGTATCTCGTCGATGCGCTGTTCGTACCGCATCACATCCGCCGCTGGAAGGCTGCCTAGATGAACAGTCTCTTTGGTCTCTTTGGTAGGAGTCGAGGGCCGGGCGGTCACCTCTTTGGATAGCCCATTGCTTCTGCCAAATGATAGTTTGCGCCTCTTCAAAGCTGGGGCTTCAAAGCCAGTGGAACCGCCTTCCTCTGGCCATGGCCACTCTTCAAGTTCGTCGAGCCATTCGTATATGTTTTTTGAGGCGAGAGCAGCCCGCATGGCAAACGCTTGTTCGGTGGCCGAAGCTGCGTCCATGCAGGTTTTGAGGGAACCCGAGGGGGTACGGAAAGCTTCGATGGCGTTCATAGGCGACAGATGGGAGATGAGGTCATCGGAGACCTGCCGTTGGCGCGTAGGCGACTGTGAGGTCGAGCGATATTGTCGGCTCGAGGGAATCAGCCGCCCGGCGTGGGGGAGGCGAGGTGTGTCGTTCATGATGGCTTCGGGTGCTGCTGGTATTGGTTATTAGTGCCTCGTTGAATCGCTGGCTCGCGAGACATGACCCTTTCTTTATGAGCCGGCGTAGTTGGCGACGTTTGGGAAGAACCGGTAGGAGCCCATAGTCGTCAAGGCGTCATGGGCGAGCTTCCGTAACGGTCTTTTAGCTGCGCCTTCGCAAACAAAAATGCGCAACTTCTATCCCCACCGCTTTGTTCCAGACAAAGCACGTCTTGTAAGCTGTGCGTGTGCCCGAAACTTGACCGGTGACACAAGGCAGGGTCAGGCCAGCACAAGGTCGCTGCTACGAGGATGGTCGTCGGTGCCAACGGCTTGGCGCAGATGGTGAGGTGTGACGGTAAGGGAGGAGCCAGGCAGGAACCGGCGGATTGTCCAACAGAAATCGAGATGTGGGAGCCGCGTACGACAAGCGACGCTGCCAATGAGAGAGTATATCAAACAAGAGACAGAAAGAGCGAAGCTGAAGAACGACACGACGTGTAGGAAGACAAAAATGAGGGGAAGGAGACGTTTGACGCGGGAGACGCGCACTGCAGATGCAGCGGCTCTGTTTCAAGGAAAAAGAAGACCCCGGCGAGACGGGGCAGGGTAAAAGGAAGGGAAGGAAGAAGGCGGTGGTGCAGTCGTTGTCGTAACTGAACTTAGTGGTTGACGACACTCCCCAAGCCTCACCTGGGCGATGGAGATTTGCAAATGATTTGCTCTGAACTAATCCTATCTCTGATTGCGCGCCCACCTGCTTCTTCATGCGCTGCCAGCAAAGCTACACTACACCAAGACAGTAAGACAGGGGTCCGCTCACTTGTCTCACCTCGCCGTGTCATTGGTGTCTCTTAACAATTTCAAGCCACACCTGCACCTGCACCTCCCCCAGAGATCCACCTGCCATTTGCGCCGGCCCGAACGTAGATCTCAAGTCGGAATATCTTCGTTTTCAGTTTACGAGCAACTAGCCGCAAAGGGTGTTGCTCGTTCACTTTATGATAGATTTGGGTTCAATCATGGAGCCTCTCATACGATTCTGACAACCATCACTCAACAAGTTGATAACTTAGGGAAAGTCATGTGGAGTGTCTCTTGTAATTGCCCCTGGCTACCTTACCGAGGGCTGACAGGGGTAGTACAAACAGAAGCAATATAGCGACCCTGCACTAACCAGCCTTTCCCGCCCTGGACCGAACTTTTGTCAAACACCGTGTGCAGGTAGACAACGGGAGACATTCGCGTAGACGAGACATAACCTCATCACAAACTTGAGAGAACATATGCACGAAACAGGCACAGCCAGAAAGATAATGTAAAGCTTTCTTTAAATACCTTCAAGTCCGAAATCCGAGTACGACATGTACCTTTCTATATACATCATTCGTCGTTTGATTTGCCATTCTGAACGCCAAAATATGGTATCCCTTCAAGTCCTAGAGGACTCTCGTCCCAAGTTCCCCCAGACGCCGTCTTATATAAATCCAGACATCTAAATATCTAATAATAAAACTCGACCTCACAGCTCACCGTCAATTAAGTATACAATCTCAAGCCGGCGCCGTGATAGACATCCCGTTTGTGGTGTCGGGCTTGTCGATCTCCATCTGACTGGCCTGCGCAGCCCAGTTCATGGCCGTCTTCGCATTACCACCAGCCCCACCAAACATGCCCATGAAGGTGTCATCTGAATTGTTGACGCCCTCGGCCGGGAACTGGAGCCACTGGTCGAAGTCAAAGTTTCCACCCGTGACAGCGTTCCAATCGATCTCATTGTGGCCGATCAGGTCCATGTCCATATCGATCGGTGCAGCGTCCGAGGACCCGCTTGCTGAAGGGGTCATGTCGATCTGAGAGTCCATATCCTGGTCCGTTGGCGGCGGCGAATGTCCTCCAACGCCCGGAGTTAGCTGCGTGTCTACAGCCCTGGACATGTACGAGCGATTTTGATGAAAGGCGTCCGTCTCTGTCGAGTTCAGGTACGGCGCGTTCTCGGGCGGCGGCGTGGACATTTCTGGGTGAATCAAAGCAACACCGTTAACGATTGTCGGGCGAGCAGCCGCAGCCGCCATAGCAGCCGACGCAGTGGCTGCGTTCATCTCAATGGCCGCCTTTCGTAGCGCTGCATCAAGGAAGCCCGTGGCAAAGTCTGCTGCGGCGTAGATCTCACGAAGCTTGACCATAACTCGCATGCACTGCTCAAAGCCCTTCTCCGCCTTCTCGCGGGTTTCCGGGACAGGGTTCTTCATCTCGAGCAGATGAATGATCATAGCCGGAAGGATGACAGTGACACCAGTGGTGGGGAGGTATCGCTCAAGGTGCAAGCGGTGCAGCTCGGCTGCCATGCGAGTAATCTGAGTGGCGGCATCTCTCACCCTCATGCGTGACATCTCCTGCACCTGCTGAGATACAGTCGGTGCCTGAAGCGGGTGAGATGGCAGAAATTGTGGCCGATGCAAGGCTGAAAGTGTTGTGTGGTAGACCATATGCAGCAGATTTCTCTGAACTGCAAGAGTCGACCTCCCATGTTCGATGTCCATTGGCGTCAACGGGCGGTACTGGCATGTCGGTGGGAGAGCAGCAAGCCAGGCACTGAGCTCAAAGTCAACACTATTGACGCTATCAATATTGTCGAGCGTCTTGTTCGGGAAGAGCATCATGGTGCTGTTCGTGGTGTTCTCTGGACGAGTTCGGTCGCGGATCAATACAGAGTATTGGGCTTTGAGCATGTGGCTGATCAGCACGCATAACTTGGCTTTCTGCACACACAGCTGCGCAAGTTCCTCTTGCATCGCCATATCGCGGATGAAAGTGCATTCCGGGGGCAGGAGATTATTGTCGTCTGCAAGGACATCGATCTCGAAATCACTCTCCTCGAGCATCGGCACGTCGAAATCCTCATCCTTTATCCTCGTCGGACGTCGCATGCCGAGAGCGATGAGCCTATCGCGCATAAAGCATGACCACCAGATCCTCTTCCACAGCTTCTGCTTGCGCGGAATCATGTTGGCGTTCGCCGGGTTGCGATGGAGGCCGATAGTGTGTGCCAGTGAGATGGCAACACCCATCCAATGCCATGTGTCCTTCTGGTCATCGGGCGTCTCATACCAGTAGGTCATAAGCAACAGAGCCTGAACAAGAACCAGGCGGTCGGACTCATAGTCGAAGTCATAGAGGAGCTAATCAGATTAGCATCACGGGCCAAGTGGTCATCATTACGGCTCTAAACTCACCCTTGCTTTTGTGAAGAAGGCCTTCCTTGCAGCCTTCCGGCTGGCAAAGCCCGCCTCGCTGAGATACTTTGACTTGACAAATGCAGTTGCAGAGAACATGACAGCCTGGTACAAAAAGAGGCTGACTTGGCCCATTCGTCCGTCAGGCGCATTGATCATGTTCAGAAAGTCATGCAATTCCAGCAACGGCATGTACGGATGGACATATTCAACGTATGCACGCAAAAGAGCATTCTGTAGAGGCATGCTTGGGAGCGTGAGAGCTCCCTTCGTATGGAGATACTTCACATCCTCGGACGCGATCTTCGCTGGCAGAGGCTTGATGAACGCCGGTAGCTGAGCGAGAGCATCGGGCTGCTCGAGCGTGTCGAGAAACTGGGCGGTTCGAATGTCTCCGAACAGTGACTTCTGATTCAAAACAGGGTTCGACCACAACAGTCGATTGTTGCTATCGCCCAATTTGGACAATAGAGCCGCGGCATCTGGTCGATACCCAGAGCGTTGATCTGCAGGAGGTCAGATTGCAAGTCTCGTGGTCTAACAAGATTTTGGGGTAGTCTAAGAATGTCGGGGTATTTTGCATGTGATGGAGCGTGGGGCGGGTGGCACAAAGGGGGCGCGGAGTACACGTACAGAGCAGATGGGGAACATGACCGTCCAACGGCTCCATCAAGCCGCCGCCAGCGCCATTTTCAATCCCGCTCATCGAGATTGCAGAAACATTGCTCGGCCGGCGGACATCTGCACTGGTAATGCTGATTGGATTGGGGCTGATGCCTTTGGCTCTAAGTGCCTCGGCACCGGCCACGTGCCCCACGGACGCTGATGATGCCGGCGCAAAAATGTTCTTTCTGCATGGATACATGTGTCAGTAACGGTCTGGTACCTGAAATTGATCCCAGACACTTTTTGGGGTAGTCGCCTGTCTTTCATGTGAAGATGACGCAACTGAAGCTTCTGAAAGCTCACGAGAGAAAGGAGAGGGCTTGGGTATTCGCGATGCTCACTTTCGCCTGCGACTCTCTTGGACGATGCACTCAACGTTGTCCCATCTGCAGTTTCCACAGGGGGCTCCTTCCACAACATCGCATCGCACCTTGCGTGCTCTACAGGAGACACATGCCCGTGCTGCCCGTCTCTTGGTGATCTTGCCTGCTGCGTTCGCATCAGTCGTCGAGTCGGATCGTTTCTTCTGCGTCGGGGAGTTCGATTTCTTTGAGGCGCTCGCATCTGCCGCCGGGACGTCTGCCGGGGGTGACCCGGAGGCTGAAGCGTTCTCGGAATCACTAGTCATGGTGTTGATGATATCGACAAGACCGACAATGCCGTAGAATCAGGACAAAATGGAAAATGTCCAGATATATAACAAAATAAGCCGAACAAGGTCGACCCGTGTCTCACGTGAAAGTAGGAGACACGACGGGGGCCCGGTCTATGACGGGCGGAGGTCACACGACCGTAGGTGTAAGCGGCGACTGGGAAGCTCGGACACTGTGGCTCGGTTGGCTAACATCGAAGCATCACCACTCAACGTCAACATGGACAAGTTCAACTGCATTGGATGGGGGCCAGGAAGTATTGATCGAAGATTAGTCCGGACGCAGGAAAATAAAAAAGTGTAAATACGGGTCTGCCGGTGGTGGGGGAGCGGCAATTATTATATTCAGACGGCGTTCCTCGAAGATTTACATGGATGCGGACTAATACGACACCAAGACAGGACAGGGTCAATGTCTCTTATTGAGCAACACCTACGACTGCAGGTCACGGCCAAAAAGAAACACCCGTGCATGCAGGCCAAACGCCATCCCCATGCTTAGGCCATGACGAGCAGTTCTCGGGCTACCTCACTACCACCGTAGTACGCGCCGTCACTTACCAACCCTACCTGATGGCTTCTATCCACGCAAGGAAGGGATTATGTACATCCGCGATCAGGATTGATGGGAGGCATGTACACACACATGCACACGCACACACACCTCTTAGCTCGGGGGGAGGGAAGTCCACTTGGCACCCCCGCTGTTCGATACGTACTTGCAACAAAACCTGGAGCAAGCCCAGACGCTTTCGTTTTTCGCCCTCCAGCCCTGAAGTTGAATCCACAGGCTACCACAGTTAGCTTACGCCCTCCCCCAGACGACCCTCTCACATGCTACAAAGACTTACGCTATACTCCGCGGTGTATCTCGGCCTCTTGCTTCCATTTGTACTATGGAGGTATCGAGAGAGAGAGAGAGAGA